CACTCTGCAACAGTTTACCTTGAAGTAAAGTTAATATGAGACAAAGATATAGGGATGGTGTCATGTAGCTTTGTGCATCTTTGCTGTGTAATGACCCCTTGTTTCTTCCTTTTTGGTGCTTCAAGCCATCCCTATATCCCCCTTTCATTTTGAAGAAATGATTTTTCCACTTGTAAACTTACGTTCGCGCTGAGAATGCATGCGGAAGTAGATAACGAGGGAGGGCGGTACTATATATTCGCCCGTAAAAATGAGTATGCCGCGCAGCGGATTTGAACGTGGTAAGCGCTGAAAGAACCGGAGTGTGAAGCTATACATACGCTTGGTTTGATACCAAGCGTAGCCGCATACGGTGCTGGAATCGGAAGTTATTCTAGATTTTCAAGGTGCATTCTCAGCCGCGAAAATACTTTAGCGCTTCTATATAGCTCAGCCGTCTTTGGCAGTGGCGGAAAGAGTGTTCTCACTACTGAACTATTCTCAGCAAGAATCTTCCTTAGAGGACTATTTACAACTCTGTCATGTTAAAGGTTTTGTAATCAGTGTCTTTCTTGAACAGTCACTTTTTTGAGAAAAATAGGCACGATCGAAAGAAAAATGGGCAAAAGAAAAAATATATAGGCATAGTATAGGAGCATTAAACAATAGAAAAATAAGCCCAAATTTGAGCATAATCTGCCAAGGCCTAGCCTATTCATCAACAGTATATCATAGGGTGAAAAAGTATAAACACAACAAAGATCAAAGCTGCAAAGTGCAGTGTGGCACATAGACCCCAATAATTGGACTTGTCCTTGCAGCAGGATATTATCAGCCGATACAATAAAGGCAGCAGGTGATATGAACTATTCCAGAACAGAGCATTTATCACATCATCTGTGTTCAGGCCTCGACAGACTTCATCAGGCAGGTTCTTGTACATTACAGCAGACATCAATATGTATGGCAGTTCACTGACCAAACTGCTGCAACAGTGAGCAATGCTTCTGCAATTTTTTTCTCCAGGATTTTCGTCTTCATAACCACATTTAACCATCACTATAATAACACCAGTGACTACTCTCCAGCAGCAAATGTAGAAGCACCAGTTGGTCAGGTGGTGGGAAACATTATCACTTTCTTTGCAGGTAAGATAGAAGGAGCAAGTGAAGATGATACTTACGAGTAGCAAGGTGCAGCTTATAACACAATTGCTATCAATCTTGGGTGTGTCTGACATCTTTGCTATTGCCAAGGTAAGCACTTACGCATAGTGATGCACTATATATCACCATGGCATCAGGTAATCCCCTGAGACTGGACTGTGAATTTAGACACCTTCATGCATAAACAGGTGTAGGGTGAATACCTTTACAGCAGCCAAAAGTATCAACACAACATGATATGCAACTATGAATTTGTTAGCCTTAAACATCTTCTTCAGCCTTAATTGCCTTCTCTTATAAAAAGTAGCAGCAACATACCATAACCACCAAAATTACGGGTGTAAACTACCCAGTGCTAGCCATGTATACTTCACACCATCAGGGGATAGATCGTTCGAGCAAACGTATTCCACGTATATAGTAGCAATAATCGCACCAGCCTCAAATAAAGAGGAGAGTACGACCGTACAACGATTCACTTTGAACATCGCTTCTGCTGCTGGCGGTAGCTAGCCTCGTTCCCTTCCCTTCCCTTTCCTGCAAAAATGAAAAGCACTGAAGTGCAAACCCTCGGCGAACTGCGCATGAGCGGTATCGCTAATGGATGGGCTGCTGGGCTATTGGCGTTTACCCGCCGTCTCCCGCTAGTAGCTCGCGGAATCTGACATGGGCTAGCTACGATAGTAGATAGCATGCGGGAGTCGATACACGCCCTTCGCTGTGGCTTCTTGTGCCTCCAAAGTACACAGAGCAAGCGGATCAGGTCGAGGTGGAGCCAGCATATATGCATGCATATTATTATAATATACCGCGTGTATACGCATGCGCACCGCTTAATGATGGGTTGGGCCAAGGAACTCGGTCCGCGACCGTGCCAGTTTGTCGCTCTCGAACGCAGTCGTTTCAGGAAATCGCCTAATAAATTTTCAGGTTCGCGTAGTTCTGAAGCCGTTGGTATCGCCCATTAGCCACCTCGTGGCCTGTATAAGCGTCGACACGCACACACACACACACAGACAGACAAACCAACTACCGTAACCCTCGCTGCGCATGCGCACCGGTAGTTAAAAATGTGCCACGCAACGCGCTGTATAATCGCGCCGCCGTATATATACGGTCCGCATATCCGCGGCCGGACTAATAATCGCGCATGCGTAGTGCATCTATCACTTACATCGACTCAATCAGTGGTGGCAGGTATACAGAGTTTGACTCGGTTACTGCAGACTTGCAGGTCGCACACAAAATCAGGTAACATTATACAGTCTGCTAAAGACTGTCATCAGAGGAGTCAGACTCTGTGACTCCCTGCAGAGAGAGCTCCATTAGAGAGCCCCGAGTATGTCTCACTGCCATCGTCCCATCTGGCATGTCACATGTCTTTGTCAAATAAAACAAACGGTGAAGAGGCAGCAGTTAGCCAAGAGAGGGAAGAAAAAGGAGGAGAAGGAAGAAGTAGAGGAAGAAGGAGTGTCAAGATGTAGAATCAGTCGAAGGAGGAGTCTGCTGCAGAGAAGAAAGATGTCTCTATGGAGGAAGTTGAAATCAGCCTATGGTGGTAGACAACACAAAACATTGATGCATACTACTTAATATTCGTTTGCTGTTACAATTTTATATACCAACTTGGGTGCTAATGGATGTTGTTTTGGGTGTTCGGCACTTTACTGTTTCTCACATGATTAGATGCTAGATGCTTTGCGTGTGTGGAGAAGATTTGCTGGTCTGCCTGTATTGATGGTTTAACAAGTATTCAAAGAAAGAATACCGCTGAAATTTTTAAAGAAAGAGCAGTCTCTGATCTTCTCTGAGACAGCCAACTATTGAACCTCCATAATCAACAGTGGCGAGGGTTATGCACTTTCAAGTGCTTTTCATTCAGAAAGTGTTTTGTAGAGAGAATTCCCTCGGTGGTGGCTGTTGAATAAACGCAGAAATACGTGTAAGGACAGTGAGTGAAAACATGAGAAGTCACTAAAAGGGATCTCTAGTGAAAACTGGTTGTGCAACCCATAACTTTGTGCCGTATAAAATCAGGATACCCTAAACTGGGTAACAAGGCTAATGATGGCAGTTGCTTTAGATACATGTATACTACTGTACATCTGGCATCCCTTTCACTTTTATAAAACGGCACTTCTGCTGTGACTGACTTCAAGCACAGCGCAGTCTAGTAGCAATATGGCTATAGTATCATTCCTTACTGTGCTTTTGCTGAGCAGACTGTGTCTCTCCAGTCAGTCTCTGGTTCAGCCACTGAGAGTGTACATTGATGGAGCTGAGGGAAATGACAGTCTAGAGTGTTTGAATTCCAGTTCAACTGAGACTCCATGTCAGAGTCTCTCATTTGTATCTGAGAATCTGACTCAGAAACACGTTGTAGCCATTGAAATTTTGGGTGATGTGCTGAACTTGACAAGAGCTGTGAACTTCACTGACTACTTTAATCTCACAGTCAGTGGCTCTGGAAATAGCACCGTACTTCACTGCAATGAATCAGGAGCTGGACTAGCATTTCGCCAAGTTGAAAATCTCAAGGTTTATTCCCTGATTATTCAACACTGTGGAGCTCCTAGACCAACTCTTCCAGTTGCCTTTTATATCTTCAACTGCTGCGGTAACGTACTGATCAGTAGTATAGACATTGTGTCGTCCAACGGCACAGGACTCTCTCTGCATGATACAGTTGGGGTGGTTGAAATTGTGCATTGTAACTTCGCTCACAACAGTGTGATAGAGCAAAGTGTATCAGGAGGTGGTGGTGTTTACATAGAGCTCACAAATAACAGCAGCCAGTACACGATCCAAAACTGTGTATTCAGAAATAATTCTGCCCACTCCCTACACAGAGCTAAACTTACACCGCCATCTCAGCAAGCGCCTGTTCCCAGACTTGGAAAAGGAGGGGGGTTGTACATAAGCCTTGGTATGAAAGCCACGTACAACAATTTCCTGATTGTGCAGTGTATGTTTCTGAGTAACGAGGCCAGTCTTAATGCGGGTGGAATGATGGCAGAGTTTCTCAACTCTGTAGCAAACAACACTGTGTCCTTGGTCAAAACCAACTTCATAGAAAACACATGTACACAGAGTCGGTTTTCTGGTGGAGGAGGACTTATAGTTGACTTCCTGTTCTATTCTCGTTCTCACATTGAGGGGCAAACACCACGGAACAATGCCTTTGAGTGCCATTTTTGCACATTTCAGAGTAATATAGCAAGAATGGGTGGTGGAACTGTAATAAGTTCAGCTAAGGGGTGCAATGCATCGTTTTCTAATACAATCTCATTTTCCAACTGTAACTGGACTGAGAATGAGTCTGCCATGGGAGCTGCTGTTTTCGTCACTCCTGGGATCTGGGACTACACGACGAAAGGTTTTCTGCCGGTTCCCAGGTTTATAGACTGCCAGTTTGGATCAAACTCGGCCATCCAGACAATTGGACCAGAGGCTGGAGTCACAGTAGAGTCCGTGGGCTATGGTGCACTGTTTGTCAGTCAGTTGACAGTGACGTTTGGAGGGAAATCTTACTTTGGTAACAGCAGTGGCTCGGCCATTCACCTTTCAAGCGCTGTTGTAGATTTCGAAGAAGAGTCACACGTCACGTTCTTCAACAACACCTCACACAATGGTGGTGCTATTGCTATGCATGGTTCTTCAATGATTCAAGTTAGGAACAGCTCTACCTTCTTACTGACAGACAACGGAGCAATCTCCAAAGGAGGTGCCATATACTCTGAATTCAATGCCGCTGCCCACCCAGCCTATCACAACTGCTTCATCTCTTCGCCAGATTTCTCGCAAGTCAACTCCACATTTGTTTTCAGAGGAAACTCGGCAAAGGATGGCGGCGCTTCTATATTCACAACCACATTTCAATCATGTGGCCTCTTATGTTCCGACAGCGATGTGGCAAAAAGTCCTGAAGAGATAATGAGGTGCATTGCTAAATTCAATTTTGACAAGACAGACTCACCCCTCTCAACACGTCCTGACAAGTTCTGTTTGACAGACAGGAATAATCCATTAAAGCTAATTCCAGGAGCAGAGAGTTATATTAACCTCACAGTCTTAGATGAGAGCAAAAATAATCTCTCTGGTATTGTGTACACTGCGTTTGTTCCAAGTCAAAATAATATCAGTATAGACGCAGCTTTTCGTCAGGTTTCAAACAACAGAGTCAAAGTATGTGGCCGTATGGGATCCACAGCAAAGCTACAACTCTTTACAGCCGACATATCAGTCTCATTGAACATTTCTCTCACAGAGTGCCAACCGGGGTACCACTATAGCCATTCCAGCTCGGTGTGTGAATGTGCCTCATCACAGTACTTTGGTTTAGAGGGATGCGATCCTAATGTGTATCTCAAACAGGGTTACTGGGTTGGCTATTGCTCAGGCAGCGGAAATAAACTATGCACAGCTTTCTGTCCTTATGGGTACTGTTCCTATAGTGGGATTGATCCAGGGGCACAGGTCCATGCACTTCACAACGACCTACACTCGATGAGTTCTGACATTTGTGGCCCCAGGAGAACTAACAGGCTGTGTGGCGAATGTTCTGCTGGTCATTCAGTATATCACAACTCATGGAAACACACGTGTGGCTCTGAGGATCTGTGCCACTTTGGTTGGTTGTTCTACATCTTGTCTGACATACTTCCCCTCACCTTGTTCTTCATCATTGTTCTTGTCTTCAATATCAGTTTCACAACTGGAAACACATACTGCTTTGTACTCTATGGCCAAATACTTGGATTGCTCGCTTACAATGGCAACGATTCTGTACAATTTTCTCCAGCTGCCAAGTCGATTCAAGACATAGTAACATACCCCTATGACTATTTTAACTTGAACTTCTTCACTCTTGAGAATTTATCCTACTGTCCGTGGAAGGGTGCATCTTTCATGGGAGACAGGATGATGAAATACGCAACTGTTGGATTTGCACTAGCTCTTGTTTTGATGACCATCTTTATTACAAGATACCGCTACATACGAACTAAAATCTTTTTTAGGTTTCAGCACCGCAACAGTGTGTTGATACACGGCCTTTCTGCTTTTTTTATCATCTGCTATTCCAAAGCTGTTAGGACGACCTTTCATATCCTCGACTTCTCGAGCCTCTATTCAGCCAACTTCAACTGTGCAGTAAAGGTAGTGCACCAGGCTGGACACATGGCCTATCTTGGGGAAGAACATGCCCCGTACGCAATTATTGCATTCGTATTTCTGCTTTTCATGGTCATAATGCCACCTCTTCTGCTACTGTTCTACCCACTGGTGTTCAAGCTGTTTGGTCACTGCAACCTGAGTGAGACAAAACCGGTCACCATTCTCTGGAGGATGATGCCAATACAGTTCCTTGATGCATTCCAGAGCTCCTTCAAGGACAAGTATCGTTTCTTTGCCGGACTCTACTTCCTGTACCGTGCTGCCGTTCTTGCTCTGTATGTTTGCTGCCAGACGTGGCTACAGTTCTATTCTGCTGTTCAGCTGCTGTTGATTTTTATCATGACTGTTCATTTCGTCGTCCAGCCACACAAGGAGAGAAAACACAACATTGTCGACTCTCTTCTCTTTGCAAACCTCTGCTTCATCAATGCCATCACACTCTTCTGCTATGGGAGGACTGAAGTTTTGGGCAAGTTTAGCTCTGAGGTTTTGATCAGTGCATCGGCAGTCATTCAGGCCGTGCTAATTATATTGCCTTTGCTACTTGGCATTACACTGTGGGTGATAGAATGGAACATTTCAAGGAGGAAACAAAAGGACTATGAAAATCTTCCATCTTTGCGTATCGACGGGGAAGACTCATCAAAAAAGTTTTAGGTTTACCAAGTTGTGAACCAGTTACTGTTTGGCTGTGTGTGTGAGTGCAGCACTTTATATATACTTTGCTTAGTTGTGTAAACTGAACACTCCGCATGAATGTGTGTGAATATTTTTAGAGGACAACATTTCAAAGTAGACTTGATAGCGAGGAAGGGAGGGGAAATTTGTAGCAAGAAGGATAAGGGGGCAGTTGTCAAGAGAGGCGAGGAAAAGGAGGAGGAGGAGAAAAGAATGAGATGGAAGAAAAGGGCGTAGCTATCAAGATAATAAAATCAGTCTACAGAAAAGCTATATAATTATAAGAGGAGGTTAATGAAACATGATGTATCTGGTAGTAGAACATACATAATAATTATGCAAGCATAAATCCTTATAAAAGCTGTACAGTTTACCAGAGTCAGTTCATGGAGAGCTACAGAATACAATTTGATCGTAAAATGACAAACCCAGCTAGTATGAGATTTAATATAGCAAAACCCCAATTTTCCTTTCGTGACTTTATACAATGATATGCTGAGTATAGTAGAGATATCCCACCATTGATATGGAAAGCCCCCAAAACATCTACAAAGTCGATGTGTGCCGTGCGGCCTTGGCACATCGATTTGTTACTTATCAGTATGGCACACAACACCAAAAGTGGCAGCTCAGTCAGGATAATGGTCCAACGGTCGCTGATGGTTCCACAATCACTGTCTTGAGGGTTCTCATTCATATAACAACATTCTATCAGTCTCACTACAACACCACCAATAGCCTTCACCAGGCACAGGATAAAGCACAGCTGAGTCCATGAGCTATCTTTGAGCACATTATTTTCATGACACGAGTGGTGTAGATACCAGGCAGAGAAAATAGCCACTACAGGTAGAAACCAATCACAACCCTTGGCCATCTCTGGTAGGATGAGTCAGCATTCCTGGTTGAAACTGATAGCCCCTCCTCCGTATGTTTACGCAAAGCGCTAAAATTACAACTATTGGGCAGGGGAATAACCACTACCCAAAAACTTTACCGGAGCAGGAAGCAAAAAAGCACTATGAAGTTACTTAAAAAGTTAGCTAGTGACTCCAAAAAGCCATAGTGTCTTCCCCAACATGAGTCATAGAAAGAAGAAAAAACCAGCAACCCATCTTGTAACTGGGCGTGTCAGTGTAAACACTGTCTTGTTGCTGTTCATATCTCCTGGCATTTTCAATGCACATGAGTTGGTGCTGTAATGGTTCAATGGTTAAAGTCCCCATTATTCTGTATGCTAATTGACTGACATTTAGCAAGAAGTGGTTGCCCATAATGCACCATGTGCTAGCGAGCGAAAATTGAACAGCACGCTGGTTAGGGGTTTAGCACATTACAGATTACCCCATTGTAAGTGTACATGTACTGCAGATAAATACAGCAATCAACTATCATGATATAGTTTTCTAGAGACTCTCATCAGAGGTGGCAGGCTCCGAGTCAGACTCTGTGACTCCCTGCAGAGAGAGCTCCATTAGAACATTGTCCAGGTAGTTGGGGTCTGGGTATCCGTGGCCCGAGTTGTTGGAGGAGCTCTCAGTCTTGTGGTGTATCTCGTTCCAGACCACAGTGTCTGTGGCCCCAGTGGTGACTGACGTCCCGATGGTGAACGTCAGTTTTCTCTCCCACGCAACCTGCAGGAGTCTCAGGACCTGGTCAGGGAGAGGGTTGCCGGTTGATAATATTGACAATAGTCAAGATGATTTTAGATGACTAACGTTGGTTCGGACACAAAACATAAAAGGTATGATGTAGTTACGTAACCCACTTTCTGTCCCTTCTCAGTGTCTGGTAAATAGCACATCCTGGGAAACCCATTAGTTCTGTAGTGACGTCCATTCTGTCAAAAAAACCAAGTATTCCTCGCGACCAGGGAGAGAGCCCCGAGTGTGTCCCGTACACCTTCTTACACGTTGGACAGCTTTCTGTCCTTATGGATACTGTTCCTACAGTGGGATTGATCCAGGGGCACAGGTCCATGCACTTCACAATGACCCACACTTGATGAGTTCTGACATTTGTGGCCCCAGGAGAACAAACAGGCTGTGTGGCGAATGTTCTGCTGGTCATTCAGTATATCACAACTCATGGAAACACGTGTGGCTCTGAGGATCTGTGCCACTTTGGTTGGTTGTTCTACATCTTGTCTGACATACTTCCCCTCACCTTGTTCTTCATCACTGTTCTTGTCTTCAATATCAGTTTCACAACAGGAAACACCAACTGCTTTGTACTCTATGGCCAAATACTTGGATTGCTTGCTTACAATGCCAACGATTCTGTACAATTTTCTCCAGCTGCCAAGTTGATTCAAGAAATAGTAACATATCCCTATGACTATTTTAACTTGAACTTCTTCACTCTTGAGAATTTATCCTACTGTCCGTGGAAGGGTGCATCTTTCATGGGAGACAGGATGATGAAATACGCAACTGTTGGATTTGCACTAGCTCTTGTTTTGATGACCATCTTTATTACAAGATACCGCTACATACGAACTAAAATCTTTTTTAGGTTTCAGCACCGCAACAGTGTGTTGATACACGGCCTTTCTGCTTTTTTTATCATCTGCTATTCCAAAGCTGTTAGGACGACCTTTCATATCCTCGACGTTTCGAGCCTCTATTCAGCCAACTTCAACTGTGCAGTAAAGGTAGTGCGCCAGGCTGGACACATGGCCTATCTTGGGGAAGAACATGCCCCGTACGCAATTATTGCATTCGTATTTCTGCTTTTCATGGTCATAATGCCACCTCTTCTGCTACTGTTCTACCCACTGGTGTTCAAGCTGTTTGGTCACTGCAACCTGAGTGAGACAAAACCGGTCACCATTCTCTGGAGGATGATGCCAATACAGTTCCTTGATGCATTCCAGAGCTCCTTCAAGGACAAGTATCGTTTCTTTGCCGGACTCTACTTCCTGTACCGTGCTGCCGTTCTTGCTCTGTATGTTTGCTGCCAGACGTGGCTACAGTTCTATTCTGCTGTTCAGCTGCTGTTGATTTTGATCATGACTGTTCATTTCGTCGTCCAGCCACACAAGGAGAGAAAACACAACATTGTCGACTCTCTTCTCTTTGCAAACCTCTGCTTCATCAATGCCATCACACTCTTCTGCTATGGGAGGACTGAAGTTTTGGGCAAGTTTAGCTCTGAGGTTTTGATCAGTGCATCGGCAGTGATTCAGGCTGTGCTAATCATATTGCCTTTGCTACTTGGCATAACACTGTGGGTGATAGAATGGAACATTTCAAGGAGGAAACAAAAGGACTATGAAAATCTTCCATCTTTGCGTATCGACGGGGAAGACTCATCAAAAGAGTTTTAGGTTTACCAAGTTGTGAACCAGTTACTGTTTGGCTGTGTGTGTGAGTGTGACTCATCAGACAAGGAATCATTTTAGTAATGTACGAAGTGTGTGTGTGTGTCGCTTCGTAATACTGTGACAACTTTGCTTGGTTGTGCAAACTGAGATACTCTTGCATGAATGTGTGACAGTGTATACAATGTTAAAACCTGCATATACATCATAATCGAAGGGAGTATATAATGTTTTACATTCCTGTAAGCAGTCACATATAAATGCATCCTATGGAGTGTAGAATGATTACACCGACAAAAATTAATCCTAAAAGGTGTAAGATGGTGAAATAAAATGAACACTCGTGGTTGCAGCACCTTGATAGACGATACAGTAATGGTGGCAGGTGAAGAACAGCATTCAAGTCAACGGCTTTTATAATACGATCTATTGTAGGGCTTTGACATACTTCAGGTGGCATGTACTCAAATGTCACGAGTGAGATGATTACAATGGGCATGTTGCTAAACACAGTTGCACAGCCATAAATACAGTCCATGAACTTTTCTTCGGTACCAGGAGAGTTTATGCAGCATTCTAAAAGTTGGATTATGATCCCAGCGACGGTACTGAAGAGCAAAACACCGAGGTACCAGTTAACTTGTTGACTGAGAACAAAGTGACTCTCTTGACACAAACTGTAGAAGTACCAGCCAAAGGCGATACTTACCATCCACACAACAGCACACAGAAAATTGCAAATAGGTGTGCCCGCCATCTTTGTTTGCAAAAGCCTAGCATAGGAGGCATATTCATTATTTTATACTGACGTCATAATCACCATCATAAGCGAATTCATTACTGAAACTGCCATAAGCGGCCAAACCAATGGGAGCCTCCCTAAGTAACTAATTAACCCTCGGCGCGCATGCGCAGCGAGGGTTACAGTAGTCGTTCTGTCTCTAGTACTACAGGCAACGAGGCGGCCAATGAGTGGCACCAACGGGTTGTGAACGACGAGAAGATTGATATGGCGTGAAAACAAGCGAAAAAGCCAACGCGCGGTCGATCGCGCATGCGCCCTCTCCTGCAGGCTAGCTATAAGCGCGCACGCGTCATGTCAATTAATCGCCGGAGCATGCGCTTGGTTGTATATACGATCCACGGCCTCCTGTCAGTTTTGATCTCTGTTCCCTATGGATAAACGATAAACATGCTGAGCAAGGTATGTTCGCAATGTAACATAATAGTTCAGGTGGCGAGCAGTTTGTGGTTGCGGCCTTGCCTTCCCATCTATAAAACGTCTGGCGAGAGCATTGAAACACAGAAGAGCAGATAGATTGCAAATATGAGAGCCTCTGAAACACCTGAGCTATTGCTCTAACCGCTAATGCAACTACCCTGTGTTACGGTGAGACTCGTGTTACTGGCTCCGTCGATGACGCACGGCCCAGCATACAGCGATGCTACAACTCGCTAGTTTACCGCCGAGGGTTTGCACTTTAGTGCTTTTCATTTTACAATGTAGTCTCGTAGGCGAGTGTCTAGCCTCAGTGATTGTGTAAGTGCACTCCTTCAGGCCTCCAGCCCCTGACAAAAGCAGTGTAAACAGTCGTAGCTATTAAAATTTAACAATAGATTATGCTAGTCATGGCAAGTCAACAAAGCACAGTTTGGATTACATTGTGATGTTTTAGGTGTGGCTTTAGTAGCCGCAAGGCTGATTCAGAAGATCCGGTAGGTGATACTGGTGTATCTGCATGCTTCCGCTTATAGGGCTATATAGAACACACATGTCCTTTGATACACCCGACATTAATAATCATGATTTTCAATCACACGACAATAAATACTAGCTAACATTCACAGCTATTATTAGCTATGATGTCTGTAGAACACGACGTGGCTTTAACATTGCATGGGTGTGCAAGAGAGTAAATCAGAACTGCCAGGCTAAGAAGCTGCGGTAGGAGATGAGCTCCATATATCAACATGTGCTTATATACATCATCAAAGTGAAACTTCAGATGATGGAATAATGACACCAGGACAGCAACACCACCAGTTATTTTGACTGCCAGGAGAAGGTCTTCCACAACATCTTCATCGCACGATTCATTTGGGATCGTTATCAATGATACAATTAGCATCGTGTCCTTTACAGCAGCCAAAACTATCAACGCAACATGAACTGCAACTATGATTTTGTTAGTCTTAACATCTTCTTCAGCCTTAATTGCCTTCTTATACAAGTAGCAGCAACATACCATAACCACCACAATTGCGAGTATAGAAAATATACCCAGTGCTAGCCATGTATACTTCACACCATCAGGGGATAGAGAATGATTCGTTCGAGCAAACGCATACCACGTAGTAGCGATAATAGCACCAGCCTCAATTAGAGAGGAGAGTAGGACCGTAAGACGATTCACTTCGAACATCGCCTCAATTGCTGGCGATAGCTAGCCTCGTTCCCTTCCCTTTCCCTTCAAAAATGTGCCACGCAAACGCGCGTAATCGCGCGCCGCCGTATATACGCCTCAGGGGCCGGACTGCGCATGCGTAGTGCATCCATACTCTCGATCAGTACAGTGTAGTGGTGGCAGGTATATATACAGATATAGACTCGGTTACTGCAAACCTGCAGGTTGCACACAAAATCAAGTAACATTATACAGTCTGCTATAGACTGTCATCAGAGGAGTCAGACTCTGTGACTCCCTGCAGAGAGAGCTCCATTAGGACATTGTCCAGGTAGTTGGGGTCTGGGTATCCGTGCCCCGAGTGGTTGGAGGAGCTCTCAGTCTTGTGGTGTATCTCGTTCCAGACCACAGTGTCTGTGGCCCCCGTGGTGACTGATGTTCCAATAGTGAATGTCAGTTTTCTCTCCCACGCAACCTGCAGCAGTCTCAGGACCTGGGGAGGGAGGGGGTGGCCAGTTAACCTTTTGCATTGCAGTGTAGCGCAGCCTACACATGTAGGGAAGGTAGCATTGAAATGCACTTGCGTTGGCCCCAATTAACCTTTTTATTGGTGACATCAAAAGGTGTGGGTTAAAAGTTCCATTCATTCTGCATTCAGATTCACAGTAGAATCCAGTAGAATCTATTCCCAATTCCACGGACATTACAACAACTCTAATGAAAATGCTTCAGCTAGTGATCCCCCTTTACCACTAATAGCAGGGATTATTTTGTCCCCTTTCACCCTTGTTAAGTGAAAAAAAATCTGTGGCTTTTCAGGAATCGTATTGCGGGCATGCACATTACATTATTGCCACAAGGTATGATGTAGTTACGTAACCCACTTTCTGTCCCTTCTCAGTGTCTGGTAAATAGCACATCCTGGGAAACCCATTAGTTCTGTACTGCCGTCCATTCTGTCAACAAAAACAAGTGTTTGATTCTCACCACCATGCTGTGCATGTGAATTGGGGGTGAACTGTTCCGGTAGGCCCTGCACCCCACTGATGCGGGCGTACACAGTGCAAAGGAGGTGTTGACAATGTACATAATTATGGGCCATGGTTATACACCTACCACTTTTTCCTTGAACACTAGTCACCCTAGACTTGCATAAAATTTGCTCAAAATGACTGTACATGACCATACCCCGTACACACATGTACGTCAACAATCAAGCGAGGTCTCTGCGAACGTGGCCACACATATATACATGGACTCCAGGAGAGAAGTTGTAGACTATCTCGATGGTACCAGATCCCTCGTGACCAGGGAGAGAGCCCCTGAGTGTGTCTCACTGCCATCGTCCCATCCGGCATGTCACCTGTCTTTGTCCCGTACACCTTCTTACACGTTGGACACGTCAGTCCATTCTGTGGAGGAGAGTGTTTGATAGTTACTGCTCCAATAGACCGGGGGGTACTATATATGCTGGCAGGCAATGGGATAGTTCTAGTGCAATTATGGAGGTAATGCTGGGAAATTTGTAAGCTGAGTGGACAATGAATTTACTACAGCACAGCAGGGTCCACCCATTTATTTGCGATGTAGGGTCTGCCTAATCTGGGTGCTACATATGACTGTACGGGACAAATTATAACGTTATGGCTTGCGCCTCCCCATCTCTTACTTTGGCTGACTATGACTTTAACTGTGCAGACTAAGCGCATGCACTCGATGCAATGAACAGAAAGCAAGCCGCCTCCGTGTTCTCTCACTTTCTCCCCATCGCACCTTGGTCGACTCTGACTTTAGCATCATGAGCACTCCCCATCTCTTACTTTGGCTGACTATGACTTTAACTGTGCAGACTAAGCGCATGCACTCGATGCAATGAACAGAAAGCAAGCCACCTCCGTGTTCTCTCACTTTCTCCCCATCGCACCTTGGTCGACTCTGACTTTAGCATCATGAGCACTCCCCATCTCTTACTTTGGCTGACTATGACTTTAACTGTGCAGACTAAGCGCATGCACTCGATGCAATGAACAGAAAGCAAGCCGCCTCCGTGTTCTCTCACTTTCTCCCCATCGCACCTTGGTCGACTCTGACTTTAGCATCATGAGCAGACACGGTCTGTGCATCATGTGGCCACAGTTCCTCAACTTGCAGAGGTCCACCGGAGGAGCATAGGGAATAGGACGCATCTCCACTCCCCCTCCTCCTCCTCCTCCTTCGTCATCATAGCCCGACTTCTCTGATAGCTGACACATGCATATCGGACACGACTATAAAAAAAAAACAACAACAACAGTTTAGTAAAAGAGTATATAATATGAGAAGATGCAGTTACCCCATCATCGTCCTTATCCAGAGTCTTTTCAATCACCGCATATTCAGGTACCTGTAACACTGAAAGACATTTCAGTAAACTGAAAGACATTTCACCAGTCCTTGCATGATCCATGTGTAAACATGCTTACCCCCAGAGTCATCCTTGCCCCTTCGTCCCAGGGGTGGTGAAGAGGACACTGCCACGCCCTTTTTACCCCGACGACCTTTTCCAGGGGCAGCCGTGGAACCAGTTGTCTTTGAAGAACCAGAGGCTGTTTGCCCGGTGGTGGAGACTCCACTACCACCAGGTTGGGTATAAGAGGGGGCGGGTTGAATATAGGTAGCCGGTTGGCTATAGGAGGATCTGGTTATCATTGAATGAGCTGCAGAAGCAGCAGCTGACATTGAGTTGAGTATGTTTGTGGCAGGTCCAGTGGCAAGGGAGAACATGCCAGTCCCAGAGGCTAAGGGGGCTCCAGGGTGACCCACTGATACAGGAGCTAAGAGGCTCTGCAGTGATTGACCATGATGAAGGGGCTCTCTCTTGATGGTTCTCTGTGTCTGGTAATGGTGTCTCATCTGTGTCATTGTCGTAAAGTCCAAAGTGTAAGGAAGCATGCACGGACACAGCGACAGGTCCACAATGGGACGTCTCTGTTGATAAGCCTGTTCTATGTCTAGAATGGCTCCAATGCTGTAGACAGCAAAGTTAGTGTGACCCTCTTCCCATGTCCAGTAGGCCAAAATGGGTGGTGATGCCGGAATACTTGTTGGATGACGCTGGATTTTACACTCGCTCCCTGTAGACAGAAATAAGAAATCCCTGCTCGTACATAGCTAAAGAACATATTCCTTGTGTGGTTTGGTTTTTTGTTGCTGGTGTGTGTGTGTGTCGAGCTCACTCCTAGTCTGTTTCATCAACATGTTTTTCAAGTCCACTCTCAGCCCCCCGACGTTGCAGGACGACGATTGTGCGCCGTAAGCAGCTTCTATGATGGCACTGTCGTGGGGAGGAAAGGGTGAGTATCCGCCGTCTCTCCTCTGCCTTTGCCACACGACAACATTCACACACCCTCCGCTGATGGCAGCCATGCTAGCTAGCCTAGGTATGCGCATGCGCACTTTTCTGCGCGGTTGATTTCGAAGTCGATGTTTATGAATAGATCGATGTTTGTACCGAACTCCGACCGACAAAATCGAGGCGAGAGGTGATGTTTGAAAAAAAACACAAATATAAAATCGATCAAAAGGCAAACATCGATAAGTTTCAGTCGAAATTAGTTGCTATAGTTCGTATTACTTAGAGTTCGATGTTTTGCGACATCCGATATTTAGCTGGAGATCGATGTTTAGCTAGAAACACACGCTGCCTCGCGATATGCGCCGATCGATCTAGCCAGCCAGAGAATTCTCCTCCATTCTACAGCATGCGATGCAACCTTCGGTGACTGACCGAGGCTGTACCTTCATGGTTCGAAGGTCAACTTCAAAGTAAGCTAGGATTGCTCGTGCAGATACTGCTGTATGCCAGCTGCCTGATGGACCAAGACTTGAAGGCATAGTGTAAGTATATACCGTTCTGCCCACCTGCTCACCTTTCTGCCAATATACATAGATACTGTTGAATGCGAATCCCGCGAGATATCAAATGCCCTTGCATCTGGGTGTTTCCACACGTTGAAAAAGCATGTTGAATTTCTCGAACAATTTCATCCAATTGTTCATCGCTAATATTGGTGTAAAACACTAGATAGATCTAGCATGCTTCACGAAAGGAAAGCTCAGCGCTGACGGCACATTGTGCAGCCCGAACATCGCGGCTAAATCCCGAGTTGGGTCGCTCCCGCTCGCCAACGATGTTCAACATTTCCACTAGTATATAAAAATCGGCCCGTTGCGACGACTAGGTTGGCTCGCTCCTGCTCGCCAATTATGCGCATGCGCGGTAGTTACTGGCTCCTCCTCTGCGTATTCATTGGAGTTTTGCTCAGGACCGTAAAATGCACCTTGTGACATGGGTATTTCGCTTGAGAAGGAGGCGTTTAATGCTGATATTGGTGCTTGTTCTTTTCTCCTGCTATAGTATGACGCTGCATCTATACCACTGTTTCAGCAACCGTCCCGATGGGCTCACCGTGTCACCCTCCATCATCAACCGCCGAACCAGTACTATTAGCAGTGAACGGAACATTTCTGTACTTGTCCCTGCCACCGACTGCTCTAGGAGGAACTGCACACCTTCCGTCCACGCTGCATCTCCTTCGCTCGTTGGCGCCACCCGCAGCACAACTGGTGCGTTTCTCCCGTCGATCCCTGCAGCACAAGCTGGCTTCGACGGAGACCGCGGGGAGTGCAAGTGGGTGAATCTCACAGTACCCGGCCCGCACTACTTCCTGACAGTCGTATTCATAGTGAGGATCTACGAGAAAGACCTCTCCGAGATGACGACTGCAGAGGTGAAGCAGTGGCTCCTGTACCTCCGCTACGCCGGAGTTGAGCACGCGTACCTGTACGACCTGTGGTATCTACCTGGAGAGTCCCAGAGAGAGTCGCTGGACGTATTCATCAGAGAAGGTTACCTCACCTACCTGGACAGACATGAACTGAATCCTTACCTCCGCCATAAGTCTCAACTGCCGTCCTACCAGCACTGCATCGATACCTTTGGGAAGGACAGCACATGGCAGGCAGCAATCGACATAGATGAGTATCCTTTCTCACCAGAAGACACGGAGCCTGGGTTCATGTATCGCTACGTCAAGAAGTTTAGTGAACAAAATAGTGACGTGTCGGAAATCACAATGGAAAATTTCCTCTTCCTTGGAGAGAAAAACAAACCAAGAGAGCTCCTAATTGAGAGACTATGGCGACATACACATGGGCCCTCTAATAATCTAGTGAAGCCAATCTATAAGCCAGCGGACATCAGGAAGGCACAGGTACACCATAACGTGAGACGCAGAGGGCTGTCTGGGATGGCTCTGAGCAATGGACTGAGGATCAATCACTACTGGGGAGCCAGGCTCCAGGACTGGGGGCCAGACACCCAAGAAATCTTCACCGAGACTGAAGAGGATAGGGGAATGGAACCTATTGTAACCGCCTTTAAAACATGTGACAAGTATGTTCATCGATATCTCTAGGGTGCCTTAGAGTCATCAAACCAATGCCACTACTATGGCTATTGTTTAAACCAACATAGCTCCCGATCATCTCGAAAAAATGCATGCATGTGTGACGTGCGCATACATTATACACTATGTGAAGGGAATGTATTCCCAAACTACCATAAAGGAAGTGACCATGTACAGCCGCACATGTACATTCTGTAGCAGATCACTGATCAGTATGGGGTGCCAAACTGGTCAAAAAGCCATTTTGAACTCTCAACTCTCCTACAGAAATCCTAAATATTATATATATATAGAAGTCCTATTTATTATATAGCACTCCTATTTATATAGGAATCCTATTTGTCATATATATAGGAGTCCTATTTATTATATAGAAATCCTAAATTATTATATAGGAGTCCTATTTGTTATATAGCACTCCTATTTATTATAATTATAGGAATCCTATTTGTCATATATTATAACAAATATTATAACAAATAGGACTCCTATATAATAAATAGGAGTGCTATTATAATAAATAGGACTCCTATATAATGAATAGAAGTGCTATATAATAAATAGGACTCCTATATTATGACAAATAGGATTCCTATAATATAATAAATAGCAGTCTCCTACATGAAACAGCAGTGTTATGTATTTGACAAATATAATTATAGAAGGCCTATATGTAAGTATATAGGAGAGTTGAGAGTTCAAAATGGCTTTTCGACCAGTTTGGCACCCAATACTGATCAGTATGTGTTATGAATTTAGCAAAGAGCCATGCGGATGTTTCAATAATTCAATGACATCCAACAAGCAAACATATAGTATAGTACACATTAAATTATACATGCACATGACATGTGTACACATGCACAAAAGTGTGAATAATGTGTTCCGTGGAATGTGAAAAATTAATCTGCATGGATAGAAGTTGTTGGTTAATGATTTGAAATTTGAATATTGTTTTGTTAGCCCTCACCCATTCTAAAAAATGGTCATAAAAATTCCTTTTGGGCGATGTGGCAGAAAACGTGGTAGCAAACGGAACAACAGACAGACATACTAACCAACCAAGTACCGTAACATTTGCTACGCATGCACGCCTAGGGTTAATCATAGGCTAACTACCAATCCAGCTATAGACACTACTAATACGCTACAAGCAATGAGTGGATGCTATTATAAGACTATGGGCAGAGAACTTGTGTCTTGAACTCACATTGAAGTGTAAAACGACTGCCGAGGTTATGTTCTGACGTATGGTCTGAGAGAGACACCATCATCGTCCTCCTGTGTATCTGCAACCTTATCGTTGGGCTGCATGTCTACATACACATCTGGTCCATCTGTAGGGGCAGTGGAAGTATTGAGGACGGTATAGTAACACTATAATACATAGAGGTAAAGAAAAGCAATTTGAAAGCACTAATGTCTCTGCAATGCATGTCCCACGTGCACGTTCTGTGCCATAGAACAATTGTTTGAGGTTTGCCTTTGTCGTGCGTGTTGTAGATTTGAACCCCTACCTGCTGAGCTCAGTTGGTAGAGCGCTTGCCTATAGAGTGCAGAGTGTTGTGTGTTTGACTCCCACCTATATAGGCCAGCTCTTACTTTCTTGGAAAAGAGTTGTCCTGGGTGTTGTTGTGTTGTTTGTTTTGCATCTGGGCCCTGCTGCTTACTCTCACCTTCTCCATCTGCAGCTGGTTTGTAGTCCATGTCGACGTATTCTTCTACGCCTCCTTCGTCCTGCAAGTTCTTGCACGACTGTTTCCCGGGAGTGCCCTTCCCACCACCACCTGTACTCTTTCTACTACCAACGGATGATTTGATAATCTGCGGCGATTTATTTCTCTGTTCTCCCCTCTTCCTTAGGCCGGGAGGGGCAACTGGAGCAGGTCTTCGGGGCACGGGACTCGTCCTTTTCCCACTTTGAGGTGCATTTGGGTTGTATATGTTCCCCGGTGCTCTGTTAGGACTTATTGTAGTTCCTTTGATTTTCTTCCTGGTGCGTTGTGGAGCGACAGGCACTGAGTCATCCAGCGGTTCATACTCGTCGGCAGAGTCCAATTCCAAGTCGCCGCTGTTGTCTTGTTTGCTGGAGATGCAAGGAGAAGCCTGTCTGCTACTACTTCTGGAGGTGTTCAGGTCCCCGATTGATATGCTGCGTTCTACTTTGCCGGGGGTGGAATTCTTGGTTCCCAGGTCGTTTGAACGGTGCACTCTGTGTGCTGTGGCGGGTTTCTGAGCTCGTGGGGGGAGAGAAGGTGTAGCTCCCACTGGGTCCACTACTGCTCCTCTGCTGGGAGCTACCACACTCTGACTGGAGTTGGTGGCAGACGGGGGCCGCCAGAGAATTGAGGCCTGGGGCGCACTATCCCAAGTGTCCAACTCCTCGTACAGTATCTCATCTGCGTCTTCTGCAGGTTTGGAGCAAGTGGAGGTCGAATGGGAAGAACCCAGAGGACTCTGACTCTTTTGCTGCTGACTTGTGCTCGTGTTTGGTGCCGCAGAGCACGAGCGTTGCTTTGTTAGTTGTCTGCTTCTGAGGGCAACTGCGCTGCTAGCTAGGCTCTGGGCTTTTTTCTGCTTGGCCTTTATTACTGCCCTGCTACTGGGCGGTGGAGGCCTCGGAGGCCGAGGTTTACCACTCGACGAAAACTGCTTGGACTGTGTCGGGTCTATATAGATGTCCTCTGGCTTGTCTTCCTCCATATTGACAGTAGGATCAGACTTGGACAGTGTTGGGTCTATATACATGTCCTCAGGATTGTCCTTTTTCCAAATCGACATTAGGATCAGACACCTCATAACCTCCGCTGCTTCCATCTGATAGTATAGTAGATCCGTAACTATAGTTTTCCCTTGTTTCCAACCTGTCTGTAAGTTCCAGTGGATCTGGAGTCTCATACGGTTGGGGCGGTGTTGGCGGATCTCTCCTCTGTCTGATGGAGCTCTGGATACGTCGCGAGAGCTCGCTCTTGGCTGGAAGTGGTGGTGGTGGTGGTGCACTATCAGGATCAAAAGGAGGGGTGTGGGGTGGGGATTTGGGAGGGAGAGTGGGGGGAGTGGAGGGATGAGACGGCTGCGAATCCGACACTACTGGCTTTGACTGCGGGACGCTGTACGTGAGGACACTGGAAGTTCGAAGTGGGGGTGGGGGTGGGGGTTTGGAGTTACTCTGTGTAGTGGTGCTCAGGGAGCGTGGTCGAGGACTGGTCTCCCTCCCCTCAAACGTCATTCTCCTCTGGAAGACAATGCTCTCACTGCGACTGCTGCGGGAACTGTCGGGAGTGGAAGGAGTTTGCGGTGATAAGGGAGACTCCTCCACAACCTCCCCCTCGGGGGTGGGTTTCCTCGCTGGAGATCTCGGGGGTGGAATTGGTGATGTTACCGACTTCTCTCCTTCTTCATTGCTCGGCAGGTGTTCAGGAGTTGTGCAATCTTTCTCAGCAGGGGAGGCCACTGTGTGTGTGTGCACATGCAAGTGTAGATAAACAGTATATACAGATGGTGTTTTTACAAGCACTATAACGTCAGCAGATTCACTTGTTATCGAGTATAGTACAGGGCACCATAAAATAGGTACTCATAAAAGTATAGAGATAGCAATGCGTGCATTTGCATCTAAGCTTTGTGGTGGTTGTGGCGTGCAAGCGTTACCCAATGTTTTGTGTCAAGTAATATTCTGTCAGTTCAGAGGAAGCAAAAGTATTGCATAGTGGTGGAAAAAACTTTCAGGTATTTTGTGGAGAAACTTGTTGTTTACCTGACCCTCCCGTGCCCACAAACTTTCACGAAGTATTCTTTTGCAAACGACACTCTAACCTTGGTATAATTAGATTCGTGTACATTTCTTCCCTTGCATTTTCCTGCCATAATAATTATGATAGCTCTGCATGTAGCTGCACTGACACACCTTTTTTTATCCTCCTGGGGAGAGGTACAGGTCTACTACCATCAGCTCCAGTGCTCATGGCTCTCTCTCTGGCGTGAGGATCTGAAACTGTGACGCTTTTCTGAAGACTGGCTCCTCCTCTCAGAGACTTTGTCGTGGACTCACTCTGCTCATCTGACAGAGAGTATAACAAAACTTTCACCGAAGTCCATCTAGCTTTGCCAATTAGCTAGCTACTAGCCATGAAGACACTGTAGCCGTAGCCGTGAGTGTTTCATGGGGGAATTTTGAGTATCTATGGTAGGATTGGTGCTAGCACCCACATGTGCCTGAATCCGCTAACTAATGGCTAACAAGCTAAGTGTAGGCCTAGCTACGTGTGTTGAGCTTACCAGAACAGCTAGCAATTGATCCACTCTGCAGGTCCACGACCAGGTACGCGAGTTCCCTTCTCCGCCCGAGAGAAAGTTTCTCGCTGTGAGTTCTTGCGACTCTGCGTTGGCGGGACTTCAGAGAGCGGGTCGACGACGGTGCAGCGAACGTGACCCTCTTACGTCTTCGCTGCTGGGCGACGCCCGGCCGTCCGTTGACCGCTGGCTGACGGTCGCTTCTCGCAAGGTAGGTAACGATGGGCTCCAAGTAAGGAAGCGGCTTGGGTGCCTTGGTTCTCCTACCACGGCGTAGAATAACGGAGTCGATATTCACGGGGCTCGGATCAGCATTTCTGCATTCCGCGCACGTAGAGGTTTGGTTTACACAGCGGTGGTGGTGCACGGAATCCGGTCGTTTGTTATCATCGCTTGCTGGAACAACATTCTGCGTCTCTCTCGGCCCGAAAAATTCTTGTCTTGAGAGTGGCGACCGGAGAGGGGGCGGTTGAGGACTCACAGCGTCCAGTTGCTTGGCGGGTGACGGTTTGGGCGCCAACTTGGGCCTGTGCGGAGACGATACGACCATCACGACTGTTGTGGCCATACACCGAGCCTTGGCTAGCTGCGTAGAAAAGGAACGGTAGCAACTACTGCCGGCGGAAGTGAGCACGGAACTACATAGAAAGCGGCCCACAAAAGGTTTGTTATGGCTTGCGAGAGGTGGGGGTGGGGCTGGTTCGCTCGTACGCGAGACACACACTCGTAAATTTTGACAATTATAAAAAGTAATAAGTGACCGGGATGCCATGGTGCTTGATACAATGACAGAATAATAAGCTCTATATAGCAGTGAGATGGACACACAAAAAGTACGAAACACACAGAGTTTCAGAATCGGAGAGAAGAATTATATCTCAGTCGGTGTTGAGGGTGAGGCAGACTCCCTGCAGCACCCAGTGAGAGTCGTGCTCCGTTGTGGCCAGGTCCGCCTCAAACACCAGCCCCACACCCATGGCGTTACGTCTGTCCGACGTCGTGTAGACTGGTGTTCCAAACGTGTTCTGTATGAGAGAGACACATTAGTGAGCAAACGCAGCTCCATTTTCTCTTTTGTATTGCCAGCAAAACTGCCCTTTCTTCTATATATAAACTGGCCAGGTATGGAGACTTGTATGTGCCGTTCTTGCACATTTCATTATGTAACAGGGTGGGCAGGACAGCAGATGTTACACTCGCACACCAGAGGATTGGATTATATTTATTACGAAGTATTGAATTGGCACACGGGACAGTCGGCACATGTGCTTGGCCAACTCCCTATTCCACCAGTACGATTACAGACACCCCATTGCACCATGCATGTCTATCACTGAGTCTACCAACACTGTATATCATCTGAGGCTCCATAATGGGGATATTGGCGTGAGTCCCAGACACTATGTGTACGTAATGTGGCCCTAATTACCGGCCGCCAGTGTGTGTGTGTCATTAGCACTGCAGCGGAAGACCTCAAACCAGGAGTTTGCATACACAGTTCTAATAGGATTGCTGCAGAGCCATGCTGCCACTATTGGGTGCTCTGTGTCAACCGTTAGCACTCTGGGAGCCAAGTCCCACCCAACACTGGTGGACATGCAGACGAAATGAAGCTGTTCTTTCTCGCCAGAAGCCAGGACAAAGTCATAGCAAATGTAATGTGCATGTGCCCGTACCATACATTAGTACATAATAATACACACGTCAGTCTTGCAGTAATACACATAATTATACACGGCATACACATAGAATAGTGCATAGTACGTGTACGTACATTGTGCATAATGTACACCAATTAGCTCGCTGATTTTTAACACATAGTGTGACCTCACATCATGTCCATAAAAGGACAACCTTGCGTGTATATCCATGGCATGCTAGTATATAAGAGTAGTGGGTGGAACATTGGAGTGTGTACTACACTCAAGGTTAGGCGAAGGATGGGTCTTTCTGGAGTGACATAAAACACCACCTAGAACTACGTAGTAGTATGGAGAACGTGGGAGAAAACAAAGCCTATACTTGGATGCCATGCCAAACTCCAGAAAGATGATGTAATCCATGATCTAATTAAACTAACATGTGTGACAAGTTGTACGTAGTAGTACGGTTCAGTGCCTCTACAGCATATCGGTAACATAATATCGTACGCTGAGCTATCAAATAAGGGACACAAAACAGACTGTGCATTGGAACTACAACTCTGGCACTTACGACAAGTTTGAGTCTGTGTGCTTCAATTGGAATGACTCTCAGGATGGGGAGCTCCTCAATTAGAACCTTTGGATGAGATTTCAAGAGGCACGAGTTCTCAACGTCCCACCGTGCACCTTCCAGATAGAGCCCGCTCACATAGCAGCCCGACGGTGCCTTCTCAGTGATCTGGTCCACATTCGTGTACTGTGTGTGTGTGTGTGTGTGTGTGGGCAGTGAAAATGAGGTTTGTTTTATATAATCATGCTAGAGTTTCAAAGAGTTGGTCCTGGACCGTTTAAAAATTGAGAATGCACTATGGTTCGAGGGTGTGTATCTATCACTATGTAAACAGGTGATGATGCAAGCGTTAAAAAAAATTTGTGGTAGGTATACAGACAGTATGAGTGTATTTACTAACAGTATTTAGATGGGAGGGAGAGGGTGGGTACAAACAGAATGCCAGAAAAAAGAGGATGCCAGAGGCCCACAAATTGGACCACTGCCACAAATCTAATTTGAATTTGGCACGGCTAAAAAAGTTACGTGAAAATGTATTATGTCAATAAACACAGGAATACTGTGTATTGGCTAGCCAATGCTCCCCCTAACTAGGGCCAATAGTAAAGTGGATCAGGCATGTTATGTGAGTGCACCTATTGGAAGTCTTATATTCCCCCTAGGGAGTATAAGACTTCCAAGAAAATAATTATGCACAACATAACCAGTCTGATTGTCACATTATCAAAGGAAACACGGAAATTAAATTACACGCATCTATGCTCTAATGATGTGTGTGTGTATGTACTTCAGTGACAGACGTGTAGAGAGTGGACTTATCAAGGGGCCAGCCGTTCTTCCTGCAGGTTGCCTGGACCAGGGCAGTCAGGTAGGACTCTGGGATGTGCAGCCCTGATAGCCACATCACACAGGGCTCCCCCTCATTAACCTGCAATCACACGAAGAAGTAAAACTGGTATAGGCATACTCCTACTAACCGAGGACACCAGTAACCGTGTGTAAAGGTGCAATCATGCTGTACTCAGCAGAATAATGAAGTTTGATAGAAAATTGTCTTGAGAACCACCCAAACGTTTTGCGCAAGTGGGGATAGTTATGTGTCATTGAACAAGCAAGTCTCCTATGAAGTTCTCAACCTGTTAAAGTGTACAGTGTGTCATCGTAGTGGCGTTCACAGCAGGACCTTACCCACTGCAAGTACTGCTGGTTCCTCTTGTGGAAGTGGATGATCCAGTTGCCCAGACCCTTGAGAGTGGCGGGAGCCAGGGCCCGCCATATCGAGGGCAGCTGTCCGTTGTACAGAGATTTCGCTACTTCGTCCAGCTCAGCACTCATCCCCACCTCACCCGCCAGCGCCTGTGAGTGAGGTATATACACATTAGAGTGAGAGGTCTGTACTATAGTGTGAGTGTGGTACACAAGATAGAGTGAGAGGTCTATACTAGTGTGAGTGAGGTACACAAGATAGAGTGAGAGGTCTATACTAGTGTGAGTGAGGTACACAAGATAGAGTGAGAGGTCTATACTAGTGTGAGTGAGGTATATACACAAGATAGAGTGAGAGAAAGCTTACTCTACAGCTTCACCACTTCCTCTATTCGCTCTGGACGAACCCCTTATAGGGTACGTGACACATGTGTTTGTGAGTAATGCTGACTGCAGTAGGACGTAATATCCTCAACTCGGCAATTGTAACAAACTTACACAAAAAGTGTTGACATTATAGGTAGCAAAATGTAGGCAGTAGATAGATGTACTGGCATAATGCGCTGCAGAGTGATACACGAACTATGCACACACTGGAATGAAACGTACCTTCTGAAGGCTGCTGAGAGAGACGGCCATTCTCTTGATGAGTTTGTTGAACCTCTCCAGCTCCTGGAGCAGTACGACCGAGGTCGGTGCCACCACCTCCCCCAGGTTCTTACGAATCACGTCCAACTCGAACCCCTCTGGTAGCTTTGCCTGGGAAGAGAGGTGGGGAGGGGAGGGGGAAGAGGGAGTGAATAATCTTGATAAGTGTCTACCAGTCAATAGAAACAATAATGTTTGTGTCATTCAAGATCTGGAGTTAGGTACACTTTCAGTTTTAGGTTCTTTTGTGCATTGTGCAACAGGGTGGTGAACTAAACCCAGGATAGAAGCTGTATGTACCCAGCTAGAGGTGAGTGCATGGTGTTGTGCAATAGAAGAAGACTCAGTTACATCACATTGACTGCAATACCCTTCCCTCTATACACAAAGACAAACCTTTGCCCCCGGCATCACTATATTTACCGACATGAATAAGACCAGCAAGAGGATAAATAACACAAGCACCTCTTCCTGCCGCTGTGTACACATGGGTTCCTGCCCCTACAGGAGGAACTATCCTTTGCCAAAAAGCACAGTGTTCTGAGTACACTACATGGGGCAGTGTGTTATTCTATACTATCAACCTGCTTTCTTTGCATTTTGGCCACGCTGATATTGTGAAACGTTTCTCTCTGGAAGGTTTCCCGCAGTACGGAATATGTATTTCTCCCACCTCAATGTCGGAGGCAAGGTTTCCAATGAACTCCTCACGACTGATGCCCGTCCCTGCCTCCCCGGTCTGGGGCTGCAGCTCTATCAGCTGGATCCACAGGTCCTTGGTGGCTCTCGTGAAGTAGCCAATCTCTGCGTTGGTGTGGAGGCCAAAGACCTCTGGTGTGTTGGCCAGTGGGAGAGTGTCTATGTACTCCAGATAGTTGTCTCGGGTCCCTGTATGATGGGATATCCACTGGTATATGTACTAATGTACATGTACAAGTGTATGTACTAATGTACATAATGTACATGTACAAGTGTATGTACTAATGTACATAATGTACATGTACAAGTGTATGTACTATGAATGCTCAGTGTAGGTGTGCAAATTATTTCAGGAAGGCACCAAATGTGTTTAGCATCATAGCACACATGCTGGGTGTATTTGTCAATGTGTGTACACGTTAGATGCAACGGTACATGTGTGCACATGCATGCTTGTCTAGCACTGCATATTGCTGCGCTACTGCAGGCAGGGCACACACACAACTTGCACAAAGAACAGTGTATCACAAACTCGATTATGGCTCAAAACAAAACTTCGTGTCAAAGAGAGCTTCCTCATTACACTAGCTATTGTGCATGATGAAAGTTATTGTCTCTTATAGGAAGGATACTGTGTCAATTTACACAAGATACGTATCTCAATGTTCTGGTGTCAGACAATCAACTTGCATGCATACGTATAGGCCATTACGTGTTAGGCATGCGACACAGCACTTTGCTTGTTTATGCGATCTTCACACACAGTTCAACCCCAAATGAGTCTATCTTTCACTTTCATTAATGCTGCATTAGGTTATGATCACAAAATCATTGATACTATAATACACCACGTAATTTATGAACAAATGTATGACTAGAAAGGTGCCGCACATTTAGCTTAAATAGTCACCTTTACACACAAACACACGGAGTATCACTACCTAACATACGTACGTACCATCCTCAGGGATGCAATAGTCCACCTCCTGGTTGTGGTAGAAGTGGAACGGCTGGAAGGTGTCGAAGATGAAGTCTCCCATGTACTCGTCCATGTATGTCTTGAGGACTCTGCGGTCAAAGTCATCGATGGCTCGACCTCCATACATCACCTGATGCAGAACATCATGTGCGCATTGATGTGCGAGTCATCATAACTGTGTCTATGCTGCCTGATATATGTTTAGGTGCTCATTTAAAACCATGTGCTAAACAAACTGATGCATCCACATCGAGCACCCTAAAGAGGGATAGAGTGCTCACCACATGCGCAAAGAACCCCAAGCCTATGCATTAGCAATTAAGCCACAGTTGTGCATGAAATTACATGCAGCGTATACGAGCAGCATTGGACACTTATAAAAGTATGACATCTTCGGCAATTAAGTGTATGAAACTATACTTGCAGTATATAGTATAGCAGCATTCGACACTTATAAAAGTATGACACAGTTGGGGAAGTTGTACGTAAACAGGGATTATTGCTGACTCACCTCACCGATGAGGTACTTGAGAGAGCCCCAGGGTATCTTGGTGTCCCCACTCTCCACTGCCTTGCTCAGGTACGTCCCCAACACATCCATACACACACGAAAATCCGACTCGTTAAAGTCGTAAGACACATTCCAGCCAATCTGTAGGTGGATCGTTAGTAATACAATGACGTTTGAAGGAAATATTGGCAGAGTTCATAAATGCAGTATGGGAATTGAATGCTTCGGGAGTCATGCAGGAGTATTCATATGTGATGATATACATAGGCAACCGCATGCAGTACATAGCTGCATGGCTAAAGAAAACCCGGGGCAATGAAACATGGGCACATCTTTGGTCTGTCCAAAGATGACATTAATGGGTAGACGTACGTATGTAGTCAAGTTACCACATAGTTGAGTGGACATTGTTGCCACTTGGTAGCAAACAACAATTTCGAGTGAAACTGGTCCCCATGAAAAGCATTGCTGCCTGATATGAAGTTCCCTACTAACTTACTTACACATAATACCCACATCATATGGCATAGTATGATGTATATATGTATGTATGTATGTATGTATGTATGTATGTACGTATGTATACCCACCTTCCCATACTTGCGTCTCTCCTGGACGACGGCGTGGAAGAAGGCGAGAACGTAGACGAGAGGTTTGAAGGCAGTGTGGGGACAGGTGGACTCTTTGAGAGAGGCCGAGGGGATCTTGAAGTAGGTGTTCCTCAGATTCAGCTTCAGCCCATTGGGAGGCTCAGTCACCACCTTCAGGGATTTCTGACGAGAATATTATTATACAGAGTGTGAAAATTTAATTAGAGAGGGCCAAATTTGAAGAATAACTTTTTCAAGGCAAAGAGAGATCTAGAAGCCAAATTAATATCCACTGCATTACGTAAGTGGCCATCTCTCATTGGTCTCTTGAGGCTGAACCAAATTCTGACGGTGAAAATTTTGCCAATTTGAAATGCACCCACCAAATCACAAAAATTGAAGGGACCGTCAAATTTAGAACCTGTAGTATTCCTATGGGGAAGTCGGCGGTGGGCTGGGTGGTGAGCCAGAGTCTGAAGTCAGGGTGAGGCCGGGAGATGTTCTCCAGAGCCTTCTCCAGCTCCTTGAGCCAGTGGATGAGGAGATGGCAGTTCTGGAGCATGAGCCAGTGACCGCGCTGGGCTGCAGTCTCCAGCAGTTGCAGCGCCACCTACGTATACATACGTAACATGTATAGATGTACATACATGCTAAGTGAGAGTTTACTGTGCCATAACACAGTGGTTGGAGGTTTGCCTTGTGTTGTGTTGTGTTGTAGATTCGAATCCCTACCAGCTGAGTTGCCCTGGTAGCTCAGTTGGTAGAGCGCTCGCCTAGACTGCAGAGTGTCGTGGGTTCGAATCCCACCTAGGATAGCTCTTTATTTGAGCTGTCCTAGGTGTAGTTGATTTGTTTGTTGTGCCTTTGCCTTTCTACCTCATAGTTTTCACATACATTGGCATTGTTGATGTACACATACATATGCACAGAGTAAACTCTAATGCTGAAATAAATGTGTAACACCGAAATGACACTATTCTGAACAAGAGGACCTCCCAGATAGCAGCAAGAATGAACTACATACGTACCTAGTTTGGTGCACACAAAAGATGAATTATAAACTAGTAAGCTACTGATAAAGATTTATGGGTCGAAATATCTACATAGCTTCTTTTTTTTAAAGTGTTGCCAAATGATAGAGACCTTCTCCTGTCCCTGCCCCATGGCGAGGAACTTGAAGCGGTTTCCTCCGTAGCCCATCCTGTCGGCCAGCTTCCAGAGGTCCCCTGCAGGATCCGCACCCGGACTCAGGATGAACACGATCGGAGACTGCGGCGTGGACTGGTCGTACACGGTATCGAAGCTAACGACTGGGGGCGTGACGTATTGCTCCCCCATCCTCCCCGTGACGAAGTTGGTGATGGCTCTGTAGACCCGGTCGACTCTGAAGCAGCGGAGGAGTAGGAGCTGCTGGAGGTCAGTGAGTCCGTCAGAGTAGCGGCCGGGGAAGGGGAATGACTCGGGGGCATCTCTGTCAAACCACTGTCAGAGCCACAGACATTAATACAAGAGTATCACTACTACATGTATATACGTATCTCAAACTATAGGGAATACCGAATACCTCAATGATAATTATACACAAAAACAGCGTATTTCACCTGCACAACAGTCAGTGTGTGAAAGATTGCTATGTATGTGTAGTATGTTTAATGCAAGACTAATGTACATACTATGCTAGGCACTTTTTAGTAATTTTTTGCACATATTATTGTAATGGTGCCATTAGACACCCACAAATTGCAGTCTAATTTACGTACACTGAGAAACACACATTACGTACCTCTTGCCAGGACTTTTCGTTCCTCTCAATGTCGTCTGCCAGCGATCCAAACACGTCGGGGAGGACAGACGTGAGTTTTACAATGTCCTCCCAGCCTTGCTCGGGGAGCCAGTCGTACGGCCTGCGGCGGGCACTCTTCTCCAGCGATATGTTCCCCTGTGGCAGGAGATATATACGTACAACGTTGGAGACTGAGTCATAAGGCTGTTGCAGTTATCTCATAACACAGATGCATGCAGATACACCATTATAGCGAGAGGGAGATATTTTGTGAATATGCAAAAGGTATAGCAATCCACTACGCTGTACCAATTTATCGGAGTCTACGTATATTATGGTACTGAGTCCACTGCTGGTACTGAATGCACTGCTGGTATATACTGAGTCCACTGCTGGTACTGAATGCACTGCTGGTATATACTGAGTCCACTGCTGGTACTGAATGCACTGCTGGTATTGAATGCACTGCTGGTATATACTGAGTCCACTGCTGGTACTGAATGCACACTTGAAGCACACATACAACACATGTATGCAGATAGCCCGTTTCTATATGTGAGGCTATGGCATGAGGCTGTGTGAAAGGAAGTGAGACTTCAGAATGGAATTTCAATATGTATACCAGACACAGGATATGCATATGCAGTGGAAATAATGCCTTTGAAGCTGTCGCACTGGCCGTCAGGTGTAGGAGAGGTTATTCCTGATGATGGCTGAGTGTGGAACAAGAGTTGTACTCTGACCTTCATGAAGAAGTCTAGTTCGTCTCTGTTGAGGCTGTCCTCCACCTCCTGTATCTTGACAGTCATTGAGAACGAGAACAGGAGTTTGTGCTGCTCAAACAGACCTGCAGATCCATACATACATATGTACGTAATGCATGGCCATTGCAGAGACACGCAGTTATACACATGTAAATAACTCCTTTGAAAACACCAACGGAAAGGTAAAGTAATGTCACATGTCTGCAGATGTATCATTAATTTGGCAGTTCAGTGACTGTGGTCACGCAAGGTTCACATCAAATACACACGACAGTGACTGCCTAATTCAATGTCTGCCAAAATATCCAGTTGTACACTATTTTCAAAGTGTTTTAAATACATGGCATACTGTATGTACACTATACGAAGTATACGAACCGGTGCAGGCATAGTGGTATATGTTGAGGGAGAGTGTGTTGATGATGTTGCGCAGTCTCTTCTGAAGGTGGCTGTCTGGAAGGCTCTTTCTCAGAGAGTAGTCAAACACTTCCAGGTAGGAGCTGAGGGAGTATTGGTACATGGGGTTAATGGCCGCCAGGTCAGCCAGCACAAAGAACAGGACGGCTCCGCGGCGGGCCGCCGGTCGGTAGCCATCACGGAGAACTTCGATCTCCTTGGTCGTCTTCTCCGCCTCCTGTAGCTTCTCCATCACCTACCAGTTTAGATACAGTCATATATACTCACACTGCAGTATATGTACATGTGTATGAATGATGAACGTATAATGTATCAAACCCAAAAGGGTAAAAGTGTCACGTCTAGTGTGAGGTGTATTGGGTAAGATATTCTGGACCTCATCACATACTGTCTTCTACAATGAAATGGAAGACCTTTCATAGAGATGTCCTGATTTTAGAAGTGGGAGAAAGATCGCGAGGCAAACGAAAAGTCTCCTAATCAGGAATATCATGCGGGAGGGAACCAGGGGTAAAGAGTGTAGGCAGGTCACACACCTCAGAGGCTTTGGTCTTAGTCTCGTCGAGAGTCTGGACCAGCTCGGCATTGTCCAGCATGTTGCCAGTGGAGGTGGCCAGCTCTCGCAGTAGCGTGTCCTCCAGCTCCTTCAGGAGACGTTTGTTGTCACTGACAGAGAATGGAGGGAGAGATCGAGGTACAAGAGGTAAGAGTGGTGCAAGAGATACGTAGGTGAACAGCATACAACTGAAAGATCTATAATGTCTTGACGTCTGATAGGAAGAATCTGCACACACAACATTCATCATACTGAGGTAAGTAAGAAAACATTGCGAGGGCAGACTTCATGCACCTATGTAGCTAGCAATCCAGCAGTGCTAATGTACATATCCCCAAGGAGTTCAGGGCTAGGAGACTTACACACACACACACACACGCGTGTGCGCACGCACACACGCGTGTGCGCACGCACACACGCACGCAGACACACCTGGTCTCCTGGATGAGTCGCGCTCTGTCTTCCTCCAGCTCTTTCTTCTCGAACCCCACGATGACACTGAGGAGCTGGTCCTCCAGTCCCTTCAGAGTCACGGTGTAGTTGATGATGGACGTCCGACCAAACACCGCCGGAGTGTACTTGGGGTTCGACAGCTTTGTGTTCAGGTACAGCCTGCGAGTAGTATGGGAGTAGTATAATATGATACATATGTACGTGGTCCTATGCACAAGCTAAGCTTTTCACCCATACTAGTGGAGTGTTTCAACTGTGATAGCATGATGTGTTTGTGTGCTGAGTTCGATTGCAATATTTGCCAACAACCCGTTCAGCCTAAAGCTGTGTGCAAACAAGCCACCACGTGTGTTTTAGCGAGTGAGACTGACTTGAAGGAGGGGTCATAGTCCACCTCCTTGTCTCCCAATGTGATGGTCATCTTGTTCCCGGAGCCCTTGGTGTTCTTATCCAGAACCGAGTCAATCACCGGGTCGATGTACTCATCAACATCCTGTAATACATTCATACATACAGCAAGATTAATTTTCTTCTGTGCATGCGCATGCACTGATCTACGCATTTTCTAAAAGAAAAAAAAGAAAAAAACAATAGTCAGATTTACTAATCCTACCTCTCTACAGAGGTACAGTAAGAGTCAAAGAGGCTCCTTTTCCTCCTGAAACACGTTCATTAAGCATGAAATATTTCGTCCTGTTTCGTTGTTTAATTTTGCTGTCGTTTGAGTATGAGGGTTTCCAGTGAAAATCTTGCATATATGTGTACTATACATACATAGGTGAAGGTGACCTTAAACATGAATGGGTAGCCAAACTTGATGGCCAGCTCCAGTTGCTTGATAAAGTCGGGGTTGTTAAAGGTGGAGATGCGGAGGTTGTTCCTCTCCTCTTTCTTCCTGATCCAGTTGAACGCCTGCCGTTGGGGGTCGATGCACAGAGGGTAGCGCGATGCCTGCAGGAGATACAGAGAACAAGAGAGAAAGATAAGTGAGGATACACATCTTCCATTATGCAATAGGGTGCTGTAGTGGGCTCTCAAGCTAAGCTCCCTCCCAGTTGTTTTCTATTACAGGCATATACGTAAATGTGAACCTGTGTAGTGAGGATGCCATTCTGAATCGAGAGCTCATCAGGAGGCAGGGACTCTGACGTCCACTTGCTGATCTCCACGTCGTTGGTGAGGATGGTCTCCAGTTTAAACGGCTGGCTGACGGGGATCTTCTTCCCCAGGACGTCGCACTGCCAGTCCTCCATGATCATCCGGTGACGGAACTCCCAGGAGAAGGCCCCGGCGTAGCTGAGGAAGGCCGCCGAGAGGAGACAGTCTCCGAGAAGACGAACACGAGTCTTCTTCAACTCCTCCAGCTCGTGGTTCCACCTGCCAAACGGTAAAGTGTAAGTATAAAGACAGACAGAGACCCTTGGACATATGCAATGACTTTGTATACGTAGTACGAAGGCACATATGTGGGCTAAAATCAGCAAGTACGATAAAGATGTGGTCAAGCTCACGAGGAACGCAGTGACCTAGCTGATATGGCCCAAAGCGGCGTACGCAAGCGCTACTGGCGCAGATACATACGTAGCAGAGGTCTCGAACTAAAGCGGACAGTGGACCACTTACATAATGAGCAAAAGAAAGTGTGTGTGTTGAAGAAGGTGGGGCAAGTATTCGTGCTTCGACCGTTGTATGTACCTCTGTTTCTCGGAGCCGAGTCCAGAGATGAGTTTGCTGGCTGCGGCGAGTCGTCTCTCCATGAGCTCAGCCTCCTCCACCAGGGTCCTCTTCTCCAGTATGGCCTCCTCGTACTGCTTGCTCAGTCGAGCCAGCTCCTCCTGGATGCTAGCCACCTCTTTCTGCATCTTGTCCAGCTCCCTCTTGCTCATCTGGTAGTTCCGCTCCAGTTGAGCCACCTGTTCCAGTAAGCATGTACATACATAGGCGGAATTGTATGCAATGCAAGTTTGCAGACGATTAATGCTTGCCCCTTGACAAAGCCCCGTGACAAATTTCATCTATAAGACAAGACTGGTATGGTACGTGTAGGTATGGTTAGTAAGATTTTGCGCAGTGTTCTAAATATGCACCGTCTTTCATGTCTTTGTAAATGCATATGTGGACATGGCCAAATTGTATGAGGTCTCTGCTATTCGTTAATGGCAAATGGATACTACACCACAAGCAACGGACCCTGTCTCTCTTTGGTTTGATCTGTCTGGCAACATCGCAGTAGCCTAGAACAGCGTTCACAAACTTGAAGAGTCCTCCGCCGGCCTTGCTGATCTGGCTCATGCCAGCGTAGTCTGTGTCCATCTTGTTCACCAGTGCCGTTGCCTGCTTCACCTGTAGTAGCAGTCCACCATGGGTATTAGATTTTATTACGACAGCCCCTCTGCTAAATATTCTAAACCACTCTCACAAGCCACTTCTGTTATTAATACACTTAACTTTTACAAGGGTCATGAATATGGCAAGCTGAGCGAACCAACATCGTTGACTATTTATCTGGAATACCTGATTTTTCTGAACAGAGCTTTCACCATACTGTAATGTTACACGTAATTGAAAAAAAAAATGTCGAAATTCCGCCTGCCATGGATACATTATGGACTAGTATATACACCATAGAAGGTGGGTAATGCCATGAAGAGTTACATACTGTTCACCTGAGAAACAGTGATGCCGTCGACGTCCATGTTCTTGAGAGAGTTGAGAAAGTTAGTGTCCGACATCATTCCCTTGGCCGTCTTCCAGCTGACCTCCTTGGAGCCTTTCATGATCACAATACACTCGCACACGGTCTGCACCTGCTGCGGCGGCTTCGCAAATGACCTAGAGACCAGTGTTTGTGAAACATTAGTACGTAGGGGATTGAAATAACCAGTGTCATGAATGTATAGGCACGGTCGTTCCATGCAATTAGGAAATGCAAGCACATAATATGGTTGCATAGATCCATTATGTTAGTCCTACTGTTCCCAAGGCTTCAGGGTCTCATACATGCAGTGTGGGTGCTGCATATTCAGAACACTTTCGTATTGCAAAGTAGGCCTGGGTATGATGCTCCCAATACATTGAAGTCGCATGAGCAATTTGTTACCCTGAGTAGGTCTCATGCTTCGAGTCTCGATATGTACTTGGCTCTGACCTGATTTCGGTGACATCATTCTTGTTGAGGTCGTCTAGAGCCAGTCTGGCCTCCTCCAGGGCAGGCAGAGCCTCGGCCAGTGACTCCTCCGCCTCACTCTTCTCCTTCGCTATCACCTGTATACATTACCACAGACCACACTTTAGTAGACTATAGCAATGGAAGGGGTTTGGGTTATGTTAGTTGAATTCCAGGAGCTCCACAATGACATCAGAGTATCATGTAAACCCGTAACTGTACTATGTTATGTTGTGCAGTATTATATATAATACTGCCCAAAGTATGTTTTTTGTACTTTGGAAAGACTTAACGTAAGAGATTTTCAAACATTTGTGTACCTTATTCTGTTCCTCCATCTCTTCGCTCTTCTTCTCGGCCTCCTGCTTCTTTTGTGTCCCGATCTCCTGTTTGCTGGAGATGTCGGTCAACATCTCCTCGCAGGCCGCAGATTTCTTTGTCACGGCCACCTTTTGCACCTCCAGTTGCTCGTTGAGGACCTTGATCTGCTCCGAGGCCTCGTTCAGTTTTGTGAGTCCGCCGCTCAGCCGCGAACACTGGTCACAGATGTACTTGTCCTTCTCGCGGAGGAGTTTCGTGTAGGAGCTGATAAAGTCGAGGTAGTTTTTGGGAGTGACGTGGTTAGAGCGACGCAGTTTCTGCTGGAACTCTTTGCTGAACTGGCCGACTGAGAGATGGACGTGGACCACGTGCTCCACCACGGACGGCTGATGGTCATCTGGGATCAGCTCATTCTGTAGTGTACATACATTGGGTGTGTGTTCACATGCAAATGAAGTGATGATTTTTGACTTAACAGTTACTTTGTCTTTTACTCATAGTAGTCTGATATCCATAGCACTTTGGCCATATACCACTCAAAAGTAAATTGGAAAAACCTTCAAGCTTTATAATAAACTCAAGAACAAGACAGTTCCTGAAAGGAAGATAAGTAGCGTCCACCAATTGCTGCAACCGTTAACTTATGAGAGCTGGACCAATGTATTTACACATGCACAATTTATCTCAAACGGCCAACCTGAAACTGTTTCTGGTTGAAGCTCATGCCTATATACACGTTTAAAGGCATGCCATTGGGCACATGCACATACTTGTCAAAACATTGGGGGTTTGTCCAATAAACAATCCAATCAAGGTTGGTACGCAAACATTTATGCTTAGCACCTGAAGTATAACGTCGGCGTGCTGCGGGGGGGCTGGCTCCTTCGTTAACTACGTTTAACCTACTGTTAAACTACATTTAACTCTAGTTGCCTATTCTATACTTTGGAGGAGCCAGACCCTGCGGGGGTGTCCGATTCCGTCATGTGGTTGTCACGTGCGGACCCCGGCACGGCGGGCCACGTGATGACACATGGTCGCCCCATGCGGATGCCGCAGGTCACGTGGTAGGCCATGGGCTGCCTAACTTGGTCACGTGACCCCCGTGAGCATCCTCTTGCTAATTACCGGGTTCGTTATCTTGGCAGGACACCCCCCCACGGCATGCTTCTTTGGGGGCGTATGATTGCGAGCCCCTGTTGTTAGGGGCGAGTCCATGTGTAATTGAAGCTATACTGGCTGGATGCTCATCCAGCAGTCATATTTTATGATTCATGTTACGTTCTACAACCTCTTATAACTTCTTCTTCATAATTATATCAGCATACACTACACACATGTTTTTGCCTGTTGTGTGTATGTACTGTTGTAATTTTCTTGGAGGTGTTGCAATGTTTGTGTCTTATCCTCCCAGTTTAAAACTGCTATTCTTCTTCCTCCTGCTCTTCTCAGAGGCAGTAAAAATGGTGGGACGACAAGTTCTTGTTTATCTCTTGTGGGCTCCACAGCTACTGGCTGTGGCTCTGGATACAAAGGGAATAAGAAGTGGGAGAGGACTAGTTCCTCCCGTCCTTGTCCTCCCCTGCCTCCCCCAATTCCCCCGTCTTCTAAAAGCGGCCCACAATTGGTGGGGTCAGATGCCTGCACGTCGTGATCCCTGCTGACATTGCGCTTTACCGTACCCATGGCTCTGTAACAACAGGGAGTCCAAACTAGGAAAGTATCAGAGGGAGTATCGAGAATGCGATGATTATTAAATTACGATACCTCTGTCGTCTCTGTGTGCCGGCGAAAGCTATACTCCCGTGCCACAAGCTGTGTGGTCTGACTCCTTTAGTTGAAACTCTGTCGCATGCCACGGCAAGATTTTTCGATCTACAGTATTGCGTCAGACCGAGCGATTAGGGTTAAACTGTCACGTGCATGTTTCGGTCTACCGTGAGCAAAAGTATGCATCCTTTGCTGGATGAATGGACCAGGCAGATGAAAAAAGGAAAGGAGAGTTTCCATATTCATGACTGTGAAAGAGTAAGTTATGTGGTGCATTTGTTGTGAATAGCCATTGGTACGCTTAGTTATGCGCCTGCAAGAAAATGTTGAAACCCTCGTGGTGTTGGGAAAGGAATGAAGGGGAAGGTGCCATAGGAAAAGGTCAGAGGTCAGAGTGATTGTTTCCACACTTCAACAACAGTTAGAATACATACACAGATGGTTGGCAGTCTTTTCCTGCACTCATGTGCCACAACATTAGTTAGACCCCATATACTAGAGATCTACTGCCTCTCTAGAACACGAGTCTATTGAGAAAGCACACACACATGCACGGAGGGTTCTGACCTCTGCGAGGAACTGACTGGCCACGGCTTGCAGGGCCTGTTTCGGCCAGGCAGTGAACCAGTCAATGGAGGTGTTGTTGACCAGTCCGGGGAAGTTCCGGCAGCGGGTCTTGAGGAGCTCCCCGATGGGAGACATGCAGAGGACAATGTGGAGGTTGCTGGCACTCTTCTTGACGAAGTAGGACCAGACACTCTCTCGTGTGGGAGAACGACCCGCCTTCATTGCTTCGTCACGAACCTGGTATACGGGAACAATGGATCATGACAAAACTAGTTGGATATCTCAGCTACAAAGCTGTATATTACCCTTCACTGTGACAGATACACTCTATGTATGCCATAGCTACACCAGTGGACAGAAGAAGACCGTAATTTTATCAGTGAAAGAAGGAAAAAGTTTCACCAAAGAATGAAGTACGTACGTAAGTGTTGATCTTTCACTAATAGCTCTCGTAGGAAATTTCATACCTGTCCGATGATCTGCTCTTTCTCGTCATCGGGGAAGAGAGCTGGGACCATTCCTGAAGTCAACATGTTGTTCACCAGCTCCAGAAATCCTGCAGTCATGTACGTACGTAGCTCAGTCATCTCAAACAACAAACATCCTCAGGCAATAATTACACAATACCAGGTTGTTCCTACCCACTCAGGGTGTGAATATGTGAATATCACTGTTGCAGGAAAACCTTCTAAAACACAGAGTTATACGTACACATGCATGCACACTGAGGGGTTACCTTCTTGTGCCACATGTCCATCAGTGAAGAGAAACACCATCTAAACAACAAAGGAATAGAATGCGGGTAAGTTGTCACATAAATGGTGACATGGGAATTTTGGCTTGCTTGCTGTTTGTTGTTGAATAGGTTGGCTAATATGAGTTCAGACCTTCTTATTCTCCAGTCCCAGTTTGTGGTAGAGTTGTTTGAGGTCCTCTCGGAACTCCTCCTCTCCGTAGCCGCGACTGAGAGTGATCTCAAACACCTCGTAGCCGGCCGCAAATGCCGCCAGTCGGCGAGGCTCTGGCGACCACTCCCTCCCACTCCCACCAGGAGGGCGTGGCCCTGGTCCATACGAATCACCCTGGAAAGTAGGATGAACCACTTGTATTGCGATTGTTTATTCTTGGACAGGTAAATGAAAGAGCATTTTAGAATTTCCTAACTTACAATGCCTACTGCCTATAGCATGAATGACCAAAAACCAATAGTGCAAAAAATGCATGTGTACTGTTCCTGTAGTGGAAAAAAACTCACTGACAGATCGCCAGAGTCTCGTCCATGTCATTCAAAATGCATGAGTACACTCGTGTGTGTGTGTGTGTGTGTGTGTCACCTGTGTATCCTGGTGAGGTGCTCCAAGGCATTCTCAAAGAGTACCAGGTTCATTCGCTTGTGGTTCTCATTGTACTCTTCAAGGATCTGCAGATACAGTACACCGTATTCACACACAACTGCTGGTGTATTTCTTGGATACAGAATGCGTGTGTGTGTTAGTGATTTTGATGTGCAGCACATAATTCAGAGTGATAAGTATGCACGTTCCTAGCTAATGAAACCCCCAGTTCCAACACCTGTAAAAAAACACCCACAAGTATATGTATGCAACAGATGGAGAGCTCACCTCATCAAAGAGGCCCTTGGCTGCCTCGTAGTCCTGGATGTCCTCGTAGACCCTGGGCTGCTCTGGCTGGAGGGCTGTCCGGTAGTCGCCGTACAACAGAGGCTCTCGCAATGCAACCTTCACACGTAGTATATATATTGTAATGAACCATAAGTCATGTAAGGCAAGCGAAAAGCACTTGTTCAACCACCTGGAAAAAAATCTTTTTTTTCCAACAAACCCATGGGTGAGAATTAAACACTTATGTCCAGTTTTGCCGAATGGTTGATGGTAAAACCTGGACACCACTCTGCGCGACTCTGCCCTGTAGGCCGAGCACTCTTCTTACTGAGATACCAGGGTATATACCTCAGTAGGCAGGGTCCTACTTAGTACACAAACAGAAGGACAGGCTAACAAACCATCCTAAATACTTTGACTAGAGCAGGAGAGAGCAGTGCAAGCCACCCTCAATAGTTACTGTTTAAAATGGGGTGGCCTAGATTTTGTATGTATAAGGTGGGCTAAATTTTTCGTACTTTTAGTGAGTACGCAAACAGAAGGACAGGCTAACAAACCATCCTAAATACCTTGACTAGAGCAGGAGAGAGCAGTGCAAGCCACCCTCAATAGTTACTGTTAAAAATTGGGTGGCCTAGATTTTGTATGTATAAGGTGGGCTAAATTTTTCGTACTTTTAGTGAGTACGCAAACAGAAGGACAGGCTAACAAACCATCCTAAATACCTTGACTAGAGCAGGAGAGAGCAGTGCAAGCCACCCTCAATAGTTACTGTTAAAAATTGGGTGGCCTAGATTTTGTATGTATAAGGTGGGCTAAATTTTTCGTACTTTTAGTGAGTACACAAACAGAAGGACAGGCTAACAAACCATCCTAAATACCTTGACTAGAGCAGGAGAGAGCAGTGCAAGCCACCCTCAATAGTTACTGTTAAAAATTGGGTGGCCTAGATTTTGTATGTATAAGGTGGGCTAAATTTTTCGTACTTTTAGTGAGTACACAAACAGAAGGACAGGCTAACAAACCATCCTAAATACCTTGACTAGAGCAGGAGAGAGCAGTGCAAGCCACCCTCAATAGTTACTGTTAAAAAATTGGGTGGCCTAGATTTTGTATGTATAAGGTGGGCTAAATTTTTCGTACTTTTAGTGAGTACGCAAACAGAAGGACAGGCTAACAAACCATCCTAAATACCTTGACTAGAGCAGGAGAGAGCAGTGCAAGCCACCCTCAATAGTTACTGTTAAAAAATTGGGTGGCCTAGATTTTGTATGTATAAGGTGGGCTAAATTTTTCGTACTTTTAGTGAGTACACAAACAGAAGGACAGGCTAACAAACCATCCTAAATACCTTGACTAGAGCAGGAGAGAGCAGTGCAAGCCACCCTCAATAGTTACTGTTAAAAATTGGGTGGCCTAGATTTTGTATGTATAAGGTGGGCTAAATTTTTCGTACTTTTAGTGAGTACGCAAACAGAAGGACAGGCTAACAAACCATCCTAAATACCTTGACTAGAGCAGGAGAGAGCAGTGCAAGCCACCCTCAATAGTTACTGTTAAAAATTGGGTGGCCTAGATTTTGTATGTATAAGGTGGGCTAAATTGTTCGTACTTTTAGTGAGTACGCAAACAGAAGGACAGGCTAACAAACCATCCTAAATACCTTGACTAGAGCAGGAGAGAGCAGTGCAAGCCACCCTCAATAGTTACTGTTAAAAAATTGGGTGGCCTAGATTTTGTATGTATAAGGTGGGCTAAATTGTTCGTACTTTTAGTGAGTACACAAACAGAAGGACAGGCTAACAAACCATCCTAAATACCTTGACTATAGCAGGAGAGAGCAGTGCAAGCCACCCTCAATAGTTACTGTTTAAAATTGGGTGGCCTAGATTTTGTATGTATAAGGTGGGCTAAATTTTTCGTACTTTTAGTGAGTACACAAACAGAAGGACAGGCTAACAAACCATCCTAAATACCTTGACTAGAGCAGGAGAGAGCAGTGCAAGCCACCCTCAATAGTTACTGTTAAAAAATTGGGTGGCCTAGATTTTGTATGTATAAGGTGGGCTAAATTTTTCGTACTTTTAGTGAGTACACAAACAGAAGGACAGGCTAACAAACCATCCTAAATACCTTGACTAGAGCAGGAGAGAGCAGTGCAAGCCACCCTCAATAGTTACTGTTCAAAATTGGGTGGCCTAGATTTTGTATGTATAAGGTGGGCTAAATTTTCGTACTTTTAGTGAGTACACAAACAGAAGGACAGGCTAACAAACCATCCTAAATACCTTGACTAGAGCAGGAGAGAGCAGTGCAAGCCACCCTCAATAGTTACTGTTAAAAATTGGGTGGCCTAGATTTTGTATGTATAAGGTGGGCTAAATTTTTCGTACTTTTAGTGAGTACACAAACAGAAGGACAGGCTAACAAACCATCCTAAATACCTTGACTAGAGCAGGAGAGAGCAGTGCAAGCCACCCTCAATAGTTACTGTTAAAAATTGGGTGGCCTAGATTTTGTATGTATAAGGTGGGCTAAATTTTTCGTACTTTTAGTGAGTACGCAAACAGAAGGACAGGCTAACAAACCATCCTAAATACCTTGACTAGAGCAGGAGAGAGCAGTGCAAGCCACCCTCAATAGTTACTGTTAAAAAATTGGGTGGCCTAGATTTTGTATGTATAAGGTGGGCTAAATTTTTCGTACTTTTAGTGAGTACGCAAACAGAAGGACAGGCTAACAAACCATCCTAAATACCTTGACTAGAGCAGGAGAGAGCAGTGCAAGCCACCCTCAATAGTTACTGTTAAAAATTGGGTGGCCTAGATTTTGTATGTATAAGGTGGGCTAAATTTTTCGTACTTTTAGTGAGTACACAAACAGAAGGACAGGCTAACAAACCATCCTAAATACCTTGACTAGAGCAGGAGAGAGCAGTGCAAGCCACCCTCAATAGTTACTGTTCAAAATTGGGTGGCCTAGATTTTGTATGTATAAGGTGGGCTAAATTTTTCGTACTTTTAGTGAGTACACAAACAGAAGGACAGGCTAACAAACCATCCTAAATACCTTGACTAGAGCAGGAGAGAGCAGTGCAAGCCACCCTCAATAGTTACTGTTAAAAATTGGGTGGCCTAGATTTTGTATGTATAAGGTGGGCTAAATTTTTCGTACTTTTAGTGAGTACACAAACAGAAGGACAGGCTAACAAACCATCCTAAATACCTTGACTAGAGCAGGAGAGAGCAGTGCAAGCCACCCTCAATAGTTACTGTTAAAAAATTGGGTGGCCTAGATTTTGTATGTATAAGGTGGGCTAAATTTTTCGTACTTTTAGTGAGTACGCAAACAGAAGGACAGGCTAACAAACCATCCTAAATACCTTGACTAGAGCAGGAGAGAGCAGTGCAAGCCACCCTCAATAGTTACTGTTAAAAATTGGGTGGCCTAGATTTTGTATGTATAAGGTGGGCTACATTTTTCGTACTTTTAGTGAGTACACAAACAGAAGGACAGGCTAACAAACCATCCTAAATACCTTGACTATAGCAGGAGAGTGCAGTGCAAGCCACCTTCAATGGTTAATTTTAAAAATGGGGTGGCCTAGATTTTGCAAATGCTGGTAAGGTGGCCTAAATTGTTCGTAGTTTTACAGTCGTATATAGAAATGCTTTTCGTAAAGTGCGGTTGCATAGACCTCGGACTGCTCCTGGAAGTGTCCCTGGAGGAGTTCACTGAGGTGGTCTGACACCAGCCCCCTGTCCTTGTCATTTGTGAGTCGGTCGTAGAACACCCGGAGACACTCGTTCCTCCAGACCCTCACAAACGACACCGTCTCCTGGAAGTGGTCTGGGAGGGTGGTGAACAGGCCGTGGTAGATGCGCGACAGGTCCCTCAGGTTGAAGATGTAGTGGAACTTGGAGGGGGTGGGGGGCAGGTCGCGCACAATGCGCTGGTACAGCTCTATCGTGGCGTCTGTGATCGGTTTGGCCAGCGCCTGCACACCTGGAAGTTAGCAGATGCATAGTCAGTGAGTCAAACGGGTATATAACAGCAAATCCAAGCCTACGTACATAATGTACGTCATTTAGCTACTTAGAAATTTTAATTCATGCTTGGTCAATGTCGTAGATATCACATCTTATTACCAATACCAAGGAATACATGAGTTATCGTAAGTCTTTCCCCCAAGTTGACTTGCTAGTGTAAAACACACTTTTCTTGAAGGTCTGTAGGTGGCCAGTGATGATGGAGAAGTAGATGTGAGAGAGTGAGTCCATTGAGGGGAAGGTGGCATTGAAGGCACTGAACAGTGATACAAACCTCGGGTCCACCTCGTTTCTCCCTCCTCCAGCCTGCACGGTAAGTGGCGTGACATGAAGTAGCACTTTATGAGCAGCACAATGTAAAACCCAAACACTACTGCTAAGATACCATGGTTGGAGTCTTTAGACAATAGACGGATTTAAGAGTATCCTTCTAGTACACTAAAAGTTGGGTAGTAACTTTTCCCATGGCTGCTATAAAGTGGACGTCTTTGAACATCTTCCAGTTGAGGTCTTTGCCTCTGTCAAACATGCCTCCTTTCTCCAGCAGGAGTTTCAGGAGAGCAATGGGCTGCTGGGTCCCATATGTATCCACCTGAGGCATGTTCATGTCGTCTATGAACACCAGCAGTCGCTTGCCTGCAGGAATGCACACCATCCACACATGAAACCGATAGCCAAGAATTATGATGGATCAAGAGGTGGTGATCATACGAGAGGGGACGTGTTACATCTCTTAGAAAAAGATTACGGGCTCAGCCAAATCTGGATGCGGTTCATAATATTATTGTACGTAAGATGCACACACACACACACACACACACACCGGGTGGAGGACCATAGACATCCTTCATCCTCTTCTCCATGTTGGCCTCCAGATTCCGCTGGACGTCCATGGAGGTTGTCCTTGATGAGAAGTTGACATTCAACAGCATCTACTCAGAAACAGCGGACAAATCATCCAGTATAATTATAACATTCCTTTTACAGATAAAAAGTGATCATTAGACACTCTTAACACAAATGTATGTAGGTGTGTATGTACATATTTCTTAGGCTGACGTATATACCTGTCCTGTAATGTATACAGTGTGTGTGCTGAGTGGGCTGGAAAGAACTCACGGTAGTGTAAGGATCCAGCTCTCTGAGGAAGTTCTGGATGGTGGCAGTCTTGGAGGTCCCAGTCTCTCCGACTAGGACCACCGGTCTCTTTATCTTGACCATCAGCTCCAGGAGCCACGTGTTGCACACTGTGTCCACCGTGGGCACCAGGATCTCATTGTACGGCAGACTGTGGTTGTGGACGTACTCGGGGACCTTCATAACCCAGGGGCACCCACTTGCCCTCGTCCCCGTCGTAGAAATACTCGTAGAGAGTGGAGTGATGAACAGGGATCTCCCCTGGACCGGCTACAATGCCCTCCCCGGGGACTTCGGTGAGGTTGGCGAGTTTCTTGACGTACGCGTCGAATTTGACGCGGCTTTCCTCGATGAGGCAGGCTCCGAGGGACCAGTAGAGAGCCGTGAGGAAGTAGCACTCCAGGGTTGCCGTACCAAGTGCCAGACCAGCCCCGGTGCCACCTTTCTCCTTGGTCTCCTCATCTGGTTGAGGCAGGAGGGCATCCAGCATGTTACAGAGCTGGGTCACCTGCAGAGCCAGATTCCCAGCAAGTCTCAAGTCACTTACTACAGCTGGTAAATGCATCAAAGCTACATGCATGTTTCCTATAGTGTAGTTTAACCTCTAGGTAAAATGTGTTCCTTTAGCACATTGCTACAGAATGAAGTTTGCATAGAAAAGCTGCAAAGCTTCGTATACAAATATGCATCAGAGATTTGTAAGACTGTGTATATATGCAAGTGCGAAGTGTGCATCAACGTGAGCTCACAAGGTTGAGATTGGTGACGGGAAGAATGGTCTTGAGTTTCTCCCCCTGTCGTCCATCCATGATGCCCTCCAGGATGAGCGAGACACACTGAGGAACATACTTGTCGTACAGCTTGGCAAACTCTTCCCGGTCCGCCTTGTTCGGGTGGCCGTTGACCCAGCGCTCCCAGTAGGGCTTGTAGCCCAGGTTCTTGGGGTCCACAAACACCATCCCACACCGAGAGACTGTGGCTGGACTGGCGTACTGCAGGTCCCCCACCTTATCAGCAACAACAGAGATGATACAATACATACACGTATTAGGTAATTGTTAACCAGGAGGCTTTCTCTTCACAGGCGGTAGAAATGTGCTGGTATCATTGATTATACACATTCAGTTTCCCCTTTACTTTACCACCAAGAGTTAAGAACTGCCTCAAGCAAAAACACTAGACTGTGGTACCATGTGTATAGCTATAACCATACACTATACTCGTAATTCGGCACACACAACTGACAAGAGTGAACCAGGGAAACCTATGTACTTTACCTCGACTAGCAGTGCACAGTGTTTCTGGAGACGGATTCTCTCTCCATTGGCGAGAGTCAGGAGCTTGTTGTCGTCCATGACAGAGTTCATGTTCTCCACCCACAGGGCATCCACGTCTCCGTCAAACAGAATGTACTTCCTCTCGTTCTTCTCCGTCGGTCGGTTGATCTCCCTGAAGATGTTGGAGAGGAGACCGTCGGTCCAGTCTCGAGTCACGGGGTCCAGGATCCCGTACAGCTCTATCACCGTCACTGCCTTGGGGTTTATGGTGTACAGCTTGGTGCTCAGACCCAGCCTGCAACGTGGAGCAAGCACATGTACACACATGAGTAGCTTCATGTCTTTCTTTTTTCAGTGAATGAGTGAAGAGAGTTATTTGGCAAAAACTGACATTTGACAAATCTGTACGACTGTGCTCACACCAAACAAACACGCAGACTGGAGTATGCTGATCAAGGCATACATAGATTTCAAGGCTTATGGCTTGTATGTAGAGTTTTTCCATGCATGAGTGAAGACAATGCAAACGGCAAGAAAGGTTATTACTAGGTTCGGTAATTTGACAGATAAATGACTGGTGTTTCACTGCATGTGGATGCCAAACTCCTTCAAGTGTGGCCCATTGAAAGGATGAGAAAGAAGGAGTCGAGTATGGATATACTGTACCTGGTCTGAGACCGAGCGAGTGTGTTGATGACGACAGACTTGCCTCCTCCAGTGGGACCCACCACCATACACGTGTGCCTCGTCAGCATTGTCTCATACAACTGGACCACCTTGTCCGCCTACACAATGATGGCACACGTATGTAGTTCGTTATTTTTTCGTTCTTCTTTTAGCCACCTCTCACTCTTTTTTTTCTCATGCGTAAAAGTTACAACAGGAGTATTTTCGAGTGGTGGACAAGCAGTACACTTTTGAGGTGCAGGAAAATTTTATCATGTTTGTGTTGAATGCAAAATTCATACGATGAGAATTTCCATCGGGCAATGTACAGCAAACGATCTGACCTGGTTAGGGAGTAAGATGTACTTGTTCTCCATGAGAATAGCCTCGACAGCATCATTGAACTTGGGATAGCGGACACGCGGGCAGTCCAGTCCGGGAAACAGGTCACCAATCAGCCCCAGAAATAGAGGGACGTCCTCAAACACAAACTTGGGGAGGTTCATGTCTCGCAGGGCCCTCATGAGAACCATGTCTTCGTGGAGATCAGGGGAGCCTCTCTTCAGCTCGCCAGCCATCACCAGTACAGCCTTGAGTGCCCGCAGACCAAAGTCATAGTGGTACTGTCTGGAGAGCTGCCCCTTGGCCAACTTGTAGAGCACCGTCATCTTCTTGGCTAGCACCTGCAGCAACCCGGAAACCGTACCCGCTAAAACACTCGATTTCCTAGTAAAACCTTATGTTCAGTTTTTTCTGTCATTCATTTTGGCGGTGGATAAACAGGCCCGGAAGAAAGAGGTTGTACGTAGGCTCACTGGCTGCATATACTTCACACATGGCAGTAGACAAATGTAAATGGAGTGTCTCACGAGATGAAATGAAAGATTTGCACCAGTACCATAGCAGTATGAGTATCATGCCCCAATGCTATGCTGCATGTATGTACACAATACACAAGGGCACTACAGAGAGGTGCCAACCTTGGCCATGAGGAAGCCCTCGGAGAAGAGCATGATCTCACAGATCTGCTGGAGGTCAGGGACAATGACCACCACTGGTCTAAACAGAGCCTTCACACTCTCTGGGAGCTCAGTCCGGCCCGCGTAGCCGGGGTTCATGGTGATGAAGATGCCCACCCTGTCATCTAGAGCAATCTCCACTCCTTCAAACTGTGTAGCATTAAATTACGTAGGTGGTAGGAATCTTCAACATTCATTGAACCGTTTTTCTTACTTGGAATCTCTTGTATTTGTTGATGAGGGCGTTCTGGATGGTCTTGATTTGCGTGGAGATGACAGACAGAACGGAGATGTCGATTCTGTTGAACTCATCGAAGCAGCCCCAGGCCCCACACTGACACAGACCTGAGTAGATCTTACCAACAGCCTGTGGCATGTGTCGGTGGTGAAAAATGGGAATGCCGCTTACAAATACACAGTAAACCCTAGAGACTACGAGTGGAAACTATCATAGTAAACCCTAGAGACTAATATATGAGTGGAAACTATCATAGTAAACCCTAGAGACTATATATGAGTGGAAACTATCATAGTAAACCCTAGAGACTACGAGTGGAAACTATCATTTCTCGAGATTCGTAGATCCCAATCCTTCCTTTTTCAGTACGGACTTTCATCCCCACTAGAACAACAGTCTGGGTAGTTCATTATCAACTTGATGATGCGCAAAACAACTTTCTCAATGTCATAGTTCTGTGTGACTCACCTTAAAGTCCATGCCCTCTCCGCAGTTAGTGACGACACAGAGTAGCCCCATGGCCTTGGCCAAGTCCTTGACTGTCTCTGTCTTGCCAGTACCAGCTGGTCCAGCAGGAGCACCGCCCAGGTGCATGGAGAGAGCCTGGGTGATTGTGAGGTAGATCCTGTCCGTTAGCGAGGTGATCACGAGGCGACCGTTGAGGCCCATGTACTCGTAGCCGAAGCCAAACTTGCCGGTGCACTGCTGCACCACCAGCTGGTCAGAGTCTTTCTCCCAGTAGAACCTCAGCTGGCTCTCCCACTCAAACTCCCTCGCCTCAAGAATACTGGGGACATAAGGACAAAACAGTCGAAAAGTGGACTAGAGGGTGAGCCAATGTCTAATCTGGGGCCTAGAATGTCTAAGAGAGTGAACATGTACTTAGTCCACATTCCCTTTAAATTGTAGCAGGGAGCAGATACTTGGATAATTGTCTTCAAATGTGTTATTTTTTCTAGCTGTTGCGTGTATGAAAAATCTTACCTGTCCCTCACAAAGCGGTCGATGATGTCTCTGTTGTGAACGTCAACAATCAGGACTGAGTTGAACTTCTTCCTGTCATTCTTTGACAACTGAGACCGTACCTGCATGCGACGTTGCACACAACAACTGTAGTCACTACTTGACATGCATCTCTTCCCTTGCTGTGTAAGCCCAGGTACACCCGGGCATTCTTGTCCGTGACAGTAGTGCACAGACACAGTAATAGTATTAAGGGGTGCTCTAAGAGGCAGCGGGGTCTCTGTGCATGCACACGTACCTGGACCACCAAGTCATCGATTTGGCCGTGTAGTTTCTTGGAATAGTTCTTCATGCCCATCTTGTCCCCTCTCTTGACCTTAAGGAACACGTCTTCCACCTCCCACGTCCACCACACCTGGTTGGCTGCCAGGATCACCATCCCTTGGTAGTCATACATCCACTCCACTCTACATCACAACGCAGTAAGGCCAGCCTTCAATATGGTTAGGTTGTACTACTGTATAACCAGAATATTGGTGGCTATGAAACTTCACATTTCGCCAGAAACATGAGCATACGTAAATAAAATGGAGCCTCTAGCATTGAAAACGTGAAGCCTGCACCAATTTTCAACCCGAGATGGGGAGGAAGAGAGAGCAAGACTGAAAAGGCAGACCTAGTTTTCTGCTCGAAGTAGTGGAACACTGCCTCTTTGGTGATGAGTCTGTTGGTCTGTCTCATCTCATTCAGAACTCCAGTCATCCAGTCCTCAACCTACCACACACACAGCAGCGTAACTAACAAATAATTTTGCTGAACTCCTATCACCAATGTCCTGTGACACTAAACCGCAAAATCAAGAGATTATGACTGGCCAAACTCTTGCTGACGTGTGAAAGCATTGGCAAATTTTCTTGTGGACGTGTGAGTTTGCTACACAAGAGACTTACATAGGGACTGATGGAAGACAGAGTTGTAGCTGTACGTGTGTGTATGTGTACCTTCCCCTCTGCCAGGACACCTTTCTTGTACTCCATCATTTCTCCCTCACTGGAGATCATGGCATTGGCGATGGACTCTCCTCCGGGACCCTGGACAAACTGCAGCTTCGAAATGTTGTCAAACATCTGCAACCAGAGCAGGCACAGACTCAGTCACAGACTCAGTCACATATATAGCTAAGCATTCATCTAAAGCTACATGAGACATAGACATAGATACGCGCAGTAAATGATGCATGCACTGTGCATGCCAAAGGGTGTACATGTAATTGCAAGCAACGCTCTAGTTTATAACTTCCCGCATTAGTTGCTCGAAATACTTAAAACGCGTTACAACACGAATATTATATACCTCACCAAACATCATTAGAGACCTGGCGACCAGTACAAAGATTCATATAGTTACAGTAGAGCTCGCCTTGATCATGTGCTCCTGTACGCAGGTACACTCGTGGCTCCCCAGGATGGAGAGAAGCTCGTCGTCTGAGATGAAGAAGAAACGAGGGAACGCGTTTCTCTTGGAGTCCAGGTAGTCGTTGAGGCTCTTCTGGCACCTCTCCAGTCCGTTCTCTATGGACTGGAGGTCTTGGAGTCGGTTCTCTGCGTGACACGCATCCAGCACCAGCGGATTCTTAGACGTCTCTGTCATGATCTGTTGCAGGTGTGAGGAATATCGCAATCAACGTGCTTACTTTCCTGCCGCAATCCTTTATAATTTCACGTACACATTACCAGATTCACAATATGCACATTTTCCATCACACAGATATTAGCAAAGCCATTGAGTAGTGTGCGATCCAATGGAACTAGTACTATATACGTAGTATACATGCACACACTGTTAAAAAATGTTTCCTGCTCATTTATACAACGCACATGCAATAGATCTCATTTTTTACCTTCTTGAACAGCTTGTCAATGTTGTCAAACTTCTTGGCCTCCTCGGGTAACTGGGCGCGGATGTCTCCTGCCAGAAAGATGCTCTCCAGATACATCCACTTCCGCTGGACCACCATCCAAATCTGCACCACGCAAACAGCCTCAATATATGCTCACAGTAGTACACATATGACACCACCGTAGCTTTCTTCTTAGAAACAGCGCACGTTCTTATCAATCCACATACACACCGAACGGTTTCGTTATGTGCAGACATCAAACTCCATTCAGACTTTGGAAGAGACTGGTACATACATGTATGCACTACTAAGAACATTGACTACAAAACTGGTAGGCAAACCCCTAGTTTTGAGTAGATGTTTGACGTACGTACGTACATACATACTCACCTCGACCACCTCACTGATGTGAGACAGACTCTTCTCCCACTTCTGAACCTTCTCCAGGAACGGTCCCACGTAGCGAGAGGCCGACATGGACTGGAGGTTCATGGAGTTGTCGTCCAGTGTCACAACTATCTCGTCCACTACTCCCAGTATGGTCCCATGCTCAACCGTCCCCTTCATGTACCTGCACAATCACAGCCAGAGTAAGCAGTATACCGTAGTTTATAGGGAATGCAACAGTACATAACAATGACTGTAACATTCTCTTTAATTAACGTGTATCTCTGCCTGACTGACCGAGGTAATTAAGGAGAAACCGCAAAATATGGAGTGATGGCAGAAAGCGGTGTACAGGCCATATGTGCGTGCATTGCAAGGTAAACATAGCACTGGAAGTAAAGCCTAGAAGTGTATTATGCTCTTGTTGGGTACGGAGAAGTGCTGATTGTGCAAAAGTTGTAGAAGTGCCAGCTTAAAGAGGTATTACTTGTGAAGGGAGAATCGCTGGTTGTGCCAGGTGGTCACCACTTCGCTCAGACTCTTCTCAATGCTCAGCTCCTTGTTGGCGGAGCCCACGATGTCCGAGATGGTGTCGGCAAAGTTGTGCAGCTCCATGGCAAACAGGTTATCCAGAGTAAAGGTCTCTGGGTTCATGTCAAAGTTCTTTCCAGTCGACTCCATCAGCTTCTCCCAGTGCCTGCATGATTACGAGTAGGTCCTTTGATTCCCACACCCCCTCTCTGGCAAATAAACTAGTGGCACTGGTTATTGGCCAATATAGGTAGAACTGGCCAATATACACGCATACTGCACTCTGCCACCTTTTTTTCTCACCGTCCCCCTCTTGTCTTACACATTCGACAGCATTCACACATTTGTTAACCCTCGGCGCGCATGCGCAGCGAGGGTTACAGTAGTTGGGTTTGTCTGTCTGTGTGTCTGTTACTCTTCATCTCACTTCTCGAGTGTTCTTTCGTCTCACAAATGATACCACCTACCGAACAGGCAATGAAGGTCAGAAATTTCGAACGGTTTTCTCTGAAAACGCTCCGTTGCAAAGCTAGAGCGCTTCCACCGTTGTACGGCTAATGCGTAGTCGGCCATTTTTATCACTGCGGAAAACGCGCATGCGCTTATATTTAGCACAGGACCGGGTCTTCTTGCTCTGTGTATTTTGAAGGCACAAGAAGTCACAACGAAGGGCGTGTATCGACTCTCGCATTTGTATCAGTAAGGAAGCCCCTCTCTTTTTTCCGTACCCACACATCTCACTTGCGTCTCATAAACAACTATCGTCCTTCTCCCTCCCTGTCTCTTTCTAACACATGTAACATGCAGAGCTATACACACGTACAAAGTGCCACACACATAACCTGTCTCTGAGAGCATCGTTCTTGAGGTCGGAAAAGAGAGGGATGGAGTCCTTGAACTCCCTCATCCTCTCCTCCAGCACGTGGCACACTGCCAGAGCCTTCACCTCCTTCGGGAACTTGCGCAGTCTCTTCATAAACTCTTCGATTCCGTCCGTGAGGACCTGGATGTCTAGATTAGCCCACAGTGTCCCTGACCACTCCTCTCGAGCCAACTGCAAATAACATGGAACAGCAAAAGCAGCAATTTTAGCAGTTTTAGTAGCATGCATAGGAAAATGGCAGAAAACGATACTTTTGCAAGAAACGCCTTTCGGTTTGCCAGTCATGCCCACTAAAATATTAATGTTGAAATCTGATGTCCTGCCTTTTGCTAAGTTCACAATGCATTGTGTTGCCTTGTCGCGGAAACGCAGCATTGCGCAACAAGGCAATGCGACGCGCTACCATGTATTGTGAACATAGCTTTTCTGCCAGCCAGCGGCTATTTTAAATGGTAATGATAAAAAAAGTCACTTTGTGCATGACTGTATGGATGGACTCACCCGTTGTGCCTCGTAGAGCTCAAAGACAAGGGCAGAGTTCTTGAGGTCTTTCTCCACCTCCAGGAGGTGAGGGTACCCAGTGATGGCCAGGTCAAACAGCTTCTCGGCGTTGGTCAGTTCTCCTCGCTGGGCCTCAAACTCTGAGTAGTGGGTCTGGTACTCCTTCAGCAGGGCAACTCCTGTAATGAGAGATTTAATGATCAAGATAGTCTCTATGCGGTTAATGCCCATCACTATATAAACAAAGGGTGCTATGTACATGTCAAAATGTCGAACCTCTTAGGTACGTATACACTGCGTACGTATGTGTGGATATGTTGTGCAAATATGTTTTAGAGAGAACCTTTGTCAAGGTCAGAGCCAACACACGTCGGGCCCTCAGTCTTGAATCTGACATTGAACTCCTCAGACTTGGCCTGAAATGTCTTCACCTGCTCTTGAGTCGTCTGCACAGGGCACCATTACACACACACACACACACCACACTTTTAAAAAACATTATACGGTCTGCATAAATTTGGCATACTGTGCGTATCATGCTACTGCGTAGCGAAGCTAAGGTTCTAATGTGCCCTGGTGAAGTAGAAAAAGGTGTGAGATTCTACTTCCCAGCTACCTCTTTAAGCAACAACAGTTCTGATTAGTAAAGCATACTCCAATCCCGGCGCTGAATCAAGTTAAACTTCCACGTAGTATGTATGTATGTAGTATGTATTATGTACTTACCACAGTGAATCTTTTCTTGTCGGGTATGATATCTCGGTCTCTCTGGCGTGCCTTGGCTGCCAGGTCCACCCACTGTGGTTCCAGCTCGGTGCACCACCCCTGTTCCTCTTGGGCCACCGGGAGATGGTACATGGCCAGAGTTCTGTAACACTCCTGGATGTCTCTGTTAGCACAGAGAGAGGGGAGGGGGGAGGGATAAAAGAGGGAGGAGAAGAGAGGGAGGGAGGGAGGGAGAGGGGAGGGAGAGGAGGAAGAGAGGGAGGGAGAGGAGGAAGAGAGGGAGGGAGGGAGAAGAAAGGGAAAGAGAGAGAAAAAAGAGAGAAGCAGAGCAAGGAAAAGAGAAAGAGAGAATGAAGAAGTATGAGGGAAGGAGAGAGACAGACACATAGAAAGGAATCATAAGTGTACACACCTTATTAATGAGGTCACAAGGCAAAGAAAGGCACATTTACATACATTATGAGAGTGTTCGGTGCACATGTGCAGCGAGGGTTACAGTGTACGTGGTTCTGACCTGTACTTGAGCTCCACATCGAGTGATATTCTCCTGATGTTGGCAATCTCGCTGAGGACAAACTTGAGATCCTCCAAATGCTCGCCACACGGCCTGTCCAGGTTGGCCGAGCTTGTCTAGAGAACCAGAGAAATGTCTCTATATACTTTCTCCTTCTAATCCACTTTCTCAAGACGCTCCCTAGTCCTAATCCTTACTCCTGCTCAGAGCAGAGGGACCTACAGCACTCAAGATGCAAGTGGCACTACACTATAACAGAGCCACAATGCACATCCCAGACTTCCATTTACACTGCACACTGTTTTTGTTCGGCGTTGAAGTTGCTAAACGTGTATGACCTCGAGCTCAGTTCGTAGCTGAGTCAGTTTGGTCCTCGCAGCATCGTTTAGTCTCTTCCCGAGAGCCATCACCCACTGCCGGGCGTTCTCCCGCAGCGAGGCAGCAAGGGGGACCAGGTTGAGTCGAGCAAACTCCACCTCCTTTTCCGCCGGCTGGGCATCCACCTCTGACACCACTCGAGAGTAGAAGTGCATCTTCTCATCGTAGACCTCGCACGACGGCTTACGCTGGGCAAACTTCTCCAGCATCACATCCTGTGCAAGTTACAGACACGTTTTGCACGACAGTGTAGATTTTGTTCTGCAAACTCAAAAAAGCACTTTCTGATGGTAGTAAAAAACTACGTACTAACTGCATGGCAGTATGGCAGTATATGAGCCAAAAACAGTAAAAAAATTGGTGAACAGAGGAACTTTCAAGTACATGAAAGGCTGAGAAATTGGACTTTTGGCAAAATCGTGATGCCATTAGTGACAAGTAAAGGGGAGTACCCTATTCATTCTCCACAAGAGTTTGAACTTCTTCCAGGAGTTGGCGTGAGTGACGAGCTGCGAGAGGCCACAGCGGATGCTATCCTTGACGTGGAGCCCCATCTCAGTTAACCTCGGGGTGGACACTCACGTCGCTGAAGAAGGTGAACCTGACCGGCTCGTCCTGGCCGGGAACAGTCTGGGGCAGGGCCTCGATGCAAGAGCCCCTCATCCAGCGAGGAAACCTCTTGGTGCTAAAGGAGAGATGGGAACACAGTACGTATCATTCTTCTCTTTCAAACATGTACGTAGATGCTCTGTACGGTCAGCTCAGAACAATGTCTAGAGAGGAGAGCATGCATACCCTTCCACGATGTCGATGACAGCATGGATCATCATTCCCTGGAGCTCGTTGCAGTGAGGGAAGAGGGCAATGTCTGGAGGAGACAGTAGAACACCGACCACAAACAGAGGGGTCCCTGACAGCAGGAGAGCATTGTAGTACTGCATGTTTTTCAGCACCATCTGACACGAGAGACCACAGTACAGCACATATACAATGTACTACTGTCAAGAAATCTTAACAATCCTACCCTTCCCTGTCTTAAACCTGTACAAATTTGGTTTCCAACACACTATAGCAAAACCAATATGAGTGTGCAACATATTATCTCTTTAAAGATAGTATGTACGTACAGGGCCGCTAATACATGTACACCAATAAAAAAATATCGTGTTTCGTGTTTGCAAAAAGCATGAGTATGGACCCTCCTAACCTTGACAAGGGACTGGAAGACCTTGGCCTCCCAGTGTTCATAGTAGCGAGCCAGTCTGGGGCATTTGCCCGTGTTGGACTGGACCACCAGTCCCTCCACCTTGACCAGGAGTGGGCCTATGGCGTGGTACTTTCTGCCGAGAGAGCCCAGGACACTGCGTCTGCGCTCCTCTTGGAAGTCATAGTAGTCCTGCAACACATCCATATCCACACAACTGGTGTTTATGTATCTTCATCGTCATGTGTGTGTGTGTGTGTGTAAGTACACATTCAGTCACTATTACAGGGGCGAGCGACTGAACTACAAAAACGGCACAGTTTGATTTGTCAAACAATAGTAGGGGGATCTGGGGGCATGCTCCCCCACAAAAGCCTTCTTTGAGGCCCATTGGAGCTGTCTCCCCAAAACTCTTACGGACCATCCACACAAGATTTCCAATATTACACGGTTACCTATAATGTAGGTATGAACTGAACCTTGGCATCCATGAGGTCGGCTCCAGGCTTGGCTGGAGGCTGTTTGAAGAGACGAACACTCTCAATGACGTGCAGCCTCTCCTGGATGTCGCCGGCATTCTTCTGGACCTGGCTGGCCAGGGACTCAAACTTGGTGAGACTCTGACAGGAAACAACACACGACGAAAAACTCCTCAAAGCATACATTTTGATATCGGGGTGAGGTATAGTACCATTGACCGCTCATTCCACTAAGAACAAAGTGGGTGATGCTCATCTGTGAGCATGATAGTGCAAAACCAGTGTTGCTTCAGTAATGTTTCTTAGTTTCAGCTGCTGACACAGAAAGTGTTGAGTTTAAAAGACTCTACGTACATACAAAAGGCGAAGCACCGGTGTTTGCCTATTTATATGCGGCTGGGTGTTTGGAATGCGCATTTTCCTACGTATGTATGCATTGGCAACTACAGACCTGACAGTGTTGCGTGATAAAGTATTACTCCCTCCGCCTTCTTTCTCTCACCTTTTCACACTTGGCGATGTACTCGTGGATCCCGAGGGAGTTCCAGTTGAGTCTCTTGAGCCCTGCTCTCAGAGCCCGCTGCAGTGTCCGGATGTGGTCTCCCAGCAGCTCCGTCTGAGGACAACAGGAGGTTCGATAGCATACATATATGAACAACTACATAACAGCAATCTTTCCTAAAGCTAGGTATGTACATGTTCTCAGTCCCGCCTTAAAAAGCGAGTGACGTTTTCCGCACATGATCCCAAGCGATCTGGATGCCTTGGACTTGGTTGTGTATGCTTGTGTCACACCCATCTCTAGCTGCACCTTCTGCCATGAACATTGAAAAGTTAGCTCTCTAGCTCATTGTAGTAGTGGACCCTGACTGAATACAAGAGTCTTGGTGGTTCTTCAAACTAACCATCCTACATTTTAAACACACAAAAGGATTGAACTCAGCATTTTGGCATGCACAATCACTACAGAAGTGACACATGCAAAAGAGTGACTACGTGTACGACATGATGATATACTAGTACATGCACCTCGGCCTCAGTGAGTGAGGCAAGGAGAGAGTGGTAGCGAGAGAGGCTGTTCTCCAGTCCGGAGCAGTACTCCAAGAATTTCTCCTCCTGGAGGGCCACGTTGCGGGCCAGGTCCGAGACGTGGAACCCCAGCTTCTCCATGCAGCAAGACTCCCGGATTATCACCGACAGCTCCGGCGAAAAGTTCACCACAAACTCACAGTTGGCCGGCAACACTGCAGAGATATAATACACTCTCTGTATGGTTATGGTACACAGATATTATACCGCAGCTTCAAGAGACACTGTTTCTGCGTATTACACTTTGTGCAGTTTGATAATAGGACTGATTGTAACCTTGAACTTTGCGTATATAATCTCATTAGAACATAACTCTGCCTTGGGACTGCTAGTCAATCAGTCAATCTCTATGCAAGTATTGCCACACAGATGGACCGGAGCTCACGTGGAGGCAGGATATGTGAGTAGTCTGCAGCCCGAGAGGCACTCCTGGAGTCCCCCGGCAGTGGGGTCTGGGCCGTGGACGCCGGGGCGGGGGTGGGCGGCGGCTTACAGATGATGGGTCTCTTGAGGAGGGCCGGGAGAGTCTCCTCCATCTTGGCCACCCACTGCGTGTGCACGTCGTCCTCAAACTGCTTCATCTCCCGGGCCACACTCAGGTAGTGCCTGCTGGCCTGGAGGAGGGAATAGAATCGAGACAGGGGTTGAGAAGGGTGAGGGGAACAATAGCAAATTGATTGGTGGAATTTCTATTAATCAGCTGAAGGTCGAACGTTTTTGGCCACACCACAAATTTGCATGTGTACATGTAACATTTCTGGGCGATGCTGGAGCGCCTACCTAGCTCTAATAATGAGGACTTAGACTATGGAGATCCAACGTTTTGGCCGAAAATTTGCATGTGCATAATATCACATTTCTGGGCAATGCTGGAGTGTCTAACTCTAGCAAAAACATCTAATAGGACTTGAGAAAACACCTCCGAACCACATAGTAGATATAAGTCTTGTTTCTCACAGCTTTCCCGGTCTCGCTGTCAAAGAGCTCCTTCATGGTCTGGAACCTCAGGACGGTGCCCTTGATCCTCTGGAACAGAGAGCGACACCACATGATGGCCCCCGCGGCCGGCGGCTGGTTCTTGGACACCGGGGGACTCTCTCTGTTCTCCTGCAATCAAAGACAATCACGTCTGTCACTTCTCGTATATATACACCATATTTATGCGAATGCATGTAAGTTTCTGGGATTCACTTTGGAACACATATGTATGTAGCGTGGGATGATTGATGCACCCATTTAAGATACTCCAGCTTAAACAGGGCAATATGCTTCAGCAGTCGTAAAGTTGTTTATTGATTCAACCTCTCTTTTTGTTCAGTGTAAAATTCTGTACTTGTGTCAATATTGTCAACACACCCTCATGTGTCACATTGGTATATACTCTTATGCAGTGTGTGTGTACAGTCAGAATACCTGGAAGAGGTCATTGATGGCGTCCACCTCCTTCATGAAAGTTGTGAGGATCTCTTTCAGCTGTTTCTTCATCGTCTCGTTGATGGCCGCTCGCGAGCACATGTGCTTGAAGTTCTTCATCATCTCAAAGGCTCCCTCGGCCGAGCGCAGGGACTGGAACGAGTTGTTGATGAACTGGTTTGCCTCCTCTTCGATGAGCTTCACCTCCTGCTGAAACCGCCCCATCTTACTCGCCCAGTTCTGCCGCTGGGCGGGGTCAAAGGGGTCAAAGCGCACTGTCTCGATATCGTGCATGAGATTGTTGACTTTCTGCAGTACCGCCTCAATGCCTGCCGGGTTCCCCGTCACCGCCTTTAGCTCCGCCCCAAATATGTTGCGAAACTCCTCAATTATCTACAAACCAGAGATAGGGTACTGTGTAGGTAAAGTAACATGTACACTGCATCCAGTTGGCTGATTCTGATTTCACAATTGCATTATTGTAGCCTACTCAATGCTGCCAGTACTCGTAATATGTCCACCACACCCAAAACGTGGCGAGACGATACTAGCTATGCTAACTTGTTTATGAATGCTATGTATTTCCCCAATCCCCACTGCAGTATATAGTTGTGGTACGTATACCTGGGCAATCTTGCAGATGTCCCTGCAGACCTGGGCAATGTGGTCGGAGCGCTCAAACAGCCTCTTGCGGTCAAACTCCCAGCGAGTGTCTCTTCCCGACTGCTCTATCTTCTCCCTCACCTGCAGGTAGGACTTCTTCCAGGTCTCCAGCATCAGACATGCCTCGGAGGATTTCTCCTTGATGTCTGTCAGACTGTGTCTGCAGATATGGAAGGAGGACCATGCCTCACGTAATCTTGGAGGAATACTACCAGAAAAGAGAGGTTTGTTAAGATAGCCAGTGTGCTGGGCTCCAGGTGTAATGTCACCTAGTCTTGGCCATGCACAGCCTCATTTTCAAGACAAAAGCAATAATATCTTTCAACATAAACATGTACTCTGTACCTAGGAGTAAGCAAGAAGCTACCACACTTAACAGTTGCAACGAGGTATACAACTTTTGTATACACTTTTCAAGCTTTAAAACTAGCCTGATAAGACCATGCGGCTCACTTGAAGATGTTCCTGTGGTTGATGACAGTGGTGGCTCTATCGCACAGGACCCAGGCGATGCGCTCCATGAGCGGAGCCATGCGGTCGTCCGTGTTGTAGTGTCGCGATATCACCCACACCATCCGCAGGGAGTTCATCAGGTTGGGGAGCGTGTCAAGGACAATGGAGAAATTGGCTCCCTGGGCCAAGTTCTTGAAATGCCTCTCCAGAGTTCCGAGAAACTTTACGTTGTCTTTGGCCTCTGTGTAGTAGCGGTTCAGCTCCGTGCGGTGGTACTCAAAGTTTGAGTAGATGGGGGAATTTGCAGTTTTCAGAACCACCATGACCTTCTGCACCTGTGGCAACTTTAGTTGCTCGTAGAACATCCCCAGGACAGAGTTTCTCTCCCGCCAAAAGTCGACCTCGGCCAGCGGACCGTCTGCACCGGGTGTCTTGTTGAGCTGGGTCTCCACGACGGAGGAGAGGATTTGACTCCATTCCTCCATGGTCTTCTCTAGCTGGGCCACCACCGGAGCCTCGCTGGCCACGGACACCAGGGTCCTCTCCCAGGTCAATGTCTGGCACCTTCAGCTTTATCTCTCCCTCCACTTGCTGCAGGACATGACTCACCTGCACCACAATAACAATTTTTTAAATAAAACTCTCTCCCAATGGTATCATGTCAAGTCTCTATCTGTGCATTTCCTGGAGCCTTGAAGTACGTACAGTTCTGAGGTACATGTATAAAAAATTATAATGGTATACTCACATTCGAGGGAGAAATTTTAGGGTTGTATTGTGGTATGCGTATATACCTGCGTCTCAAACTTGCGAACGTTGATGAGAAGTTCATCTCTCATGAGGTTCTTTATTCGAGAGGAGACGGTCCTCACGGGCCGGTCTGGGGAGCCCCCTGACTGATTGCTAGCTAATGAAGACTTCTTGCCCACCTCATCATCCACACTACGTTGCCCTGGATGGGTAGGGAAGCATTACATTGTGTCCAATATCGTATTATCACAGGTTGGTGACTAGTCATACAGTGACAAAGCTGTGTGTGCAGCAAGTGCTTGCATGCTGAAATAATGTGTACTAAATCAAGCCTGTCAATGCATCCCAGTTATACATTTTGACCAACACCGGCGGTGGAACCACAGAAGCTTTGGGGCTCAAGATTTTGCGTACAGAGTGTATCCTAGCTCATGAGCTTTTACCACCTCTATTATGTTATGTAGTAGCACCTGCAATGGTGAGCATGGGTACATAGAGATGAGCGAGAGTCTGGGCGAGAGACTGCAGGGGATGTCCACAGTCCACCGTCCCCAGCTCAAAACAGCCGGCCAGGACTCCCGTGGCCTCCTCGGGTGACGAGGGGCAGGATACGGGGTCTGGGGTGGCACGGATGAAGAAGAAGGCCGGAGAGGAAGAGGCAGCGTCCTCTGTCGGGAGGTGTTTGTGGGTCATTTGTAGCTGGAGCTCCTCCACTTGAACAGTCTTCTTCCTCAGTACAGACTGCTGGGCAGAGTACAACTCCACATTCTGCATGCTCCAAAATTACGTCACTTAACACAGCGTACCTGCTGGGGTTCGTCTTGTTTGTCGGCTTCAGTATCATGAGATTTTCCCGTCACACTACTTGCTGCCACTGACACACTCGCACCAACTTCCGAACCTAGTGAGCGATGCAAAAGTAGTGCACCATCTAGCATTATTGAATCACCAAAGGACAGTAGCGTAACACCATGCTGTATCTAACCAGATTCCTCTGCTTCCTTGCTCTGTTGGTCAACAGTTACTTGACTGGTGGGACCTGATCCCTGGCCATCCTCATCTTCATCCGAGTCTCCTCCTACCAGAGACTCTGCAAAACAACGAGTTGTCTTTGCTGTGTGCATGCTTTGAGTATGATTCTAGTAGCTAGACTACATAAATATTCCATACCTTCCGGTTCCTCCTCCTGCTCCACGTCCACAACGACCTTGCGGGCGAGAAAGAGGATGGCACTGGACTGGAGTTGCTCGGCTGGCTGGTCCAGATAGGCCAGCAGCTCCCGCTCCGCCCGCCCCTCCTCCCTCGCCAGCAGCTCCCGAAACAGGCCCCCGTCTTGCAGCCCGAGAGCCGCATACACTCGATCCCTCATCCATACAACGCGCAAGTCTTCCATGGCTCGTTTTTAGCTAGCCTTCGACCGCCATTTTTTCCTGCAGAGACTTGTGTGGTTGCTAGGCGATAAATTTTACATTACGTAATCAAGAAGGCGGATCCTCAGCAAAACCGAAATGGAGTTTCTTGATTTCTTGACTGATTGGAGCGCCTACATTGTATCATCTCTGGTGTTTGGAGCACTTATTCTAGCCATTATGAGCAAGAGATCTCGGCAGTCAACTTCAGAACCGCCGGCAGGCACCAGCACAAGTCGATGTAGCTCTCCCTCGTGTGCCAGATGCCACGGAGAAAAAGAAATAAAGGGGAAACTATTGAGAAGACTGGAGGAGCATGTAATACAAGACTGTGGCGTAAAAGCCGAGGAAGTCTCCACGCATCTCTCGCAGCATTACGCTAGACTACTGGCTACAATAGAAAGCCACGATCGTAAGGATGAGATACTCAGCGCTGTCTACAGAGAGTCCGGACACCCAGACGTTCAGACTCGCTACCTGGCCCACGTATGGATGATGCCTGGGCTGAAACGGGACCCACTCTGGACAGCAAGTACCAATACAACCACGGAAAGTCTGTTTTCCCTCTTTGAAAACCCTGCCAACTTCGAGGCAATCCTGGAAGAGTGCAGGAGCGTGTCAGAGTTGAAAGATACCTGGAAGGAGAACCACCTTCCATCTGGCAGCTGGAAGACCTATTTTCTCATGGACCAGGGAACATGGGACGAGGACAAATCGTCGCACTGTCCACAAACTAGACGACTTCTAGAGTCCTGTGGCTGCCTAATGGAAGGTGTGGTCTACGGGAATGTTCTCTTCTCTGTGCTGCGACGGGGCAGTGCGATAGAGCCGCACACATCTCCCTGCAACTTTCGCCTCCGCTGTCACTGGCTCTCAATGCCTCGGCTGGATTCAGTCTCAGAGTTGGGGAGCTCACCGCTAGTTGGGAGACTGGCGACTGTTGGTATTTGACGACTCTTTCGTTCACAGTGTGGAGCACAGGGGAGATCTAGGGCAAGAGGTGGAGGACCGAGTGGTGCTTATTTTTGACATTTGGCACCCAGAAATCAGCCACAGTGAGCAAAAAGCCTTGAAGTATATCTTCGAATAGTGTATTGATATAAACTCCAGTAAATATATAAACAGTTTTGAACTATAAAATGGCCATAAAAACAATGATAAATGTTACTATTTTCGGCGATCTTTTCCGGAGGAATGAATTGGATATCTTAGCGGGGGTCTCTTCATTATCGGTTGCTCTAGGACACCTTTAATGAACTCTTGTACTGTTCTGAGAAGTAGCGGTCAGAGTCGACCTGCTGGGTCAGGTCAGACAGCTTCAGGTACACCGAGTCACCTCCCAATCTCACATGGTGAACTCTCTGCATTATAGAGGACACCACTATATATCACAAAGAAAGCCTCCTAGACATGCAGTTTGTTGTTAGTCAAGGTATGGTGCAATGCATCATTCCATGCCCTGTTCCCTAGGCATGAAGAACTAATATTGTGCAAAACTACACCTACCTGACAATTTCATGCTTTTGGAACGTTTGCACCGGACTAATGAAACTTGGCCACAAATAAGTTACGATGTGTGCAGAGTGAATGTGTAGCTTCTAACTTGCTTAACTCCCTTTGAGCGAGTTGTATTTCTTTTCCTTGGGGTTGGCAGGGTTGATGGAGGTATAGAGGCTCTCCCCTGTGTCCAGAGTGATGCTGTGTCTGTGCCAGGGACACACCACACACAGTCGACCATGACTGTCCTGCAGGACCAGTTAGGGTTGTGGTTACTGGCACACAGCCGTATGGAAGAGGGGACATGCAGTAGAATGGAGGCCTAGAGTTTACCTCGATGTCACCCAGTTCTAGTGGTCCACCTGCATCTGCATTAATTTGTGTGTGCATCAAAAATATTGCGTCAGAGAGCAGCAAGTAGAAGTACTCCACTGTTTCAGTATGGACCCCACCGTACAGCATCATAACGCATAGTGCACAAGGTCGCCAGTTTGTTCCCAGGGTTTATACTCACGGTAGCAGAAATGGTCCAGAGCGTACACTTGACCGCTGACGTGAAAGAGGGCAACTATTCTTCCCTGTACCGTCACTCTCTTTCTCCCCGCGGCCTGCAGCTCGCTCAGACTACACGCTCTCTCGTAGCCTCCTTCTCCCGCGTCACCGCCCTCTGCCATGTCAGCAAACATCTGGCCCCACGTCCGCATTCCATTCCGCTCGTTCCATACCACCGTCACTGACCTTATCCTCACACGCCACGGTAAAGCGGTAAAAGAGGGGTTCACAAAGTGTCTATGGGTGTTGCTCGTGAGTGCTCTAAGCACACTGGTGTAGAACCCCATGCAGTATGTCTGTAAAAATTACCTGAGCCACCTTGAAGTCAAGCACTATGTGTACATGTAGCTAGCTGTACATAGCTAACGAAACACGAATGTGTCGTGATTTTAAAAGGACAGTGCAACAGACAACATATGCAAGTGACAACAACAAACTATACAGTAGTTACTTGTGTAATATGCACATGGTGTGTGTGGATGAGGAAGCGAAGCGAGTGACGTTTGTAATACAGGAACTAAAAACAGATGCAACGCTAAAAGTCGTCAGGTTCCTGACTTTTGCGGACACATTTCAAGACTTTTTTCTTGAAGGAACCGTTATAGTCTTCACGCCAGTCTTTCTGTTTGAGAGAAAGAAAAATATCATTACAGAGATAGCTTCAACACCTATGTATATATAACAGGAGCCTAATGACAGTTTGAGCCAACCGCAAAAAATTCTCTGTGAATTTTGTGGGCGGGAACATCATTAATTTTCTCTGTGAAACTTTTCTCAGAGAAATTCTAGTTTGCCACCTGCGTACACTGGGACAGTCTTTTAACTCTAAAACTGTTCCCACTACAACACAGGATATTTCTCAGGCCCCAAGCTGAATAATCATGTCGACTTTTGTGATGCAATCTGTGACTGCTTTATGTCTCTGATGCAACTTATAAAGGTTTATCGCTACAGTGTAGATATGTACTGGGCTAACACAGAGAGCATAGCATGCAGTGTATGAACCACCGACCCACCAAAACCACTCATACAGACATTGACTGGTCTTACGGCAGCGTCAACGTTGGCCGGGCTCTCATCGTTGGGGTCGGCCAGCATGGAGATGACACTGATGAGAATGGTCTCCACCGTGTGAATGGGCAGCCACCGCTCCTCTGGTTTCTCGTAGCCCCACTTGTCCTCTCCCGGCTCGTGCAGTATCGATATACACACATCGCCGTTCTTCTCCACTGGGGATTATACACCATATGTATGTGTGTGTGCATAGTCAAGAATAAACACAAGAGGGTCTACATATGCAAGCATAAAAATGAATGTGGCAGTATAAGTTATGCATTAGTTAATTGGCAGCACACATGATGTTACAACTCATTTAACACATTCCAGGTATACAAAGGTTCGGTAAATCTAACACTCTACCCTGTAGTTCAAGTGTCAGATTGAACTTGGAGAGTACAGTATGAATCACGCCAGTGCCAACATTATGCAGAGTATTAATTAGACCTGATGTGCGCAAGTAATGAAAGGGGCACCCTCACCATTAGGATGCCACATTTCCGACATGAATTTCATCTTGGGTGGTCTCTGAGGGTACTCCTTGGGGAAGTATAGGTGAGCCTTGAAACAGCCACCTTCACTGAGACAGGGAGTTAAGTCTGTACACACATACTACGCAATGTAGAGCATGCAGCATTGTATGACTGCCACATGTTTACATGACACTATACATACATTACCATTACAGTGGAGCTGTTTTCATCAAGACTAGCTGTTCTAGGGATTATGAATTTCATGTGTGTCCATATAAAGAGGTTCTGAATGCAGTACAATATTTCCGCAATTTATGTCCCTCAAAAACACTGACTGAGGCTTGCCCATCCACTTCTGCCAACACAGCTAGAGCATTACTGTAGTACTTTTGAATACATGTGTCTGAATAGGCAGGTTATGAAAACATGCTGAGCGAGGAAAAGAGATTCGGCAATGCATACAGACATGTTTTTGTTACTGCTGCTTGTTTATCTGTCCCTGATCTCCAGTCAACTCCAGCCTTAGAAATGTCTCACAGGAATGCATGTCATTACATCATGCATTACCTACAGTACATAAGAAAAGCTATTTCCTCCTGTAACCACAGTGTCGCAATACACACACAACATTGTAAACTGTAAACACACCACACCACAGACTGAGCACAACTTATACTGGGAGCACTGCCTTAACCTGTATGTAGTATCCATGATTTTCTGCTTGCCACTATATACTGTGGGCTAAACACGAGTCAGCGTGGTGTGGTTTACTGTACATAAAACATACGGCTCACTTTACAAAGTTATAGGAATACGCACACGTGCCATACAGTGTACCCGTCTGTCTACACACAAGTACACTGTACAGGAGGTGGGAGCAAGGGGGGCGGATACTAGAAGGTCTCCGGGGGTCCAATGATGAAAATCTCCCACTTGTAGATGTCATCTTCGTCAATCAGACCTGCAGAGAAGCCTTCATGGGGCTTCTTGACCAGCTCTGGTAGCAGATACACACACAAAAAAAGGGAAGATAGGAACTGAATATCAATTAACTAGGTATACAACGTGGTAATGATGCAGTATTATAAAGTACAGCATACAGACATCTCAGTAAAAGGTTAAAGTAATTGACACCTAGAGTGTGTGTTGAAATGTCAACCGAAGAGCCTGGCTTGTTGTAAGACCAATGCACAACACATACATTACTAGCACAGAAATATTTTGGTGAGCATCAAATAGGAATATTTGTAGCCACTAGAACCGCAGTTATACGTCCACCACACGGACTTGCCAAGCTCTCCATAGCATAAATATGCACACATGGACGGCACATGTAAATCAGGGAAACATTCAGAAAGACGACATCCAACAATTCAACGAGAGACAGCGCTAACCCATGAGTTGCCTCCGTAACAGTAGTCCGCCTTGGTCCGTATTGGGGCCAGCCATCAGTGTGAATTCTCCTGGCTTCACTCCTCGCCGTACCAACAGAGAACCGCCTCAGTTTCCCGGCAAGAAGTGCGAGAGGTTGCCCCTCTTTTTGTAGTCGATCAAAATTTTTGTCGTTTCCCGGGAAACCTCCAATCAGACGGCACGGCGAAGCGGCGCGAAATTCAAACACGTGTCGGATGGTTCGTTTTGCGCACGGTCTATCATAATAAGCACATAATTACAGAGATAGATCATAATATTGTGCAAATAGAAAAATAAAGAGGCTATAATACACTTTTCATACATTTTTCATACAACAGAGCTATCGGGACTGGAAGTGGTGCATGTAGTGGTGGAGGCAGGTCTGGGTGGTCTGTTGGCTGCTGCCCGTCGAGACCGCGTGGTGTGGTGGTGGTTGGAGTCACAACCGCTGCCACACTGGACCTGGTCGAAGGAACCCCCCCTACAGCAGGTTCACCACCGAGAACGCCGCTGTTTCTCGTGATTGCCGCCTCCACGGCTCCTATCCACTCTTGCTTCTCCTTCCATGTCTCAGTGACAAAAACAGCTCGTTTGGTCCCGCCGGCCGAGTGCTGCTCCACTGCAAACAGGTGCTGGTTCCGCGAGGGGGACATGTAGGGACTCGGCCGGGCGTCCACCCTGCTCAGAACGACCACCAAGTTCTGGGGGTCGGTCCAGCAGAAGGAGCTGAGAGGTTGTCTGTTGATGCCGGTCGGATGCCGGTCGTAGCAACTGAGAGATGATTCAGTCAGCACCAACCAACACTCTGACTTGAGCTCACCCCTGTGTACAGAAACAAGGCCACGACAGATCACTCAATACCGGCAAAATTAAATTTACTATTGTGTGAGGAGAGTGTGTGTCTGGTTAATGGACAATGGTCCACACGTGTTCTACAATACCACGTCATTTTCCCTACTGTGCTTTCACATCATATCAACAGCATAGTATACTGAATATATACGTACTTGGGAACAAAGACTTTTCCAATCTTGGTGGTGTCGCCTTTTCTTCTTGCAAGACTTGAGCTAGGTTTGTAGCTCACTTCTTCTTTTACTCTCTCGCCCTCTTCAACGTTCTTTCCCTCCTCCCCTTCCTCCTCTTGCCGCGATTTCTTAGCAGAGGAAGGCAGTGCAAAATCAACCAGTTCAGCCGGCAGTCCGCAGTTGTTTGGTAGTTGATCACTGCACTTTGGATGGCAGGCCTGCCCACAGTCTGTATACAACATACACGGTATAATATTGTATATACTACAATACGCAGTTCGATCACATTACTGATTGTAGGGTCAACTCAATAATCAATGCTAACTGAAAAAGTGTACTCACAGGTGCACTTGACAAACTTCTGCATGGCTTTGATGGAGCTCTTACAGAAGGAGCAGACGTAGGACTTGCGGAGAGGAGCCGACTTTAACACAAACCTGTGAACACAAACATGCTTATTAAAGTATATACCTGTACATATACCTATGCAAGACCACAGCTAGGCTTTTCAACGATGTATATACACACATCATAATCCTTATGCAACACCAGTCTTACAATACAAATAGTGCCTGTATAATATGTCGAGCTAATTGTTTCAACTTGTGAGGGATATTGTGTTCCATGGCAAGTCCGGTAGACGAACTGGAAAATGCTGCACGGAGAAAGAATATAATATACTCTGAATAATGTCTGCATTCTACCTTCTAGGCCTCTTTTCTTCTTTCCTTTCCTCTGCGGAGTGTCTACCGGCTGCGGTTGCACTGCGGAGGAAAACCAAATGATTATAGCTACATACCAAGAGAATTTCTCAGAGGTTTTTGCAGAACCTCACCGGCTAAACCTTAACATTCACTGCTAAGTACATATGCATTATGAGACTACATATACAGTACTCTCACAGGTGCCTTCAGTGACGGCAGTCTGCTTGTGTATGTCGACCGACAACCTCTTGAGAACAGGTTGGTGCTGGTGGGTCGTGGGGGAAATCCCCCTCGAGACGGAAGAGGGCGTGGTATGTACGTCCTCTGAATCGGAGGAGAGCTCCGAGACAGTGACGCTTGGAGTGGCTGTGTCGTCATGAGTGGGAGGAAGATGGACCACGTTCTTTGAGACTGGTGGAGTGGTGAGCTGAGAGAGGGAGGGAGGGAGGGAGAGGGGGTGGGGTAATAGACTCCATTATGTCATTATGGAGAGCAAGCATGGAAAAGTGTGTGCAGAAGAAAAGTCGGAAGTGCAAAATATGTGTACATTGTACATCTTTCTTTGCTCACAACACTGTGGCACAACAAAGTTGCAAACTGCTTTCTACAACCTATACAGGTGATCAGTATTACACTGCATGTATATGTCGCGACGGAGTAATACTACTAATACCTGAGGAGAAGCAGTGGAGGATACGGTAGGGACAGAGAGACGGGAGCGAACAGAGAGCAGAGTTGGAGCGGAGGAGGGCATCCGTTGGAGAGACGCTGACCGACTAGGCCCATCTGCAACCATCCATACATACATACTCACTGATCAAACATTACTTCTCAATGCAGTAAAATGTTTAAGGCTGCACGGTAACAACTCAAAGTGGTCATGGTGTGTCACACCTTTTTCTGTAGGCTTTGCAGCTAGCCCCTTTATCTTCTTCCAATCGGCAAGTTCTTTGGCCGGGTCTCGAGATTCCGACTCAGTTTGAACTACACACCACCCACATTAACACATACACACACGACCAGTTGAAGCACATACATAAATACTCTGAGCAAGTTACATTGTAGAGCTAGACATAATGTAGGACCTTATTCACACAGAGAGAACAGTAATGATGAACGCACAACTAAAGCAAAGACGGGTTATCTCTCTGATATGATAAAGTACAAACCTTGAAGCGAACTCCGCGAGACGGCGGAGGTGATTTCCGGAAAAAGTCGATGAGCTTGCTCTGCTGGGCAATGGTGACCTGTAGTTTGGTCTCCTGGATGAGAAGAGTCTCTGCAGCGGCTCTCTGCTGGTCCAGAGCCCTCTTTCTCACGACTGCCTCATGACTCAGTTTACTGGCCGTCTCCTGGGACTCTTCCAACATCTTGAAGTGGGCTGCCTTCAGCTTCCCGTGCTCTCGACCCAGGGAGTGAAGCTGTATGAGCCGGGGTTAGGGGAAGGAAGCAGAGGCCGGAAGAGGTTAAAACAATCATTCGCGTAATAGCAGTCCATGTGAGGCAAACCTATTCTACTTGTTTGGCCGAACCCGACCTGTAAGGGGCAGCTCTGTGACCGGCCAGAAAAAGAAAGGCCCAGGAGAGTATAGATAGGTTGAATTTGCTGGGGCATTAACACACCGTAATGGGAGCCATTCTACAGTGCATGCAACACATACACATACAATTCCATACAACCAGTGAAAATCAATCTCAACACGGATTTCAGTTCCATATATATGATGTGTAGCACGTCAAACAACCCACTTGTTTTTGACACAAATGTTCCTTGTGCTTTTGTGCCTCGAAGCAAACACGGATTTTCACAAAGAAACCTCCACGGAAACTAACAAACTGCCTTGATTTTTCTGCGGAAGTTGAACCAGTTTGTTTCCTCACGTCATCATAGAGAGTTTAGAGGCCAGACTCCGCTCGGTCTCCAGCTCCTTCTTGCCTCCTTCAGTTCCAGCCCCCTCAGCCGGGTCTCTCTCTTCCAGCTCAGAGACCCGGTCGCTGTACTTGGAGGCCAGCTGTTTTCTGGGTGGCCAGCTGCTCCGCCAGCCTCCTCTGCTCCTCTCCGTGAGCTGCGGCCGTCTTCTCCAGACTGGACAGGGCCCCCGCCACACTCTGCTCCAGAGAGGCCCTGTGGGAGCAGAGAAACAGACAGACATGGAAAGTCTTTTTAATACCTCGACTACACATTAACCCAAATTTTTTTGTGACTGCATATTTTTAAAGACTTATAAACACTTAATTTTGTACAATTTGCTTTACTAGCTGTGATTCCATACAAGTTTGGTAGAACTTAATTGGAGCCCACCTCTGCGTCTTCTCCTTCTCAAGCTCGGCGTAGGCATCCTCGAGTCTCTTCCCTGTGGTCTTGAGGTCAGTCTGCAGGAAATCTCTCCCCTCCCTCCACTCCTTCTCCCTCCCTCTCTCCTCCTCCACGGATCCTCTGGCCTCTGCCAGCTCCTCCTCCACACTACTTAGCTTCTTTTCCAGCAGTGCCACGTTCTGAGGGGCAAGTAGATAAGAGGGGGTAGAGAGAGAGAGAGAGAGAGATTTGGATTAGTGAAGACCATAATTCTAGGAACCTCACCAGTTCCTGAGCCTCTATCTCTTTCTTGGTGTTCCTGAGAGCTGTCTCTGCCTCCTCTCTGGCCACTACTGCCTCTTCTCTCTGTGCTCTGGACACCTCCACCTCCCTCTTTGCCTCCTATACACACAATGTAGATACCACCATAATGTATACAACACACAGACAGGTTCGAAGCTTAGAAGCTAAGAGCAGTCTATACTTGTTCAGTCAAGGAGTTGAGTTACTTAGTGCCAATGGCACAAATAGACTGTGTGTGGACCACAAACATGCAACTGTGACCTTATTCCTGTTGATGAGAGTCTCAATTTCCTTCTGAAGTTGAGCGACGGTCTTCTTGAGGTCTTTGAGGCCCTCCATGTCTCTACTCACGTCCTCAAACTTCTTGCTCCACTGCCTCACCTCCGACTACAGACAACGCAAACACCGCTGCTTTCACACATTATACTTCATACTGTATGTGCAGTAGAGAGCAAGCAATCAATCTCTGCATCTTAAAAGAGTATTCCTGAATTGCCTATTTGCGGGATTGTGGCTGTACGTACAAGGGCTAGAAAGCTAGAATTGGGTCTTAGTGCAAGAATGCTAAAGCTTCCGTGTTCAATATTAAACATTCTCTTTAAGCTACCCACGAAAATGTTCAAAGACAGATTATGTTCCACACAGAGTGGTGTATTACGGATTAACGATGGGGGCGGCAGACCTTGGATCGTGAGAGGTTGGTCTTGAGGGAGGTGTTTGCCTGGTCGAGCTCGAGACGGGACCTGCGGACCTCCCTCAGTTTGTCTCCCTGGGCTATGTACAGGTTGCTGGTCTCACTCAGTTGGACCTGGACCGACCGCAGACTCTCCTTCAACTGCTGGACCTGCACACACACACACACACCCAGGGACCCCGTCACTCATTAGAGATGTACACATTACTATACATGCAGAATATGTACCAATTTATACATGTACTGTTAGCATTTACGATGCCATAAAGTGGAAAGGTTTTGAGGAGCAAAACATGATCAATTCGCTGATGCAAGTTGCATACTGAAAGAAATAAGCTGAATGTCAGGACATCTGTTGTATTATGTTTCCACTTTAGAGTCAAACTATACACACTCGTACAAGAAACGAGAGGCTTGTTCCAGCACAATACATAACACTCATAGAACCAAAGGATGACCGAAGTAAACCATCAGGAGGGAAAGAATAACTTCTGTCAAACCCAGAGAGGTCAACTTACACACTGAACTATTACACAAACTCCCAGACAAATTAATTCCGGTCCTCCCGTCTCACTCTAATTACTGCACACCTCTTTGTGGGCAGCCTCTAGCTTATCCTGCAAGGTCTTGACTTCTTTCTCTCTCTCAGCCAGCTGAGTCTGCATCTCTTCCATCTTGCCTTCCTCGGTACCCTTACCATCACCACTGATCATCAACCAGAGAAAAACAAACATCGAATGGTGTACATAATACAAACTATGCACATAATTGCATCATGTATGATCAGAATATAGAGTACCTGAGATTTGTGGAGGATCTCTGGGATCTTAGCTCATCTTCCAGTCTGTCTTTCTCAGACTGCAACTTGCTCACAATCTGTGACAATAACCGCAAACATTAATTTTGCACTGTGTGCATGAAAGACAATAATATACGTAATGTGCAAGTGATCCTTTGACACGGCCCGAACTTGTACACTATAAGGACACAAACAAAAGTTGTTATCATAACCTGTGACGGAAACAGCTATCATAGCACTTGATGCGTTCACAAGGTAAATGAACCTTAGTATATGTAGTCTCACTTCCCTCTCACCGTTCTCATCTCGTTTGCCCCTGGCGTAACAACGTTTGTGGCTCTCGGCCCGCGTAACTGAAATCATGGGTCGGGCCTTTTGTCACAGGTTCAGGGATGGCAGAAGAGGAACTGGACACGACACAGGGTGCCAATTTTAGACCCTTCCACTCTCTAGCAGGTGCGGATCAGGGAAGCAGTGAGGGGTCTCACCCTCACGAAGGTGGCGAAGGAGAAGAGTGGGAGGTGACAGCGATGCAAGAGCAACAAACATCGAAACCACAAGCTGTTGTCCCTTTCCACTTTCTCTTTTGTCTGAGACCCGAATCTACACAGGCCCCTGTTCGTTAACCAAGCAATAATGGGTCACATCTACTAGGGGCGAGGGACAATAGGAGAAGCTTGCTGCCAAACGTTCACCACCAACCGATCAAAACTGACACTATTATACTGCACTATTATATCTGTAGGAACGCTTAAAACATACACTACTGTACAGAAATCACATATGATTATAACAATGCATAAATTAATGTCTTCATTTACCTCACTGTGCTAACCCAAGCATGACTGAGGTGTACATATAAAGGTCAGGAGGAGGGAAAATGAAAGAACCACCCAACCATCGGAAACTAAGCAATTGTGACTGGAAGTCATGTCCAGTGCATTAAACACTCAAAGGCTAAGCATAATTGACATATGACATAGGTCATGTAATGTTCCCTGCAGGGTGACGGTACCAATAGAAGAGGAACATACGTACATCAGTGCAACAGATTGTTGCTCCACTATCCCTCTCTCCGTAGCGGACTAAACAGTTTTGTATTACGAGTACTTGTCTTATACCCATTAGCACATCTAGTGTATGACGCCATCAAATCGAATATCACCTTCTCAAGATCCTTCGTACTCCTCTCTGTCTGTTTACCAATAGCCACTGCTTTCTCCTTCTCTTGAGACATCTGTACATATAGGTAGAGAAGATTTATAACCATTAAGTTTTTTACCACTGTTTTATTCCCTTCAAAAGAATGCATTTTGGGGAGTGAACATAAATACATAACTTTAATGGGATTTACACGTGTTTAGCCGTGGTCCGTGGATGCAGAGTGCAGGTATATATACACATATAAGACTACGAAGGTAGACTCGCTACGTTTGCATGTCCCACCTGCTCCAGTCTAGTCTTGAGGTCCCACTCAGCTGCCTCCAGCTGCTCCTGGCGTGAGTTGGCACTCTGCCACTGGTCCTCCAACTCCTAATGTGTACATGTAACACCAACAGACACACATAACAACAGGAGCCCCAAACACACTTTTACCTTGACTTGTTGGCTGAGCTGTGTACACTGGGTCTGCAAGCTTGAGTTCTCCTGTCCCTTCAACTGTGCACAGACAAACACACACACGCTGTACATACTGCAAGATAATAGAGGACAGATAGTTTCTTGCCTCTAACTGGTGTTTAAAATCTTCGACCTGCTTCCCTGCTTTAGTTCTGGCATTCTGCGGTGACAGATGACCAGTTCATTTTGTCAACTATACCTCTACTGCACTCACCTCAGCCTCTTCCAGTCTCTTGGTCATAGCTCTGGCAGACTCCCCAGTAGAGCTGACTGCACTAGATCCACTTGACTGTACCACACACACATACTGCAGTATTATGTACATGTACACACCAGTGAGTAGGAGTTGAAACGGAGTTATTAATAGAGTGACCTATCGTGAAACTTAGCGCAGATTAAAATGTATATTCACAGCAATGTCACATGTCGCACAACATTGTGCAGTGAATGGAAACCAGGCAGTCACGTAGGCTAACCTCCAATCAGACGGCACGGCGAAGCGGCGCGAAATTCAAACACGTGTCGGATGGTTCGTTTTGCGCACGGTCTATCATAATAAGCACATAATTACAGAGATAGATCATAATATTGTGCAAATAGAAAAATAAAGAGGCTATAATACACATTTTTCATACAACAGAGCTATCGGGACTGGAAGTGGTGCATGTAGTGGTGGAAGCAGGTCTGGGTGGTCTGTTGGCTGCCCGTCGAGACCGCGTGGTGGTGGTGGTGGTGGTTGGAGTCACAACCGCTGCCACACTAGACCTGGTCGAAGGAACCCCCCCTACAGCAGGTTCACCACCGAGAACGCCGCTGTTTCTCGTGATTGCCGCCTCCACGGCTCCTATCCACTCTTGCTTCTCCTTCCAAGTCTCGGTGACAAAAACAGCTCGTTTGGTCCCGCCGGCCGAGTGCTGCTCCACTGCAAACAGGTGCTGGTTCCGCGAGGGGGACATGTAGGGACTCGGCCGGGCGTCCACCCTGCTCAGAACGACCACCAAGTTCTGGGGGTCTGTCCAGCAGAAGGAGCTGAGAGGTTGTCTGTTGATGCCGGTCGGATGACGGTCGTAGCAACTGAGAGATGATTCAGTCAGCACCAACCAACACTCTGACTTGAGCTCACCCCTGTGTACAGAAACAAGGCCACGACAGATCACTCAATACCGGCAAAATTAAATTTACTATTGTGTGAGGAGAGTGTGTGTCTGGTTAATGGACAATGGTCCACACGTGTTCTACAATACCACGTCATTTTCCCTACTGTGCTTTCACATCATATCAACAGCATAGTATACTGAATATATACGTACTTGGGAACAAAGACTTTTCCAATCTTGGTGGTGTCGCCTTTTCTTCTTGCAAGACTTGAGCTAGGTTTGTAGCTCACTTCTTCTTTTACTCTCTCGCCCTCTTCAACGTTCTTTCCCTCCTCCCCTTCCTCCTCTTGCCGCGATTTCTTAGCAGAGGAAGGCAGTGCAAAATCAACCAGTTCAGCCGGCAGTCCGCAGTTGTTTGGTAGTTGATCACTGCACTTTGGATGGCAGGCCTGCCCACAGTCTGTATACAACATACACGGTATACAATATGCAGTTCGATCACATTACTGATTGTAGGGTCAACTCAATAATCAAAGCTAACTGAAAAAGTGTACTCACAGGTGCACTTGACAAACTTCTGCATGGCTTTGATGGAGTTCTTACAGAAGGAGCAGACGTAGGACTTGCGGAGAGGAGCCGACTTTAACACAAACCTGTGAACACAAACACACTTATTAAAGTATATACCTGTACATATACCTATGCAAGACCACAGCTAGGCTTTTCAACGATGTATATACACATCATAATCCTTATGCAACACCAGTCTTACAATACAAATAGTGCCTGTATAATATGTCGAGCTAATTGTTTCAACTTGTGAGGGATATTGTGTTCCATGGCAAGTCCGGTAGACGAACTGGAAGATGCTGCACGGAGAAAGAATATAATATACTCTGAATAATGTCTGCCTCTGACTACATTCTACCTTCTAGGCCTCTTTTCTTCTTTCCTTTCCTCTGTGGAGTGTCTACCGGCTGCGGTTGCACTGCGGAGGAAAACCAAATGATTATAGCTACAGGAGTACATACCAAGAGAATTTCTCAGAGGTTTTGCAGAACCGGCTAAACCTTAACATTCACTGCTACGTATATAAGTACATATGCATTATGAGACTACATATACAGTACTCTCACGGGGACCTTCAGTGACGGCAGTCTGCTTGTGTATGTCGACCGACAACCTCTTGAGAACAGGTTGGTGCTGGTGGGTCGTGGGGGAAATCCCCCTCGAGACGGAAGAGGGCGTGGTATGTACGTCCTCTGAATCGGAGGAGAGCTCCGAGACAGTGACGCTGGGAGTGGCTGTGTCGTCATGAGTGGGAGGAAGGTGGACCACGTTCTTTGAGACTGGTGGAGTGGTGAGCTGAGAGAGGGAGGGAGGGAGGGAGAGGGGGTGGGGTAATAGACTCCATTATGTCATTATGGAGAGCAAGCATGGAAAAGTGTGTGCAGAAGAAAAGTCGGAAGTGCAAAATATGTGTACATTGTACATCTTTCTTTGCTCACAACACTGTGGCACAACAAAGTTGCAAACTGCTTTCTACAACCTATACAGGTGATCAGTATTACACTGTATGTATATGTCGCGACGGAGTAATACTACTAATACCTGAGGAGAAGCAGTGGAGGATACGGTAGGGACAGAGAGCCGGGAGCGAACAGAGAGCAGAGTTGGAGCGAGGAGGGCATCCGTTGGAGAGACGCTGACCGACTAGGCCCATCTGCAACCATCCATACATACATACTCACTGATCAAACATCACTTCTCAATGCAGTAAAATGTTTAAGGCTGCACGGTAACAACTCAAAGTGGTCATGGTGTGTCACACCTTTTTCTGTAGGCTTTGCAGCTAGCCCCTTTATCTTCTTCCAATCGGCAAGTTCTTTGGCCGGGTCTCGAGATTTCCGACTCAGTTTGAACTACACACCACCACATTAACACATACACACACGACCAGTTGAAGCACATACATAAATACTCTGAGCAAGTTACATTGTAGAGCTAGACATAATGTAGGACCTTATTCACACAGAGAGAACAGTAATGATGAACGCACAACTAAAGCAAAGACGGGTTATCTCTCTGATATGATAACGTACAAACCTTGAAGCGAACTCCGCGAGACGGCGGAGGTGATTTCCGGAGAAAGTCGATGAGCTTGCTCTGCTGGGCAATGGTGACCTGTAGTTTGGTCTCCTGGATGAGAAGAGTCTCTGCAGCGGCTCTCTGCTGGTCCAGAGCCCTCTTTCTCACGACTGCCTCATGACTCAGTTTACTGGCCGTCTCCTGGGACTCTTCCAACATCTTGAAGTGGGCTGCCTTCAGCTTCCCGTGCTCTCGACCCAGGGAGTGAAGCTGTATGAGCCGGGGTTAGGGGAAGGAAGCAGAGGCCGGAAGAGGTTAAAACAATCATTCGCGTAATAGCAGTCCATGTGAGGCAAACCTATTCTACTTGTTTGGCCGAACCCGACCTGTAAGGGGCAGCTCTGTGACCGGCCAGAAAAAAGAAAGGCCAAGGAGAGTATAGATAAGGTTGAATTTGCTGGGGCATTAAACACCGTAATATGGGAGCCATTCTACAGTGCATGCACACATACACATACAATTCCATACAACCAGTGAAAATCAATCTCAACACGGATTTCAGTTCCATATATTATGTGTAGCACGTCAAACAACACACACTTGTTTTTGACACAAAATGTTCCTTGTGCTTTTGTGCCTCGGAAGCAAACACGGATTTTTCACAAAGAAAACCTCCACGGAAAACTAACAAACTGCTTGATTTTTCTGCGGAAAGTTGAACCAGTTTGTTTCCTCACGTCATCATAGAGTTTAGAGGCCAGACTCCGCTCGGTCTCCAGCTCCTTCTTGGCCTCCTTCAGTTCCAGCCCCCTCAGCCGGGTCTCTCTCTCCAGCTCAGAGACCCGGTCGCTGTACTTGGAGGCCAGCTGTTTCTGGGTGGCCAGCTGCTCCGCCAGCCTCCTCTGCTCCTCTCCGTGAGCCGCGGCCGTCTTCTCCAGACTGGACAGGGCCCCCGCCACACTCTGCTCCAGAGAGGCCCTGTGGGAGCAGAGAAACAGACAGACATGGAAAGTCTTTTTAATACCTCGACTACACATTAACCCCAATTTTTTTGTGACTGCATATTTTTAAAGACTTATAAACACTTAATTTTGTACAATTTGCTTTACTAGCTGTGATTCCATACAAGTTTGGTAGAACTTAATTGGAGCCCACCTCTGCGTCTTCTCCTTCTCAAGCTCGGCGTAGGCATCCTCGAGTCTCTTCCCTGTGGTCTTGAGGTCAGTCTGCAGGAAATCTCTCCCCTCCCTCCACTCCTTCTCCCTCCCTCTCTCTTCCTCCACGGATCCTCTGGCCTCTGCCAGCTCCTCCTCCACACTACTTAGCTTCTTTTCCAGCAGTGCCACGTTCTGAGGGGCAAGTAGATAAGAGGGGGTTAATTAAGTTGAGAGAGAGAGAGAGAGAGAGAGAGATTTGGATTAGTGAAGACCATAATTCTAGGAACCTCACCAGTTCCTGAGCCTCTATCTCTTTCTTGGTGTTCCTGAGAGCTGTCTCTGCCTCCTCTCTGGCCACTACTGCCTCTTCTCTCTGTGCTCTGGACACCTCCACCTCCCTCTTTGCCTCCTATACACACAATGTAGATACCACCATAATGTATATAACACACAGACAGGTTTGAAGCTTAGAAGCTAGGCAGTAGAAGAGCAATCTATTGTAGTACTTGTTCAGTCAAGGAGTTGAGTTACTTAGTGCCAATGGCACAAATAGACAGTGTGTGGATCACAAACATGCAACTGTGACCTTATTCCTGTTGATGAGAGTCTCAATTTCCTTCTGAAGTTGAGCGACGGTCTTCTTGAGGCCTTTGAGGCCCTCCATGTCTCTACTCACGTCCTCAAACTTCTTGCTCCACCGCCTCACCTCCGACTACAGACAACGCAAACACCGCTGCTTTCACACATTATACTTCATACTGTACAGTAGAGAGCAAGCAATCAATCTCTGCATCTTCAAAAAGTATTCCTGAATTGCCTATTTGGGGATTGTGGCAGTACTATAGAAGTTAAAATTGGGTCCTAGTGCAAGAATGCAAAAGCTTCCGTGTTCATATATTAAACATTCTCTTTAAGCTACCCATGAAAATTTTCAAAGACAGATTATGTTCCACACAGAGTGGTGTATTACGGATTAACGATGGGGGCGGCAGACCTTGGATCGTGAGAGGTTGGTCTTGAGGGAGGTGTTTGCCTGGTCGAGCTCGAGACGGGACCTGCGGACCTCCCTCAGTTTGTCTCCCTGGGCTATGTACAGGTTGCTGGTCTCACTCAGTTGGACCTGGACCGACCGCAGACTCTCCTTCAACTGCTGGACCTGCACACACACACACACACCCAGGGACCCCGTCACTCATTAGAGATGTACACATTACTATACATGCAGAATATGTACCAATTTATACATGTACTGTTAGCATTTACGATGCCATAAAGTGGAAAGGTTTTGAGGAGCAAAACATGATCAATTCGCTGATGCAAGTTGCATACTGAAAGAAATAAGCTGAATGTCAGGACATCTGTTGTATTATGTTTCCACTTTAGAGTCAAACTATACACACTCGTACAAGAAACGAGAGGCTTGTTCCAGCACAATACATAACACTCATAGAACCAAAGGATGACCGAAGTAAACCATCAGGAGGGAAAGAATAACTTCTGTCAAACCCAGAGAGGTCAACTTACACACTGAACTATTACACAAACTCCCAGACAAATTAATTCCGGTCCTCCCGTCTCACTCTAATTACTGCACACCTCTTTGTGGGCAGCCTCTAGCTTATCCTGCAAGGTCTTGACTTCTTTCTCTCTCTCAGCCAGCTGAGTCTGCATCTCTTCCTTCTTGCCTTCCTCGGTACCCTTACCATCACTGATCATCAACCAGAGAAAAACAAACATCGAATGGTGTACATAACACAAACTATGCACATAATGGCATCATGTATGATCAGAATGTACCTGACATCTGTGGAGGATCTCTGGGATCTTAGCTCATCTTCCAGTCTGTCTTTCTCAGACTGCAACTTGCTCACAACCTAAAACCAACAAATGTGGTAGGCTCAACCCTTACCGTAGGAGCAAAACAGTACGTAGCTTAATGCTCACGTCATTGTATATTGCGCAATGATAATACGTTTGCTCGTGGTGTGCATGTAGAAAGACTGTTTCGACTGTAGCGCCACCCACCAACGCTGTGCTCGAACAAACAAAAACAGGTGTCACCGTAGGTCGTGGAGCATAAGGTATGTGTGAACACCCAACAGTGCACAACAACTGTTTTTCTTACTCCCCTGACTACTGTAATGCTACCTTGCCCCCGTGTAAATCATGCAACTCATGGCTGTCAATCAAAACCATGGTGGACTTGTTGTCACAGGCTCAGGTACATGGGAGACGTCCCAGGAGGCAACGCTGAACGCGACTTAATACACTGCCGTTATCAGGGCTTGGTGATGAGACCGTTTACACAATTGACCAATGGGGAAGATGTGGATCGGGAAGGAGGGGGTGGGGGAGATGTGGAAAACAGATGGGATCGTGGAGGTGGGGGAGAAAATTGGGGAAAGAGGGAAAATGAAGGGTATCAAGGAGACGAGGAAAATGGAGGGGACCGTGGGGGAAATAGAACAAATCAGGGAATAGGGGGATGTGACGATCGAGGAGAAGACAGTGGAGACAGTGAAGCAGAGGAAGAGTGGGAGGTTACACCAACAGAGGAAGAGCAGAAAGGGAAATCACAGGCTCTCGCAGTCTCCTTCTTCCCCCTCCCAGTGCATCCTGAACCTCAACAGGCACTTTGCATCTGATCAGTCAACTAGACCACTCACAATGTACGGTAGGTGTACGAAAAACGTATACCTTCTCAAGATCCTTCATACCCCTCTCTGTCTGTTTACCAACAGCCACTGCTTTCTCCTTCTCTCGGGACATCTGTACATATGTATAGGTAGAGAAGATTCACAATCATGTTTCTGCAGCTGTTCCGCTCAAATAATGCATTATTGGCGAGTGAATGTGAGCACAGAATTTTAATGGATTCGCGTGTGCTTAGTGATGGGTGCAGCAGTGCTGGTCAAATACAAATAAAACTACACAATTAATGAGCCATTTGGACAACTACGGAAGACTTGGTTCGTTTGCATGTCGCACCTGCTCCAGTCTGGTCTTGAGGTCCCACTCAGCTGCCTCTAGCTGCTCCTGGCGTGAGTTGGCACTTTGCCACTGGTCCTCCAACTCCTATTGTATGTACATGTAACACCAACAGACACACATAACAACAGGAGCCCCAGACACACTTGTATATTTACTTTACCTTGACTTGTTGGCTGAGCTGTGTACACTGGGTCTGCAAGCTTGAGTTCTCTTGTCCCTTCAACTGTGCACAGACAAACACACACACGCTGTACATACTGCAAGATAATAGAGGACAGATAGTTTCTTGCCTCTAACTGGTGTTTAAAATCTCCGACCTGCTTCCCTGCTTTAGTTCTGGCATTCTACGGTGACAAATTACCAGTTCATTTTGTCAACTATACCTCTACTGCTATATCTACTGCACTCACCTCAGCCTCTTCCAGTCTCTTGGTCATAGCTCTGGCAGACTCACCGCTAGAGCTGACTGCACTAGATCCACTTGACTGTACCACACACACATACTGCAGCATATGTATATATGTACACACCAGTGAGTAGGAGTTGAAACTGACTTATTTGGAGTGACCTATCGTGAAACTTAGCGCAGATTAAAATGTATATTCACAGCAATGTCACATGTCGCACAACATGGTGCAGTGAATGGAAACCAGGCAGTCACGTAGGCTAAGAGACGGTCAAAAAGTGATGCAATGCCCAAACCTACAGTACGTAGCAGAAGCTGGGTCGATGCCTTATAACCAGTGGAGGTGTCTCAGCACATTCACAAGCAAAACAGTTAGTCATGCACCACACAGTGCAGTGTGACCGTGTAACCTGCACGGACCTGTGCCTGCTGGAGACTGAACTCTAGTTTCCTCCTCTCACTCTCCGACTCCTGGAGTCTCTTGGAGGACTCCGAGACTCGTGAGTGGGCCTCAGTCAGTCTGTTCTGCATCTCCGTCACCTTTGCCACCGAGTCCTTCGTCACCTTATACATACATACATACATACTTATACATGCACATACACGTACATATGTACATACATACATACACGTTTACCATCATAGCAGTATAAGTAAACCTCGTGGGGATTATGTGTATGACTCTGTTTAGGGGAGAAATCAGGGAGGTGAAAAATGTATAAACATTGGACCCCCGACAGATGGTTCTCAATTTGCGAATTTTCTACTCAAACGTTTTCCCCCACTACACATGTATACGTACGTATGTAGCTGGAATTTTCTACCTCAAACGTTTTCCCCCAAGCACACATGTACATATATGTAGCTGTACAATTGTAAGTGGTAGATATTCCCTCCCTCACCTTGGCTAGCTTGGCCTGAAGAGCTGTAATGTCTTTCCTCCCACTCTGCTTCACATCGGCCAGTTTCGACTTGTACTCTGACACCTTCTTCAGTGCTCCGTCTCTCTCCTGGGGTCACGTGAGGTATTATACAGAGAATCAGCACCTCTATTTCGTTCTAGAATCTCATCGGAAAACACAAGTAATATCAGACAAAGATAGATGCTTTGTGTGTCTTGCTGTCCTTGTTTTTTCTTTCTTTTTAGCTGCTTCAAGCCATTCCTAGTCCCACTTCATTTGATTTTCCACTAGTAAATACTGAGATGGAGGGGGGAGGCTGACCTGCTGGACTTTCTGCAGCTCGTCTTGGAGTCTCCGGGCCCTCTTGCAGGCCACGCCCCTCTCCTGCTCCAGCTGCTCTATCACCACCTTTAGCTCCTCACACGTACTACTGCAATACACACCACACACGCACACACACACACACAAACTTTTATGAGCAAAATATCGAAAGAGGGGGATTCCAAAGGGTGTAACTAGTAGTACCAACGGCCTACATACCTTACCCAAAAATCATTGACGTTTTTTTTACTCATAGAAGCACAGTACGGAAAAGCTTCCCAAATTTGCTATTTAACACGGATCCTGACTTTGAGGCTATGTATATGAAATTGGGTGATTGTACATGTGTAGTTAGTTGTCTGCTCACTTTGCCTCTCCTTCTCTGAGTTGCTGAGCAATCTTCCCCTGCTCCCTGACCTCCTCCAGCAGTTGGAGGGCCTGGCTGTCTGATAGACGTCGATCCACTTTCTCTATCTCCAACTTACGATGAAAGTCCTGCAATAATGTGGACACGATATAATATAATGCACGAATGATAAGTAGTGAGTAGTCTTGTTTTACCATGCACAACGCATTAAGAAGGAAACCTTTTGCAATCCAGCAGCAAGTATGTATGTATGTACAAAGGAGAGCTCATCCTGTGTGTGTTACAAATGTCTCTGGAACTATTCAATATGCTAATCAGTATTTGCACTGGTGCTGTTTCACAAAAGTCCTTATCCATACAACCTAAGCTGTAGGTTGTGCAATGTTCGATGTTTAATGAGAGGGTCTTACCTCCAGCTGACTCTGATAGATGACACACTCCCTCTCAAGTGACGACTTTCTCTCTCGCAACTCCTTCATTTCCCTCAGAGCAGAGTCCAGCTCTCTCCTCGGTCCAGACACCTTCTCCCCCTCCCCTCCTCTCCCTCTCCCCTCTCTAGCCTGAAGACTGCATGCACACAATCACCACACAAACAGAAAATACTAAGGTTTATTACACATAACTTGTATATAAACTATCACAACTCCTGAATTTCAGCCAGTGTCTAAGATACAAGATTCATAATCATGGTACGGCCTCATTTGCAATCTCAATAAAAGGTCCACAAAGACATTCATTTTGGAAAATCCACCTTCCCATTTATAAACCCTCGTTGATTAGCCATCACATAGGGTGCCTAGAGACTCCACGTACTTTTCCTCAGAGGTTGAGAGGTTAAGGTTCACAGAGTCCATGCTGGTGAACGTGAAGCCGATAAACGGGAGGGATTTTCCCGTGAAGCCGCGCTGTCCTCCGTGCTGACTGAGGGGGGTCAGCAGATGGTCGTCCCCGCAGTCTCGCTGGGTCTCAAAGTCTTCAAAATTGGCAGTGTCGTCTGGTGCACACACACTAGGGATGTAGGGAGGCAAGGCTGCAGAACAGTGGAGAAATAATATAGCAGAGTTCATGGGAAGAAAAACCAACGTACCACCCTACCAAATATATATGTCAGTTTAGGATTAAAAAATCACAGCACCAAAGAGTCTGGGGGTCTCAGTTAAAGTATGCAATCCACTTTTAAACTAAACTCCCCAGACTTAGACTGACAGTGTTGCAGAGAGGTCCAGTCAGTGGATGAGAAGAAAAAGTGAGTCTGGAGCCCCGAGTAGGCCAGTCGGGAGTCTGGACTGGTGAGGAGTCCAGACACCAGGTCCCGCAGCTCATCGCTGGCCTCCTTACCTCCCTCTGGATATGACAGGCTCTTCTGCAAGAGTAGGGTTAGGCATCACACATTTTGGAACAGAAAGCTCTCTCTTCCTGGGTATAGTATTTGCATTGTTACACATCAATCTATAACCATGACTAAAAGGGACCAGCTAACACACGATAGTAAAAAAATTGGTAGGGAAATGAGAATTTTGCTAAATTGCTCACGAGGAAATGTGGCAGTTAGATAATGTGTTACTTTTGAACAATAGGGCCACGTCACAGTGAGAAGAACAATAGGGCCACAGTGAAAGAATGAAATTGAGTTACGTTTTTACAATTCCTGTAAATGTAGCCCTCATATACTGCCACATTCCCTTTAAAATCCGAAGTCACATAACAGAGCGTGACTTTCACAGTTAGGAATTAAGAAGGCAGTTCAAGCGTCGTAAGTACATAGAAGGCAGCTCCCATATATGTATATACCTGATAGTTCATGATGTTGCCGTAGGTCTCGGAGGTGGAGGACCCAGAGAATGGAGTGACATCGTAGACAAGTTCGTAGGTGATGATTCCCAGGGACCACCAGTCACAGCACACACCCGTAGTCGGCCGAGTGGTCCAGACTGGTGAGGACCTCGGGGGCTATGTACTCCGGAGTACCCACCGGCAACCGTGACTCCAGCTGCACACAATGTTGAGATAAACCCTAGACCCTGTAGCTGTACACGTATTAAAACCCTTTGGACGCCATGGGTATCTCTTTAAATAAGCATAAATTGATGTATAACATATAATGCCTAGTATTATAGCCATATATCAAAATTCTTATGGACTTATGGAGCCTCTGGGCATATTATGCCCGTGGCTGGCTAAGGGTTAACAACCCTCTTTTTCCGAGTGGGTTTACAAGTGGGGAGGGTAATCACTCCTTGAGAATGGTTTTGCCCCTTCAATCACAGATCAACTCATGAGCTGCTCGTGAGAGTTACCATGTTTCTCCCACTATATTATGTGTTCCTTAAATATGTACACATCTCCACAACTTAAACAGAAAAGGTTTGGCTGGCACTACACATGGTATGTCTGCATTATGCAAATTCAATTAGAGGGTTTAGTACGTTCACTGGATTACTCACGACTTTTCCCTCGGGGCCGAGTCTCGCCGCAGAGCCAAAGTCAACCAACTTGATGTGACCTGACCTCGTGATGAGAACATTCTCTGGTTTAATGTCTCGATGGACAAATCCCAACTCGTGGAGGTCGTTGAGCCCTGCGGCTATCTCTGCCAGGTAGAACCTTAGGAGAGTGGTATATAGGGAGAGGGGGAGAAAGTCTTTGGGAGGCAAATCCACAACCCAGAATGTAGCAGGCTGGAATATTCTTTTCTTAAAGGGGTAAGCAGCGAGAAGGGTTACAGGATCGCTATACTCACGGCCTCTTTTAGGGGCCCAGGAGGCATTCTTCTCTCCTGAAAAGGTTCCGGGCCTGCTATTTACATTTTGGGCTCTGTAATTAGCGACTCCCTCCCCCCCATCCATTACACTAATTAAGAAACTCTATAATTCTCTCCATATGACAGACCTGGCATCGCTCTCACTCATGCCCCCCTCGTTTCTCTCCATAACGGAGAGCAGATCACCTCCAGGGTGGAAGTCCATCACCAAGTAGAGGTGACTACTATCCTGCACAGTACACATTACACACAATATATTCCACTTGTCTACTTTCATTGAACAAAGTGCATATCGTCACACTATATATTATTAATACCTGCCTGTCTATGTACTTCAAAAGTGCATATTATCACATATCACACAGCGTATTCAGTTCACTTTATTAGATAAGTGGAACAGAGGAAGGTGCATTGGTGGTGTGAACTGACTTGAAAGGCGTAGTGGAGGGCGGTGAGCCACTGACTGGTGGTCCAGGCCATTATGTCACGCTCCTCCAAGAAGAATGCTGCCTGTAACAGTGCATGAATCGTAAATGAGGTATGAAGCAAAGCCAGGATGCCATAAAAAGCAAGGAGACAAGACAGGGATGACCTGGGCATGTGATGCAGTAGTACAATGGGATGATTATTACATCTTCAAACTGACATTTCTTGCTGATGTAAATTTACTCCACACAAGCCCTATATTGTCGCAAAGCACGAGTGATCTCTATTGTATGATGTGCAGCTATGACTCGTTTCCTATGCATGTAAGACTGGTAGCAAATGCCCTCTCTGACAGGTCCTCAGTTTTGAATCGTGACTGTGTTTACAACACCCACAGGACCAACACTTTTTCCAAGGAAAGACATACATAGCTGCCCTGGGTAGGAGGACTCACGACACTCTGCAGGCTAGGAAGAGTGCTTTGGGGGAACTTTCGTGGTATGTATGACACGAAAAATTTGGCAGAGATGTAGCTTCCACTAATTGCTTCTTTATAGCTACATGTATGGTATTTACTTACATCAGCTTGCTGCAGAATATGGGACTTTTTCATGACCTTCATCGCGTACACGTCTCCCGTGCTCTTCTCGTGAACAACCTGGACCTGCACAACACAGACGGAGAGGATGATGAACATCACGTGTGAGATGATCATGTGAGATCAATAGCAATTTTTTGTGCATTATATCATAGTATATACTTCTCCAAAGTGGCCTCGTCCAATGACTGCCTTCACAGAGAAATCGTCAGGAGTCAATCGCAGTTTGCTCAGATCCTTCACAGCCCCTTCATCTGAAACACATAGGTAGGTACACAGAGACTAATATTGCTACCTATCAGCTATGGATATTGCTTATTCTGTAGGGATTGGGTGGTTTTCAGGTTCATAGAAGCTCATCTGTCCTCAAACTCTCCACTCACATTTGGTCAAGAACCTTGAGATGTGCTTGTCACGGGACAGCCCCGACGTCTCGCTGGAACACTCGCCGTACAGCGCCAGAAGGGAGTCCACTGCGCACTCATAGCTGGCATGAGCTAGCGGAGAGTCCACCGATATGCTCTTCCGGCTCCCCAGAGCTGCATCTCTGAGCTTTAAAACTCTCTGGTGAACGTTCCTCGCCGAAACGGAGAGCTCCCTCGCACTAGTTTCATCCATCTTCTTCGTTTGATTTTGCCGCCAATTTTCAATTTTACAACGCGCGACCCGGTTCCGTTCCGGAGTAGAAAAAAATCTGTGTCGGAGCTGTCTTGGTTTTTCAGGTGGCTGAGACTTCTCAAAGGAACGGCACGGCAGCACTATACCTAGGCGTCTGAGAGCAGAACATGGTGAGCTGTAACTAGTGACTTTGATCCCGAGATGTTTGGCTTAGATCGAGACCAGAGTGGGCACTTATTGGAATCAGCGCCTACTATTTCTCCCCAATAACTTGTACTGTGTTCCCACAGGACGTGTTTCTCATGGTGAGACGTGAAAAGCAGACCATCTTCCTGGACGCCACAGAAGAAGACACGGTGCTACAGCTGAAGAAGAAGCTGGAGCCCATAGTGAAGCGGGCACCAGAGGACCAGAGGCTGTATAACGTGGACACCAAAGACCCTCTGGAGGACAATAAGACTCTGGGTGACTGTGGGTACAAGGCAACAACAGCTCGGGCCCAGGACCCAGCCTCAATAGGCCTGGCATTCAGACTAAGTATGTGCAATCTCTTGAACCTCTCCCTTCAGTGTGTGCATGTTTAGCCACTGTCCAACTCTGGTTTGTGGAGGCATACTCAGTGAGTGTTTCGAGAGTTAGATTTTGATCCAGGTTTATAGTTAAGGCAACTGTGAGCAGTTTCACATGTGCCTTGCCAGAAAGTTGTTGTCATTATAGCAACAGCCTGCAGGTAGGTTTTGCTTCAACCAAAGGTAAAACAACACTCGCCTCCTCAATTTTTGTAGGTTTAACTTCCCCTCCTTCAAAGTTTTCCCTACAAAATCAGTTTATTGATGTTGTGCTGCACAGATGACGATACATTTGAGCAAGGATACATCAAGACCTACACCATTCCTCCCGAACTGCCAGACGTCATGAAACCTCAGGAGGGCACTGTCCCTCCAGCAGGACTCAGCTCAGAATAGGAGACACGCGACCGCGATATATTTTCCGTCCATGACACTTACAGCCAGTACTATTGCGTTGTTTTTAGTTATCCATACCAATTGTGCTTGACACTCATTATCATGCATTGTGTGTATGTGTCACTGTTGATTTTTATGGACATTAACACACTGCTTTACGTATGCACTGAGGTGAAGTGCCTTCTAGAGAACTGTGAGAGGTGCTGTTGCTGATATTGGACCAAGTTCTCGTAAGTGGGGAAGCTCCTGCTCGTTACTGGTTCATACGTATGGCATTGGGCTCGAGTCACTGGCGGACGGTAACCAACGCCGACCAGCTTCCCGTTCATGTAGTAGCCGTACTTGTGACGGGGATTAGAGTTCTTTCGTTTTTCGTTGTGCGTGGAGGATTGTTGGAGAGAGGGTCGGGTCACTGTGTTAGTGACTGTAGTAGGAAGAGGTTGACGACTGCTGGCTACTGCAGTCTTTGCAGCTTGTAGCCTCGCTTCAGTTGCACACACAGTTATGTGGTTGTATGGATGCTGCACCTTCCTTACACTCTGTGGGAAATACAATAGCAACTTCCAATTACAGAGAGATTATAGGGGATTTGCCCCCTGAGGGAGATATACATAAGATAGCAGACTGGATTTTCTATTTTACCTTGACTTTTGGTGTAGGATGATGAAGTTGAAGCTTAATTTGGTGCAGTTTCTTGAACTGGTGACCCTGAATAGATACTCCACATAAACAACACACAAGAACTATGGTATAATTATTATGCAACCTTCATGTTGGCCTTCCTGGACAACTTGAAGCAGAGGAACCTCCGTGTGTGCGACTGTCTGTCATTCAACACCAACCCCACAACTCTCTCCTGGGTCGGGTGGACTGACACTTTGCTCACATCCCTCGAGTCACATACACGAGTCTTCTGTGGCAAAGAATGACAGTGCCATAACACCAGTGTTGTTGCCGAGAATGTCTAATACAAATGTGAGATGCATGAATGAAACGAAAATCTTGTGGCCAAGGAACTATGTATGTGAAAGCCTTCATAACTCTCTGATAGCAACATTGAAAGTTTATAGTGCAGTAAAACCCATAAGTCTACCTCTCCATGGTGGTTGAAGGTAATGACAAACGATTTCTGTACAAAGCCTAGTGTGACAGGTGTACGCTTTCTCCACTTGGGCCATTTCTTGGTCCCGATACTGTGCAGAAGGCAGCCCAGTTCAACGTCGGATGTTCCCCTGTCCACCACCTTACTACCCAAGAACTGCATGACCAATTGCAAGAATATTGCAGCAATATATCAATTGCTGCTGAATTCCTGTGTATCATGAAGAGGCTACCTTGGAATTGACGAGACACAACTTTGGATTTGCAGTCCGTCATCGTCGAACTTGCGCCTGCGTCGCGTCGGTAATTGCGCGCATGCATATAAGCGCGTTGCCATACGCACGCGCGCGTCGCGTATATATACTAGCCAAGACAAGAGGCCCAAAAAATTCATTACTAGTATAGCTACATGTATTTCCTATACGTGACAAGGTATGCTGGATACACCTTCTCGTGGTCATAGACTACGTACACATACGATCCATTGGTGAAGCCTTTGACACTGTCGTATCTCTTCTCTTCGTGGCCCTGAGTAGCTTGAGGGAGGCTGTCTAAGTGACTGATCATGTCTGGTGCCAGCATCATAGCAGTCCCCTGTCAGAACTTGGCAAATGAACATCTGTTTCTCATTGATGCCACCCGGTGTACTGTAAGCATATGCGTCCGAGTACGAGGCGTTTGCGGCAAAGTACGAGCCAGTGCCCCACAGTCCTTCCCTCGAGAAACGGAAATCTACTCCTTTCTCTGATCTGAACACTTTCTTGGGTTCGGTTCTGCGAGTTCCGTGGAAGAGACGCATCTCGTTCACGAGGCCCCTGTTCGTTTTGAGCATTCGTCTCTTTGAAAACAAGTATCTCTCCCACAGCCACTTGTTCTGGATACGCTCGAGTTTGACAACAGTAGCTCCTCTGAGGGTCTTGTGAATCTTTGCCACTTCCGCCTTCCACTCTTCTGAATTAGGTTTCACCACATCCAGCAACACATCTTCCGTCTGGTGTCGCCAGTGCTCTGGTAGCTTCAACTCCCCTCCCAGTCCATCCATCATTTGCTCGCGGTTGGAAAGCTTTTCCTGCTCGGCAATCAGATGAACTCGCTCCACGTGGCGTGGCGTCCCTTTCAGCTTGAGGCAATCGTCCACGAGCTCTGCCGTCACAAAGTACTTGTTCATGTTTTTCATCAGTTGAGCTTTGAAGCTTTTGCTGCTTTCGCGATTGAGTCTGCACTCCTTCTGGATGGTTGAGCTCTCCACTATTCCTCTTAGGTCCTCGATGGACGGCACCAAGCTCTCGGGCAGACCGGCTGCCTGGAGAGTCAGAACTCTCTCGACACTGGGAACGATATCTTCCCCTTCGCTACCGAGAGTAACCCGACGTTCAATATTTCTCGAGTTCAGGGTCGCCGCGTTGCACTGGTTCATGTTGGTGAAATCAAGTTCGTAGGCTTTGCCGTTTATGATCAGACTCGCCACGTCGTCCAACTGATACATCTGCTCAATTTCATCAGACTGCTCAGTAGTGTACGGTACAAATTGCTTCCTATCGTCCACGTAGAACCACTGGATTATCTGACTACTGCCCGTAGCTTGCTGGATGGGTCTCGAGCGACCGGAGCTGGTGTTAGTCTGCGTCATTGTCGAGAAATCAATTGAGTATTGGTATGCGCCAATCTTTAACGTGAGACTGCCAGTCGGGTCGTCGAGGAACACTTCATTGAGCTTTGTACTGATGTCACGATTATAGGAAATGTACCCAGAGCCTGAATCGTTCTGCCACAGCCACGTGGTCGTAGCAGTCTCTGTGGGAGGGGGAGAGGCCCCCGGCTTTTCTGTCAGGTAGGAGTCCAGCTCAGAGCATGTTGGGACCGCAGTCGATGTCCCTCTCTCGGCTGGGACAAACACTTGCTTCACGTCGCGGCAAAACGATGCCAGGTCCACGGGAGTCGCGTCGGGAGCTGCTCGGAGCACACGGAACTCCACTCCGCGATCCGCCTCAATCTTGCGTACTTCTCTCGACGGCAGAGTCTTGACCAAACAGCGGTACAGAGTGACACGGGAGCTCACAGACATTCACGGAGACCTCTCCCTCTACCCTCTCCAGCAAACTTTGGAGGCACAGCTCCACGGCTGAAACCTGCTCCCGCGGGCCCCACACTTTGACGCAGTTGTGTTTCGGCGCCACTTTCACCTGGTGTTGAGTCTCCAGGTTCTCCAGCTCCTTCCTGTGCTGGGAGGACAGAATAGAGGCAACGAGAGACGTGCACCCAACTTCCCTGGGCTCTAGGTTGACGCCGGGTTGTTGTCTCTGTGAAGTTTGGGTCTTCACGTGTATGTTGATGCCTTTCACCGTTGAGTTGTGGAGGCTACATGCATCTCCTGCCGCCTCTGGGTGTGGAGAAATTCACGAAAACGTAGTGGGGGTTCCCTTCGCGGATTATCGGCTTGCCTCGAATTGTCCCAAATCGACTGAAAACCTCTTCGATGTCTTCTGAGCTCAACGGGCCATACATGGACACCTTTATCGTGTAAGACTGCTGCATACTTGATGCTGCCCTAGCTGTGGGCACCACTGGCGGCGAGGATCGCTGATCACCCCGAAGGTCACTGCCGTTTGCAGCAGGGTGAGTCTGTGGAGGAAAACTGGAGCCAAGGTTGACTCCAGGGTAGCTCAGAGCTCTTGAACTAGGGAGGTAGGGGGCGGAGCGAGCAGCGGGCACTGGATCAGACGATTGTCTCATCGGTGGAGCACTCTGGACGTGCTGATTGGCACCTGTGAGGGGCCCAGTGTGTCGGAATTGCTGCTGAGGCCTCTCGGTACCTGGTGGCAGATGGACATTTCTTGGATGCACACTGGCACGTGTTGGTGACCCAGAGTGCTGGAAAGACTGCTGGAAAGACTGCTGACCGAAGCCGCCAGTGTGTCGGAATTGCTGCTGAGGCCCTGTGGTGTTGGAGCCACTGAATGGGAGGTGGTACACAGTACCGCTGGGGGATACACAGGTGGAGTGACCAACAGTGGATGCTGGGTCAGACGACTTCCTCCCTGGAGGTACATTAATAACCCTCTCGGTACCTGGTTGCAGATAGACATTTCTTGGATGCACACTGGCACGTGTCGGTGACCCGGAGTGCTGGAAAGACTGCTGACCAAAGCCGCGAATGCGGGTTGTGAAATTGCTCGTGACATGTGCCTTTGTGTGGCCAGTGAAGGGCTCCCAGGCTGTGGTACAACTGCAGGGGCGTGTCCACCTGAGTAACTTGCTACTCTGTGTATCGGAGCATCTGCCGAGGGAGAGCCAACTTGACCGGTGTGTAGCTTGACCCTGACTGCACACCCATCAACTAGACACTGGTCTAATTCAGCTACTGCTTTTTCGGCGTCACGTGAATAGAAGTAGTTCACGTAGGCGTAGTTGTAAATAAAGCCCGTGGAACAGGGAACCATCCTAACGCTCTGAATGCAGTTTTGGTTTCCAAAGCCAAATACCTCTGCGAGTGTGGCTTCTGTTGTGTTCTTTGAAACGAATGTGACTTTAACGGTGTACCCCCCTACAGAGGGCGACCTAATCTCTTCTACTTGGACCTTGCAGTTGATTCGCTTCCCGTGGAACACTTTCCCGTTCATCTCGCTCACTGCCTCGTGGGCGCACGAGTTTGAGTGGAAATTGACAAAAGCGTAACACTCACCGCTCCCGGGTTTGAGGGATACGTCGGCGATGCTTCCGAATCGCTGAAAGAGTGTCTTCAATTCTTCCTTGCTCATGTCCTGCGGTAAATGGTTGACCTTGATGCCATAAGTTCTCCTTCCAATGGTGACTGGGTCACTGGTTCTAGGGATTCTCCTCCTGTTCAGAGTGTACGAAAGAGGATGGGAAAGTCATTGTTGCAGCCGCACTACAATACATGAAGGAAACACCAAATATGTAAAATTCTAATAGCTAGACACTCCCAAATACCAAAAGCATATTTATAGGCCTATACTGAGACGTGTCTTGTCTAATACAAAAGAATATTACTGTCGAATCGGATCTCCCCGCACATAATGATCTACTTGCTGTAAACTAAACAATAGAGGAAGCCAGCTGGGGGACGTACAGCACGGTGAAGCTACGAATCACTTTCGCCAGGCGGGGCTGGAACCGAACAGCATCGTACGTAACTCACCTGTACGCCATTACCCTGTGCCCAATGCTCAGAGCAACAAGGTATCTGTTTCCTTCACGAGCACACGGCGGTCGAATTCACCGGTGGGGCGACGTGCCGTTTCTTTCGAGTTTCCTACTCACTGTATACTTTTCCCTTTCAGGTTGTTGGCTTTTCCCCCACTCTAGAACCTGAGCGCATGCGCGATAGGGTTGCGCACGTGTGTGTGGACCCGGAGAGAAAGATGGGCGTTTTTTCGTCTGCAGCCACTGTTTTCTTCCTGTGTGCGTGTGGGACTGGGCTAACTCTGTATGCAGTCCATGTGCAGCGCTCTAGGCTAGACGACACTGGCTACAGGGCCCTGTGTGACGTTGACGAAGTGATCACGTGCTCTGAGATTGTCGCAGAGGAGTACGTTTTTGAGTCCAAGTTTCACGTTTTGATACCTAGAAGGCACGTAGGTTGTATATAACACATAACTCTCTTTATGCATAATACGCAGTCGAGACTTCGTTGATCTGATTGAGTGGGCGTGTCATCAAGTGGGCTTGGCCTACAATGGAAAGCTCAATCCTCGTCAGCCGGCTCTGAGGATAGCCTTCTTCCCTCTCCTCTGCTTCCTCGGTGTGTTCTCGTCTGCTTTATATGTTACCCACACTTCAGCCCATTGTAGCAAAGAAAAAGCCTAAAAGCCATGTCCAACTGAATTGTTAGTTTTGTTACCCAAAATCAGCAGAATTCACCATCCCAAAATCTAAACACATTATTTGTCCACCATATAGGGTGCCTCCCTGTCACATTCTCCTACTTTGTCGCCACCTCCATCTCGTCAGTGGCCAGCCTCACCTCTGCCTACCTCATGTACATGCAGTTTCGGGTCCACGACCAGATCTGCCTCCCCTGCATCGCCGAGTACTTTATCCACATCTTCCTCTTCCTCGTGCTGACCATTCGCTGGGCCCACTCTGGAAAAACCAGCAGTACAGACCGTGCAACTGTTTCTTCCAATAAACCTCCAAAGAAACGCCACGAGAAGAAAAAGTCGCAGAAATCGGTAGAGCGAGACAGCGGAGAGAAGGAGAGAGAGAATCAGAGTGGGAAAGACTCTAGTGGAAAGGAACAACAGGTTGTGGCAGGGAATGTTCCAGAAAAGAAGAAATCTAGTACACGCAAAAGGCCGAAGTAGTAGTTCTCTATTCTAGCTGATCATCGCTGAACACAATCTGAATTTTGATGCTCGATTAATGTTTCAGCATATCACCTTTCGTTTTTCACTCATTCCTTTTCACACTGACGATGACTGAAGTTTACTAAACCATGCGATTGGCCGCTGCCACATGATATTAGCTAACACATGATGGCAGCAGTGCCAGCGGACGTATGATAATGAGCAGGGTCACAGATGCCTGTGATCACTGTGTTTGCCTAACCTAATATCCCAATCTAGAATCTGGGTGAATAGTTATAAGTTTGATAACGAAGAGAGAAATGGGGAGAATTGCAACACACAAGTGGTGGGCTATAAATAGAGTTTGATGAGTTCGTCACTGACGGCAGACGGAGTGAGTACTCCGATGTCTGAGAAGAGGAGGGTGATGTACTGAGGTGGGCTGTAGTCAATGTATGGGTGGGAGTCTTCACTGGAGTTGACTGATGTGTACTGCACATACAAAATAGCACATCTATGTTTTGGTTTGAGCATAGAATAGTGGCATCTACTTCAACTTTTGCATGCTGCACTAACCAGGTCACTAAACTATATACAAGACGGTTAATCTAGGTCAAAGTGGCTGCATTACATAAGGTTAGTGATCATTTTCTAGTTTGCCTCCAAACCACTGCTATGTATATATTACCTTTTCATCGTTGGGGAGGTCTCCCTGGTTGAGAGGATACATTCGCACAAACTTGAAGCTCTCAGCCACTACGTAGAACGGTTTGTTGAGTGCCTTAGCCATCACTGCCATCTGGTAGGTCCCGATCTGCAGTACATACAAACTGCTTATAGAGAATTCTCAGGTGATTATTAAAGGGGTCAACCTTGTTAATGATCCCGCCACTCTCTGCCACTCCCTCTGCTCCAACAATCACCAGATCCACTTCTTCCATTATGAAACTGAGAGAGAGTGTGTATGTCTAGATCAAATGTGAGCAGGCCATGTATATACCCAGGCCCTGGGTGTGTGCAGTACAGAGGAAGGTGTATGTATAATTATATATACATGATGTATTGCTCTTATACCCAACTGCTGAGTCCAGGATGACCTTGGAAGGAACTTTAGCATCTTGCAGTAGCTGGTGCATCTCTTCCCTGCCAAAGACACAGCAAATATTATGATAGCTAACTAATGACAGGGTTTAGCTGTGCAAGCTTGTTTACCCAGAGTTGTCTATGGTGGATGCAGTGACAAATACTTTAATCCTTTTCCCACTGGACATGGCCTCTTTCAGAAGGCAATAGACGACCCGCGAGCGTGAGTGAGTCAAGATGGTCTGAAACGCAGACACACCGAAAGTTAAGTCAGAACATACATTAGGTACATATATACTATGGACACACAGTCTGTTGTATATATTATTTTACTGTTCCATCTCTGATGAAAGGATTGGCAATGTGTGCAATCTTCTGTCGAGAGTCAGCCACTTTCTGCAGATACATGTCTCCTGCACGGCCACACATCATCTCGACTCACACACAGAGCTATTTCAATAAACTGCAGACATACAGACCTCTTTTGATGAGTTTTCTCCTCAAATCTTCGAAATCCTGAATGAAACAGCGACCACTATAAAACCCGTGTACCCTCTGCTCTATACATTTATGCCAATGAAAAACACGAGGAAACTGGATGCTGCTGGCATCAAGTACATCACTGACCATCTCTCTGTGTGAGTTTCACTTTCAACATCGTTTTAGACACTACATTGGAACCCCTCTCTCTAAGGACACCCCTGAAATGAGGACACCTCTCTAATAAGGACACCCCTGAAATGAGGACACCTCTCTAATAAGGACACCTCTCTAATAAGGACACCCCTGAAATGAGGACACCTCTCTAATAAGGACACCCCTGAAATGAGGACACCTCTCTAATAAGGACACCCCTGAAATGAGGACACCTCTCTAATAAGGACACCCCTGAAATGAGGACACCTCTCTAATAAGGACACCCCTGAAATGAGGACACTTCACTAATAAGGACACCTTTTCTTTCCCCTCTCATTTCCCAGAAAGCTGGGAATGATAATGGTGGAGTGTTCAGACACACCCTCCCCCGCCTCATCCAAACCAAACGGTAGCACAGTCTTACATTCTGTCCCTCCAGAGAGGTCATGGTGATAAATCTGAGAAACAGCTCACATCCCGACGACACGGACACCGTCGATGTCCTGGCCTTGATCAGTGTCTCCGTAGCCACCTTGAGCTCCGCACGTAGGCCTGATATAGTCCCCACTGAATAAATATCAAAACTGCAGTCATGCACAGTTACGGGATTCCGGGGCATATAACAGAGTTTGGGGTTTTCCTTGGTTTGTGGTCTATTGCAGACTTAGCGCCCAGCCTGCTGACTGAGCTGCCCTGGTAGCTCAGTGGAAGAGCACTTGTCTAGAGAACAGAGTGTCGTGGGTCTATTCGAGTCCCACCTAGGGCAGCTCTTTTTTCTTTGACGACCGTCTTATATAGGTGTCATTGGATATTCACTGTGCCTTGTGTTTACACTAGACCCAGAGCAATGGGGTAGAGCATACTACAGTGACAGTTGAAATTAAATGATGTAATACCTTTACAGGTTTTGATGAATTTCAGCAGTGTCTGTATAGCAGCAACTGCCTCGGACAGGTTTTGATCCAATGCCGCTTCAAATTCCTTCACCAGCTCTACAGCAGCAGGAAAAACGGCACAGATAGAGTCTCTGAGCTTCTCTCTATCATCTCACCGTCCGTTTCCTGCTCCGTGAGCTGGGATTCTGAAGACACACTAGCTCTAACCGCTACACCCTGCTCACCCATGTTCGTCCTATTCGACCTTTGCTTGTACGCATGCGCAATAATTAACCTTGTCGGCACGGAATATTAGCGGACAAGAAGACAAGATGACACTGTTTTCAGAGGCCAAGTACAAGTTCCTTCCTCTGTCAGAAGGCGACGACATCCCCACACAACTCTTCCTACACGCCTGCAGCGAGATAGTGCCTTTCTTTGGTACTTGGGTTCTATTTGTGGCGACAAATTGCGGCAATTCATAGGAACATGATTTTCTTTTCAGATGTACTTGGATCCACAGCGTTTATGCCAGTGAAATCTGATATCAACGGCAACATACAGGTTCGGAACATTATAATTAATATGTGTAAGCAAATGTAAATGGCATAAAGAGTATAGAAGATCTTCTTCTAGAGGCTACAGACGCAGTACGACACGGCACCAGACCAGTTTCCCACTCTCCAGAGTATAGTTGATAGTGAGATATCAGCCGGTACTAACAAAGGCAGCAAGTCATGCACAGTTGGACTGCTCTGGCTCAAAAGGTACAACATCACCTAGTTTTGCAGAAACGGTGTTATTGTCCCTATGCCCACTGTAATGAAGACTGTTCTTGCCGAACGTAGATTGAGACCTACAGTGTATAATGCTGCACTGTAAAAACCACTATCTGGTGCATGTTATTGGGCTTTGCTTCTATAGTTTATGTCCTCCTTGTGTATGTATGTACCAAGGGCTCTGGAGTTCATCTGTGTGTTTCTGGAGAGTGCGGTGGGAGGGGAGGAGGATCTGGTCAAGTGTGCCAACAAAGCTTATGACGAGTCCCTCAGGAAGTACCATGGCTGGATTGTCAAAGGCATCTTCAGTGTATGCCTATATATATAGCTATATACCGCTTCGTAACGTGAAGTTTTTTTATCAGGTTGCAGTACGAGCCGTGCCATATCACAAGGACTTTGTGACAGCACTCAAGAAAGATGCAAGTGTGAGCAGCGAGACGTTGTACAGTGACATGCAGGCCGCCCTGACACCACTTAGGGAGACCATCAATGAGCTGAACAGGTTCTACACCCTTAGGGGCCAACACTCCGATGACACCGTCTGAAAGAATAACTTTTCGTTAGTTCCTTGAAATCATCTTGAAGTCACTCCATTGTGATCTAACGCTCCAGTAATACTTGCAACCAAAACACCACTTTAAAATCATTGTTCGATTCGTCTATTGTCTTCATAATTTTTGAAATAACTCTTGTGCTCACTGAACCACTCTGAACATACCCTTGGGGCTGTGAATTTTGTCAAGTATGTCTCAGGCTGGCGTGTCAGTGCAATGTAGTAGGTAGGATGGCGGGAGAAGACGAGAGGTTGGCAGACACCCCGTGGTGGAAGGAAGGGGGTGCTGACGATCTGGATGAATCGCTAATGTACCCACCAGAACTCCTGGGCACAAGCTGGGGCTCTTACCTCGCCAGCTTGCCGCCCACGGCTCTTCCGGCTGGGAGGAAGGTAGTGCTAGCAGGGAAAAGACGAACGAACGGCCACCCAGAACGGGGATAAACACGGGTACGGGGTACGCCTCTAAGAGGCTCCCCAAGAAGAAGTACTCTTCGGACAAGGACAGTTCAACTCCTGCGGAACCGGGTCGCGGGGACCCGACGGTCCCAGCCCCACCACATTCCCTCCAGCGGCTTTCCACAGCTCTACAACGGGCATTGCACTCGCTGGTCTCCTGCGGACATCGATGCCTCTCCTCTTTCCCGTGCTTCAGCCACAGTAAACGAGTTCCAGACGCAGCAGGGAGGTAGCAGTGGGGTTGTTGTGACATCAGCAACAGAAATGACCGTGGAAGAGACTGTACTGGAGGCTCTGGCGTGTCAGGCCAAGATTATAGAGGAGAGGAGCATGCCATGTCGCTAAAGCACACTGCTGCAGGTCCTAACTAGGAACCAGAAAACAGTTTGCTAAGGATCAACTGGAAATGCAGCAAACGATCGAGGCAGCTTTCTCACAAATTGTGGCACAACAGGTATTTCATGATCTTAGGCATGTACATGCATAATAGCTAATGGTGCTATCGTATGATGGTGCTTGCAGAAAGCTATGTAGAAAGGAAGAAGACATTCTTAGGAGACACTTCTATCACCGAAACAGAAAACATATGACAGCGCCTGTGCCTAGGGAAGTAGCTAAAAGTGAAAGTTAGTGCAATGCAAACAATGTGATCATCGTATGCCCCCGGCCAGCACAGACTAGCTCTGATGCAGACACGGAAAGATCACTCAAGACTGGAAACGTGCTCTTACAGCAGCAGAGAGAGACCTCAGGAGACTCGAGGAAGCCTACAAGATCACAAAAGCAGGTATGCAGCTATTTTAAAAAAAAGAATGTGGCAGAGTGCGTGCTGATCCTTGGCATAATATGAAAGGGCTAAATTTAGAAATTTTTGAATTAGACAATAGGTAGTGGCCCAGTGCAAGTACCACTTCCCTTTATAGAGCTCGCTGCAGACCGTACAATTCCAAGGAGTTATACAAGAAAACAGCTAATCAGGTGAGCTAAAATATTCACACTTGTATGTCAACTGTTCCCTTTCATCATCACAACAAAGATATTTCCAGGTCTGTAAGACCATCACTTTATAATTGCCTTCTCTATTCACACTTACTTTATAGCACAGGAGAGTTTTTTGGGCTGCAAGATAATTTCACAAGCCACACAAGAACGGCAGAAGTTGGTGATCACCTGGAGGCCAGCAGACGAGGAATTGGCAGATACTGGATCAAGACTCAGAGCCACGTGAGAGGGATGGCCCGGTCCCTGTCACCATCTCACAGCCCCAGCGTTGGCTCTTCACTCACCTCCCTTGCATCAGCGCTCACTGTAAGAGGTGTGTGGACATAGATTTTGTCTGTGCAGGGCTTTCTGACTATACGTCCTCTCGGTTGGTGCAGTAGTGATGTGGGTGTAACTAAAGCACTCACACGCGGCGCCACTAATAATAAGTGCACACTGGAGCATGAATAGTGCCCTTTACACAGAGGTGTCTCGTACACTTAGCAAAAAGACAGCACACATGAATGACAGGTATTCTCTTCTTTTCTCCTTTTGTCTTTAGAAATCAGAAGAACCTGCCTCATCACGCAACCTCACGGCCTACTATAACACGCATGGACTTCATAAACCAAGACCTCGTGACAGGACACGACGTGAAACCTCTCTTGCTCAGAGCTAATGGAGTTTCGCTCACGTCAGGAGCCCAAGGTAGCCAGAGAGGTCATGAACTGGCTAGAAAAGAGGGTGCGATTTCAGATGAATAATGGATGCAGTCTCTCTCTTTGATTATGATTTGGAGAAGAATAAATGATGGACATACACGTATAGCTATCAGTAGACATGCACCATTCCCGTAGAGGAATGTCCACAGCAGGACGTCAGTGAATAATTCCACACCCAGCACGCATTAAACCAGACGGAAGAGCGGACTGGAATATCTTCGTAGAATTTCGACAGCTTCCACGGCAACATCACAGATCGCAAAACGAGGAGGCGAGTAGAAGAGAAAGCCGTAGAGAGTCCGGTTAAAACCTCCCCAGGACACCGGCATGGCTCCTCCTATGCCGCCCCAGAGGGTGCGACAGTAGTCCACTATGGCTGCGCA